TGGCGTGCTGGCACGACATGCGCGCGTGGTGCCCGCCGCCGCCGCCGCCGTCCGCCGCGTCGGCCACGGCGAGCGCGACGTCGCCCGCCACGAAGCACGTCGGCGCCGACGGCGCCCGGAGGTGCTCGTCGACGCGCACCCGCCCGCTCCGGGCCTCCTTGTCGCCCGGGATCTGCGCCGCGAGCGGGCTGGCCACCGTCCCCGCCGTCCAGACCACGGTGGCCGCCTCGATGCGGTCGCCGCTGGACAGCCGGACCGTCGCGTCGCCACTGCCGCTGTCCTTTTCGATGCCCACGACGGCTGCGCCGAGCCGGACCTCGACGCCGAGGCCCTGCAGCGACTCGGAGATGAAGGGCCGCATCCCGGGAGCCATGTCGGGCGCGATGACGTCGGCGCGCTCCACGACGACGACGCGGATGTTGGGGGAGGAGGAGGAGGAGGAGGCGTCGCTGCCGAGGATGTTGCCGAGGCGTTTGGGCAGCTCGGCAGCCACCTCGATGCCGGTGAAGCCGCCGCCGCAGACCACAACAGTGCCCCGGGTCTTGCTGGGCTCCCTGAGCGCGAGCTGCTTGAAGTGCGATTCGAGCTGCGCGGCCTTCTCGACGCCATCGACGGTAAACGCGTGCTCGAGGCCCAGCACTCCAGCCGGGCGCGAGACGCTTCCGCCCGCTGCGAGGACGAGACGATTGTAGGTTATTGAATGGCTTCCAGAGTTGGTAGTCTCGCCGCCCGAGTACCTGACCTCTTGTTTGGCCGTGTCAATCTCATCAACCATGCCCTGGATGAACCGGACACCCACGGTAGCCAAGATGTCCCCGAGAGGCGCTACTTTGCTGTTGGGGTCCTCCTCGTATAGCCTTGGAAGTATTGCCAGCCTCGGCTGCGGCGCTATCATGGCGATCTCGATGTCGCCGGTGCCTTTGGCAGCGCCTTGCTCGGTGGCCATTGTAATCAGACGCCGGGCGGCGAGGGCGCTGTGGAGGCCAGCGAAGCCGGCACCGATAATGAGGATCCGCTGAGACATTGTCAAGGCCAAGGTGGTGTTGAAATGTGACTGGAGATGAACTTGGATGTTGGTCGTTGTTGTTTGTCAACAGGTGATGACTTGTGTTCCATTGCGAGTACTTTTCAGGAAGAACACAATGTGGTGCTTTAATAGCTTCTCGGCCCCCTGTTGAGAAGGGGCAGCATGCGGGTACTGCTACAACTGTCGAAGCCATGGCCGGGCATCCGGGATGGCTCTTGTTGACGGGTCGGCGATGCACGTAACAGGAGATGGTAAAGCCCACCGAGTTGCCGAGTTGAGGTGAGTCTCGAATTGCCTGAAGTGGAAGCTCACTTTGCTCGTGGTCCGCGTGAGAGCTGGGAAGCCGCATGCTCTTAGTCAGCACCATCGGGTAGCCGAAGTGCTGCTCCGGCGGCTTCATAGCTTCATAGTCGGGTTCCCGAGTCCCCGCTATAGTCCCCGCCCCTTTTCCCGGCTCGCCGTTAGTCCAAGGGCGGCCAACCGCATAGTAGTAGCAGCAATAGCAGGAGACCACAGGAGACCCCAACCATGTCGTCCACCACCAGCAGCACCAGCAACAGCGCCACACCAGCAGCCTCTACCCCCAGGGCGTCGCTGGCCTGCATCCCTTGCCGCGACAGGCACGTGAAGTGCGGAGCCGAGCAGCCCCGGTGCGAGAGGTGCGCCGTCGCCGGCAAGGCTTGCTTCTACACCAAGTCGCGCCGCGGGGGCCTCGACCGCGCAACCCTCACCGCCCGTCGCAAGAGGCGCGCCGAAGCCGAGGCGGCGGCGGCGGCGGCAGCAGCGGCGACAGCAACGAATGCCGCTCAATCGCCCAAAGCACTCCATCCGGGGCTCGAGCTGTCGGATATAGCCGTCGAGGACAATAACGGCTCGCCGACGGCAGGTTTTGGATGGCAACAGCAACAGCAACAGCAACAGCAACAGCAACAGCAACAGCAGTTGCTCGCTTCTCTAGAGCCAACCGATCAACAGTCGCTGTTCGGTCTGCTGGACCCCTTCCTTTTCGACAATGCTGAACCAACATCAGACACGGCCTATATCTACACCGGCACCCCCGAGCCTCCTGCCCCGGATGCCTCCCTGGATCTGTACTACCTCCGATTCCATCGGCTACACCCCTTTGCCCTCCCCCGACCGCGACTGGATCAGCTGCTAGCCGACCCAGCCCGGGCAGCCGAGTTGAATCCCCTGGTCTCGGCCATGCGATATGTCGGCTCCCGCTATGCCGGCCAGCAGCAACAGCAACAACAGCCTTCGTCTGCCCAGCAGCTGCTCGAGCTGGCCCGGACGGGCGGCGACGCCGGGCCCGGCCCGTTCCTGGTCCAGTGCCGTCTTCTGCTCTCCATCGCCCTGTACTGGACCACGGACCCGGCCGAGGCGCGCGCGCTGCTCAACTCTGCTGTCGGGCTGGCCGTGGACCTGGGCATGAACAAGGCCGAGTTCGCCGACGCGTGCGCGGCGGCCGCCGACGGCGACCCGGTGCTGGCCGAGAGCTGGCGGCGGACGTGGTGGCAGCTCATGATCCTGGACGCCTGCATCGCCGCCACGGATAGAGTGCTGGTATTTTGGGTCTGCACCATCGAGAACACGGTCGGTCTGCCGTGCGAGGAGGACGAGTACGAGAGCATGGTGAGTCGACAATGAGCACAGAGCCCCCTGAATACCTACCTACTTACTCACCCTCCCCCTCCTCCTCCAACCAGATCATCCCTCCCACAAGGACGATCGAGGAAATGGACTCGCGCGACCTCGAAGCCGACAGCCCCGCCTTCTCCTCCTTCGCCTACCTCATCGACGCCTACCGCAGCGCCGCCGCCGCCCTGGCCGCCCTGGCGCCGCCGACGGACCCCTCGGGCTCCTCGCGCGTGCTGCACGAGACCGACGCCGTCCTCGACGCCTGGCTCCTGCTCCTGCCCGAGTCCAAGCGCGACGCCCTGGCCGCCTCGGGCGACGCCGTCGACGAGCTCATGTTCCAGGCCCACATGGTCGTCAACACCGTCGTCCTCACCGCCCACCGCCCCCACTCCCGCATCCTCTTCCACCCGGCCGAGCGCCTGTCCACCTGCGTCGTCTACCCGGCCCCGCTCCCGGCCGCGCGCGAGTCGCTCATCATCCACACCACGCGCTGCCTGCGCGCCATCGAGGCCCAGGTCCGCCTCCTGACGACCCTCCCGCCCTCCTCCTCGGCGCACAACAGAAGCGGCGGCGGCGGCGGCGGCAGCGGCGGCGGCTGCAGCAGCCGCCCGGGTGCCGGCTTCGACAGGTCCCCCTTTGTCGTCTGCCAGCTCGCCACGGGCGCCGTGCCGCTCCTGGCCGCCTGCCGCTCCGTCCTGACGGGGCCCCGCATCGCCGTCGCCCGGAGCCAGCTGCGCCTCGTCATCGCCTGCCTCAAGGCCCTGGCCGAGGTCTGGCCCCGCGTCGACCGCTACGTCCGGGAGCTGCAGGAGCTGGCTCGGCTGATGCTGCTGCGCCCGCCGCCGCCGCCGCCGGCGTCTGTGGCGGCGGTCGGGGCTGCGGCAGTGTCGTCGCTGCACTATGGTAGTAGTAATAGTAACGGCAACGGGAGCAGCGGTGCGAGTGTGGCCACGTCGACGCCTACCCCGCCCACGCCACCACCGCCGCCGCCGCCGCCGCCACTCGCTGACGACGGGGGAATGGGCGACTGGTTGCTGAGCGACGTCGCCGCGGCAATAACTGCGTTTCCCGTGCAAAACACGCCGCTTTGGAGCGGCTGCGAAAACTTGCTACTGTCTGGCTGCGACTTGTCACTGTGGTCAACATGATGTGGAAGGCTTTCTTCGCTTGATTTTGACCACTCTGAATGCCTCGGTAGTCTATCGTCTGGTCCGTAGAATCTCGAAAAAAGGCATCCTAATATTGTGGTAATAGAGAGGGTGAATGGCAGGGGTATCAGACAATGGGATGGCATAACATGAACGATAGATACACCATTCTCCTCTCGATAGCCGTCTAAAAGTTGTCTCAATCATCTCAAAGCAGGCGGGGGATGGCCCAACAGAGGCGAACTATAAAAAAAAAAAGTACGGAACAAATCTGATAAACATAAAAAAAATGAGTAGGCATAAAAGCCCAGGCTCCTCGACTCTCGACCTTAGCTCTCCACCGTCAGCTGCTCGCCCTCGTCGAGCAGGTCCGTCACCTTCTTGACGTTCTGAATCAGCGACTGCCCAAGCCCGACGAGCAGCAGCTTCTCCGCGTTGGCCGGCAGGCCTAGATACGTGGGCGGCTCGCGCTCGGGAAGGCCCTGGATCCACGACATGAAGTCCTGCATCGACGTGCCCTGCGGCACCACCAGGTCGCCGCCCGACTCCTCGGCCCCCGCCGCCTCCACCAGCTTGTGGTTGATCTCGTACGCCTCGGGCGTGAGGAACTTGTGGATCAGCTGCCTTAGCATCTTGTAGTCGCCCTCGTCGTCGATCTTGCCTCCATACATCTCCGTGATGAGGTAGCGGATCATGTCCCACGGTATGTTCTGCGGCGCAATGTTGGTTCGCTTGTTGGACGCCGTGTCGATCCACGTGTCGATGATGAAGGCCGAGCACTCGTAGTCGCTGTCGTTGAACTCCCAGAAGCCCTTCCAGCCCAGGCTCGGCGCGTACCGCAGCCGCTCCTGCACCACCGCGTGTAGAAACGACAGGAGCAGGTACAGCCTGGTGCGCTCGACGGGGCTCTTGGCCGGCCTGGCCGAGAGGGACGACATCGAGTCCTTCATGTTGGCCCGGACGCCGGCCGGCTGCTCGTACATGAGCACACGCGACGCCCGCAGCAGGTTGACGGGAATCTTGGTACTCGACTCCATCGACAGGAAGAGGCGGAAGTCGGGGTGCGGGTTGAGCGACTCCATGCGCTTCTCCAGGCTCTGTAGCCACGTTGGCGCCAGGTGCACGTTTTTGACCAGGACCCACGATCCCGTCTGCGCCGCGTTGCTGAGCGACTTGTCGGCGCTCGCGAGGCCTTCGTTGGAGCCCATGGCGATGTTGGTGCACCTCACTCCGCGCCGCTCCACCAGAGAGTCCACCTTGTAGCTGGCGTCGAAGCCGGGGCTCGAGACCAGCGCCACCGGCCGCGTCGGCGGCACCTGCGACACCGTCGCCCCCAGGTCCTCCACCACGTCCAGCAGCCCCTCTCCGAAGACGAGCACCGCGAACCGCTCCGCCGCCGGAACGAACCGGTCCATGCGGAAGAGCTTGACCATGAGCAGCGAGAGCAGCGCCTTGTCGTTCATCCACGTGTCCTCTTCCCACACCTGCGGCACAAAGTTCTCGGCCTGCTCCTCCGTCAGGAACTTGTCCCAGCTGGCGCTCGGCACCTTCTCCAGCTTGTCCTTGAGCGCCGACAGCCGCGATGCCTTGGCGAACACCTGGTCTCTGGCATCCTTGTTGGAAGACAGGTCTGCGCCCGGCACCTTTTCGTCGAGAATCATGTCAATGAGACGTCGGTCCATCCTGTAGGGAGAGGCCTGGGCCAAGAGGATGGCGAGCGTGATGCGGTCCTTCTGCAGCAGGCCAAGCGCCGTGCGCTGGTAGGCCGTCACGAAGAGGTCTTGGACTATGACGTCCCGGCGCTTGACATAGTCCGTCTCGGCCGCTAGACGCGGGTTCTCGCGCAGCACCGTATGGAAGATGTCGAGGAAGTACTGCAGCGAGAGTCGGTAGAAGTGGTTCAGGTAATGGAGCTGCTCCAGTACGGCGAAGACGGCACTGCAGGACCGCGCGATGATGTCGTAGCCCTTGGTGATCTCCTCCACCTCGGCCATGACACCCTCGGTGTTGCTCATCTTGGCCGAGATATCAGCCGCCTCCTTCTTGAGCGTCTCGAGCGTCCTGAGGACGTTGTCGTCATCGAGGATGTTGCCGCGGGACTCGTTGAGCGCCTGGAGGAGGCGCTTCTCGAGCTGGCGCAGATGCACCTTGAACTCGCCCTGCAGCTTGATGAGGTTGGACCGCCGCTCGTCGACATCGGGCCGCTCCGACTTGAGCACCTCGTTGAGCGACTGCGTCTGCAGACTGCTCTGCGTGACCGTGAAGTTGACAAACGTCGTGCGACTGCAAATGTCGGGCGCAAACGTGGCCGACGGGTCCCGCGTCGACAGGTAGAGCTTGAACGCGGGCGAGAAGTCGATCTCCTGCCTGCCGAGCTGGATGAGCACACGCCCGCCCGTCTTCTGGTACTCCTTGTTGAGCACGTGGTTGAGCACGGGGTCGAGGTGCTCGGCGTCCTGGATGAGGATGGGGTTGCCGAAACGGAGTGAGCTCTCGAGCTGCTTGGTGAAGGAGTCGTCCAGGAAGCTGGTGACGGTTAGGCGCCGCTCCTTGCTCTCCTTCTGCAGGAACTCGGTAACACGACCCGATGGGTCGATGATGAGCGGGTACCGGTTGAAGCGCTTGAGGATGATGGCGTTCTCCGTGCACAGATCGTCCACGGGGAGCGAGTTGGCCTGCCATCCGAGCCGCTCGTCGGCCGTCGACAGGTACTCGGTCACGGGGTTGTGCTGCTTGATGCTGATGCCCGAAAGCTGCAGCTGGTGGAGCCAGTCCTCCATCATTGACTTGCGAAACATCTGGTCGTAGAGACCGCTGTAGGCCAGGAAGGCCGCGGCGACCAGGACGTCGCCGACGAGCGTGCTGATCTGCGTTTCGAAAGACTTGCTGCCCTCCTCCCAGCGAACCCTCTCCGACGAAAGGCTGTCGAGGAGCTTGACGCTGCGGTCGACCTTGGACTGCACCCCAGTCATCTCGCCCTTGATGGCCTGCGTCTCGCTCACGAGCTCGGCGTACTCGAGCTTGTACGTCGCAATGCTCTTCTCCAGGTTCGCGATGTTGTCCTCGACCGCCTTGGCGTTCGCCCTCGTCTGAAGAGCCTGGTCCTCGAGCTGGGCCACCTCCTCGCGCAGGGGGCCGACACGGTCTAGGATCTCGGCGTAGTTGACCTGCGCCTCAACCCACTGCACCAGGGAACCGCAGGCCTTGCTCGAGAAGTTGACCTTTTCGTACGTGAAGGCCGGGTTGGCAAGGAACTCATTGCGCATCTTCAACCGCAGCGACTTGGTCATCTGCCTCTCGTTGTCAAAGTTGACGATGCTGGCGATGAAGTCGTCTCGTCTCACCACCGCCTGGATGCTCTTCCAGTCCGTCACCTTGTGCCCGATCAGCGTGCACACTGAGTCGAGGGCCAGCTTGACACCCTGGGGCGGAGAGCTCATGGACCGGACCTCCGTCAGGTGCTGGCGTTTGATGGCGCTGACGCTAGCCTTGGCTTCTTCGACCGCTGGCTCCGCCTTGGCTAGGTCCTCGAGCACCACCTTCTTTCGCGAGGCCACCTCGGACTCTTGCACCTCGAGAGCCTTCTGCAACTCGAGGGACGCGGCCTTGCGTTGTTCCGCCTCGCGCTGGTCGGCCACCATGTGCTGCAGCTTCTCGTTCGCCTCGGCGTCTTTGCGCTCGAGCTGCGTCTTCTTCTCAGCCAGGCTGACGCGGAGATCGCGCACCTTGTCCACCGTGTCCCGGAGCTTCTCGAGACCGACGTTGAGATGGCGCTGCTGCTCCTCGAGGTCCTCCCGCTTTTCATTATAGAGCTTGACGTACTGGGCCACAAAGTCCAGGTAGTGTCGCGGCGTGAGGAAGGTGACCTTGTTCTGCTGCTTGAGGAGCTTGGCGTTGAATCGTGCCAGAGAGTGATGGATGTGCACCATCGAGTTGACGACGGCCTCACGGTGAGACGGGGGTAGGTTGATGCCGCTGTAGGCGATGGGGATCGTGTCCGGAGCCTGGAAGCTGGGCCGGTCGAGATCGACCGACTGGGTCAGCTCGTGGCCGACCTGGAACAGAGCCTGGTCGGACCAATCACCGAACCAGTTGAGCACGCAACGGTTGAAAAGAGCGGGACTGGTGGCGGCCTTGGAGCCGAGGCCGTCCTCGGGAGGGTTCATGGTGAAGACCACGTGGAGGTTCTTGACAATTTGCGCCGTGAACCACTTGTACAGCTCCTCCTGCGAGTCCAGCAGCAGGCCCTGGCGCTGGGCACCCTCCTTGCATTGCGTCATGAGAGCGGCCAGATCGTCGCCTTCGAAGAGACCGGGAACCTCGGCGTTGGCGAGCAGCGTGTTCATCCTCTCGAGGAACCCCGAGTCGAGCACGTTGGACTCGTCCATAATGAAGCAAAGCTTCTCGCCCTTGCAGCCGCAGCGGCGGAGCACTTCTCGGAGGTCGTCGTCGAAGTCCTCGCCCGAGTACTTGCCGTGCACTTTGATCTGGAACACCTTCAGGCCGTTCATCCAGGCGACGAACCGGGAAAGCGTGGTCTTGCCACTGCCGCTGACTCCAATCAGGATCAGATGGCCTTGGGGCTGGCGGAACACACGGTCGATGCGGAGCACATGCTCGAGCACATCGTTGAAGAGAATGAGCGGAACGTCCACCTCCTCCTCGCAGAACGTCTTGAGTCTGGCCTTGACGAAGTCGCGGAGCTGCTCCCGGTCGACGGGGACGTAGTTCTTCGAGAGCCAGTTGGAGAAGAGGATGGGCCCGCCAAGAGCGTTGGTCTCGTCAATGGTTGGGAAGTAGGTGAGAGCGATGCGCCGCACGGCGTCCTCGGTCCACTTGCGTTCGTCCTCGGCCACAAGACGGTCCTGGAAGAGACGCAGGGCTTCGTGCGCCCAGATGCGGATGAGGCCTTCGATGGAGAGCGTCTCGAGCGGCCGGATGGCCTCGTACACGCCGCGCACCCACCTAGTGAGCTCACGAGGACTGTAGACATAGTGGGGCTGGATCTTGGGGGTGAAGCGCTGCTGCGACTCGAGATAGAACCTGACCATGGCTTGTGTGATTGCCTCCGAGTATCCGCGGAGCGAGGGGATGATCTTGAGCACGGCCGAGTTGAAGGTTCCGTAAATTTGCTGCAGCGAGAGCTCGCCAGGGTAGTCGACCATGATAAGTGGAGCGTGGCGTAGGAAACGCGCGCCCATGGGGGTACGGCCAGCGTCGGTCGGAGGGTTGCAAGCTCCGACGAACTGAATACGGTCCAGCGTAACCCACGACTTGTCCGAGGTCCTCCAGAAGCCGTTGTGCTCAACCAGCTGGCGGAGGAACGAGATGGCGCGCTGCGTCCCGTACTTGTCGGGGGCGGGCAGGTTGATCTCGTCGCAGAAGACGACGAGCCAACGCCCGATCTGGGTGGGCGAGAGGACGACTCCGTTAAGCGTCTTCTTGTACTCGCAGTACTGCTCAAACGTCTTGATAAGGAGGTCGGGTGTGGTCGCGCTCGAGAAGTTGAGGCCAACAACCTCCATATTGGGCAGCTTCCTGAGGGCGCTGAAAAGTGTCATGGTCTTGCCGGAACCAGGAGGGCCGCAAAGGAGCAGCGGCTTGTGCTCTGCAAGCCACGAGTACAAGACATCCTCGTGCCTGACCGTGTCGAGGGTTGGGATGACAACGTCCGTCTGCGTGATGGAGTGCGTGTTGACCTCGATCGAAGGTACCTGGCTTTGCCAGGGTGTCCAGTCGCCCTTGGGCAGCGACACGTCAAAGTCGATCAGCGAGCTTGAGCCGTCCAGTGGCGGTGATCCAAAGGTGGCAAGGCCGCAAACGCGGTCCCCAAAGACCTTACGATCGTTCAGGGGGCAGTCGCCCGTGAGAGCCCACACCAGGGCGAGAAGGAGCTTCTTGCAGATGTAGGACTCAACCTGCTCCGGCTCCAGGGCGAAGTCGCTGTGCTGGGTGTTGTACTCGATCATATCGCGGACAGCTTTGTTGAGCAGGGAGAAGAGCGTGTTGAGAACGCGTGCGATGGTGAACTCCATGATGTGGTTGTAGCCCTCGGCCTCCTTCAGTGCCTCGAGGATGAAGTTGTCAGTGGTGAGGTACTCCTTGAGCAGGTCCGCGGCATGCCTCTGCACGGTAAGGGCCTTCTCGGCGCTCTGGCCCGTGGCCACGACGTCCTCGTCAAGGTCCTCAAAGGCAACGGACTTCAGGGTCTCGAGGTAATTGTCGACCATCATGCTTGGAGTGACGGTATCCTCGCTGAACCAAACCATACCGCAGCGAGACACGGTGGCGAGGGTCGCGTATTTGAGGTTCTCCACCTCGAACATGATGCGCACGTTCGCGGGCAGGTTGAGACGCTCTCCGTTGGGAAGCGTGAGGAGCTTGTTGTCATCGAGCACACTGTTCAAGTTCTCAACCCACTCCGGGTCGACATCCCCGTCGAATACGATCCAGTGGCGCTTCGAGTCCTCACCACGCAGGTTGTCGACAATCTTTCGCAGGATGCTAGTGAACAGACCGTCGGTCCATTCACGCGTGGTCGAGTCAAGATTTCCGTAGAGGGCCTCCTTGGACATGACCTTGGAGTCGATGATATGCGACACGCCCTCAACGCCCTCCACCTTCTGCAGGGCGTCGAGAAGCAGCGTCCAGGCGGCAGACTTTCCGGATCCCGAGCTTCCCACCATCATGACACCGTGGTGGATGCCCTGGATTTGGTACAGCTGCAAGATCTTGGTCATCCAGGTATCGTTGACAACCAGCTGCCTCTCATCCGCCAGGCCACGGATCGCCTCTTCGAGCTTTTGCAGGTTCGCTGGCACATACGATATCCCTGGGAAGCAGACCTCCTCAATTCCGCTCATAATCTCAACATCGGACTTGATCAGCTTCGGAGCAATTGTTTCTCGAATCGACTGGACAAGAATCTCGGGCTCGACGACCTCCTCGGAGCCGATGCCACCGTCGCTATTGGTGAGCCTAGCTCGCTTGAGTCCACCAGAGCTCACAAGGACGCTCTTCAACGCACGAAGGCCGAAGTCGTAATGGGCCTGCTTGGAAAGTTTGGCGCCGCACTGGTCGAAGAAGGGCACTGTCTGCTTGGACAGCTGCTTGGCCTGGTTGAAGCCCTGCGAGTAGAGCATGACTTCCGCAATGAGCTCCTTGTCCGGCTTGGACATTGCGACACTGCGGAACAGCTTCTTGAGGTTGTCTGGCAAGTTAGAACGACCGGCATAGCCCGGGTTCATGGTGATGAAGATGCCAGTGTTCGCATTGACATGCAGCTGGCGCCCAATCAGTTCGATCTGGGCCTTCTCGTCCTCGACACCCTGCTTGAGACCCAGCTGGATGTTCTGGATCTGCTGCGACACAGCCGACAGAATCCTCTCCTCGAGACGGTTGAACTCGTCGAAGCAGCCCCACGCGCCGACCTGGCAGATACCCAGGAAAATGCGGCCCATGGCCTGGAAGTCGAACGTGTCGTCACAGCAGAAGACGAGCGTGAACCTTCCCAGCTGCACACCAAGCGCCTTGACTGATTCTGTCTTTCCAGTTCCGGCGGGACCGTATGGCGATCCACCGAGGCGCTGGCAAAGAGCCTGCGTGAGCGTCAGGAAACACCTGTCGGTAAGCGGGGTGCGGACGAGGCGCTCGGGCACGCCGAGGTACTCGAAGCCGTAGGCAAGCTTGGCGTTGGCCATCTTGATGTGGAGGCGCTGGAGGAAGTCGCCCTCAGGAGAGTAGACATAGCGCATCTGCAGCAGCCACATGTAGTGTGTGGGCGTGCTGGCGTTGAGGCCGACGAGCCTCTCGATCACATCGCGCTGGTGCACGCACTCTGTGATGAGCTGCTCGCACTTCTTCCTCATCAGCACCTCGAGGTCGCCCAACACCGTGTCTGCGAGGAGTCGCAGCACCTGGACCTCCTTTTCGAATAGGGACTGGAGAGTGCCGCCACCCTCGGTGAGCGACTGATCCACAGCCGTGGTCCACACGGCCTGGGTGGCCAGCACGACGATCTGGCTGGGATATACCTCCATGAATTCTATGAGTGCCGCCTTGTCGACGTCGGAGCTGTTGAAGATCGGGGTGTACTGCTCGACGGCCTCCGCCAGCAGCTCGGCCAGCGCCGACTTCATTCCGTTCTCTAGCAGTGCCAGCCAGTCGTTGATGCGTGGCGTCTTGAGAACGGAGATCTCCTTCTTGAGCCGCACAACCTCGCCCTCTTTAGACGTGAAGCCAGAGATTATCGCCTCATCGTCCATGATGAGACCCGACAAGCCCGCGAACATCTTCTTGAAGTGCTTTGCAATGCGAAGGGTGTCGTTGCTGTTGCCAATCATCTCCAGCAGGTCCTCGTCACCGACGAAGTAGAACCGAGGGAAGGATACCCGCTCCTTCTCCAGGTACTCTCCAAGGGCTTTTTGGATCTTGTTGAGGAGATCAGCCAGACGCTCGAGCGACTTCTGGACGCCAGGGATGTTGAGCACGTCGAGGACATATGGCTGTTTGTACACCTTCTTCATCACCGACGAGAACTCGGTGTTGATGTTGTTGAACCTAACAGACTCGGTCGGGAGAAGGTGCTTGATGTCGGCGTTGCCGGTAAACACACCCTCGAGATACACCCACTGGCGCTGGACATCGATCCAGACGTCGAAAAGCACGTGCACACGGTTGAGCTTGTCCTCCCAAGACGACGCCTCCTCTTCGAACTCTTTGTAGTAGGGAGAGTGCTTCATGGCCTGGAGTGAGTTGAGGTTCTCGCTGCACTTGGCGAAGAGGTCGTCCCAGCCCTTGATCAGACGGCACTTGTTCTGGTAGTTGACAAGATCCAGGTTGTAGCCAGTCCATATCTCCCTAACCTGCTTGAGGAACTCCTCGAGTGCCATCTCTCCCTGGGCCTGGGCGATAATGTCCTTAATGATGGTCTCGGTGGCGACGAGGTTCAAGTCCCAGACGTCGCCCAGAGTCATGGACACCGGGGAGTATCGCTTGTTTGGCTTAATCTGCTTGTAGATCTTGGTCCAGTGTCTGTCACGCACAGCCTCAGACTTGAGATCGGTGAGGAGGCTGTTGACCTTGAGGTACGTGCGGAGAATGTTCTGAATATGCTCGAAAGCGGCGTACTGGCGCATGCGGCTAGGCATCTCCTTGGTCATCTTGATCAGGCCGTCGATGGCGGCCCTGATCTTCCGAGGCTGGACGCTGTTCCACAACATTTCGCGGAGTTCGTTCAAATTCTTCCAGATGAGCGACAGCGATGCCCAAACCGACTTGAAGTCGTTGACTTCCTCGAGGATGGCGTTGAGGGACGTGTCGGGATCGGCAGGGATGTCGAGCGCCTCCTTTGCCTTGGCGATGCCGATAGACTGGTTCTGCAGCTGGGTGATCCTCTGCTCGAACGAGGCGAGAGTCGCCGACGCCTCGTCAGGAGGAATCGTGCCCGAGACCGGTTTCTCATCGTTCCACTGCACCGAGACCTCCCTGATCTTTTCTCGCACAAGCTGGTCCTCGGCGTTGATCTTGGCCAGTAGTGCATCGGTCTGGTCTTGGATCACCTTCGATCGGCGGGCGAGCAGGTCGTTGAGAGCCTCCCAGAGGCCGTCCACCTGCTGGGCGTGCAGCCAGTCATTGGGGAATTGGTATCGCTGCCGCACGAGCGTCGACTCGCCCTGGCGGAACGTTTCAACCTCTGGTGCCCAGAGCTTAACTTGGCGTTTGCAGGTCTGGACAACCGTGATGAACTGAACGGCCTGATCTGTGGATGATGCCTCGAGTCGCTGGTTCTCCAAGTCGTTGCGGGCCTTTTCAATCTCGGCATGAACCTCCCTCAGGCGGTTGCCCAGCCGGCTGGCGAACTTGATCAGGATGTCATGCTGCCACTGGTCGTACTTGGCGTTGACCTTGGTCTGCACCTGGTCGTAGTCGATGGTGATGTGGCCAAAGGAGCGGCTAACCTCGGTAGTGTCGAAGGTCTGCCGTGTCTTCCTGATCTCTTGGAGCAGCTGCAGCCACTTCGCCAGCTGGTCTCCCAGGATGTCATAAACTTGCTCAGACTGGAGATCCCAGAGAGACTGAAAGCGTAGCCACTCGTTGACGTAGTTGTTGATCTCCAGCAGCTTCTTCTCGACCGAATCCTGGACCCTCGAGAGCATGTCGGTGCACTCGGCGGGCAGATCGTCAAACCGCGCCTCGTCCGTCGTGGTGGTGGTGATGCTCATTTGGTACCTGGTGGCCTTGATCTTCTTCTGGTGACAGATGATGCCGAGCCATTCTTGGAGCTGCAGGTACCAGCTAGCCCGAGCGAATGCCAGGGGAGGATCGAGGTAAATGAGCTGGTTCCGCATGGTAATCTCGTGCACCAACCTCCTCATGGTAGGAATTCCGGGCTTCGCTTCCGAGGGGTCGGCTTGGCTCCTTCTCCTGTCTTCGGAAACGTCCTCCTCGAAAGCCTCGATCCACGCCTGGATCGCCCTCTGGAGGCGCGTAAGCAGAATTGACTTGATCTGGCCGTTTACCCTCTTGACCCAGTACCCGAGATTGACGTATTGCTCCAGGTTCAGCGTATCAACACCTTTTTGAATAGCATCCAGACGGTCCTCAAACGCCTTGGCCTCGTAAGGGCACGTGCCGAGCTCCATCAGGGCCTTCTGAATGTTTTGGTGCACCGAGGCCAGAGTAACCGTTTTTGTCTGCAGCAGGGAGACCTTGGAGGCAAAGTCACGGATGAACATGACGTGTTTGCTCTCACCCTTTCCCAGGCTCCGGTCAAGGCCGCCGTTGGCCAGCTTTGCGGGGTTGAAGTGAAGCTCATACGAATTCACAAATGACTCCCACTTCAGAGGTACACCCTTGACGACAAGTGCTTGGACCTCGTTGCGGTGGCCATTGAGAAGCATCGAGACCTGGGACATCTCGGAGATCTGGCGGGTGGTTTGCGCGAACGTCCGGACGCTCTCCATGAGACTGACGGCGTAGGGATAGACACGCTTCGCCTCCTTGGCCACATTGCTGATCTGATGGGGTATCGCGTAGCCGAGCCAGATGAGGTTCCGCGTCTCCTTGAACAGTGCAATGACATGGGGGTCGAAATTCACCACGAGCTCGAGGGTGTTTCCGGCCGAGCGGATCCTGTGGACGCTAAAGAGCAGACCCGCGATGGACGCGTGCTTACGTCGGGCATCCTCCATCCATGCCTGGTAGATGGGACGGGTATCCAGCTTCTTGCGGAACAGTCGGCTCTCCGAGTACAGCTTTTGGCCTTCGGCGTGGAGAGACCAGTCTGCACCAAGGACGTCCTCGACCTTCTTCATGTACCCATCCAGCTGCTGCTCGATCTGGCGAGCCCAGATGATAGCACCTGCGACCGGGGGCAGGTCGTGGAGCTGGGCCATGGCGTGGGCCTCGGAGTGGCCGTACTGCTGCTTGAAACGCTCGTGCAGAGCCGCGATGGCCTGCTTGACGTTGTCGATGAGCTGGGTCTGGTACTCCGCAATGGCGCCACGGATCTTGGGGCGGACGAAGAGGGCATTAAACTTTGAGAAGACACGGAACATCTCGTTGGCGTTCTTTGCAGTTGCCAGTCGGTCACGCAGCTTTGCGATGATGGAATTCTCGACACGCGATGTCCGCTCGTTGTACACGTTCTCTGCCCTCACCCATCTTGCCGTGCCCTCGCTCGAGACGTCCAGGAGATCAATGTGACGGAGACCCTCCCACGCGGCCTCGACTTCCTTAATGGCGGCCACGTCGCCCATCTCCTCCGCCATGAGAGAGCCATTTGGCCCCTCGACAGAACCGTTGGCCGAGGGCTTGGGTGTGAGGACATTCAAGATGGTCCGCTGAAGCTGCTCATGGTTGTCACGGAAATTGCTGACATATTTGAGCCGGTTCTGGAGCTCGATATGCTTTGGGTTGAACTTGATGGGGATGAACTTCTCGGTACGACGACGCATGACCTCGCGAGCTACGTTGGTGAACTCCTTGACATTCTCATCCCACGTCACGAAGATTGCTTCAGTCGCCTTCATAACAGCGGTGAATTGCGTGTAGTCAAGATCGACGAGCTCTGTGCCGGGAAGCAGCCGGTGCAGAACCTCGTCCAAGTCCTCCGATATCGCATCGACCAGCGCGAGCGACCGGCGGATGGGGTAAGGGCAGATCTTAAGTTTCTTGTTCAGATGGTTGAATATCTGCTCGATGGTGACCTCAACCCTCGACAGCGACGTTGTGGACAGCAGCTCATCAAGGGGGAAGTCGCGCATCAGCTGGTTGTACTTCTGGACCTTGTCCATGGCCTCTTTCAGGCCTGTGTCGGCCGAGAAGCTGACAGTTGCCTGAAAACGCTTTGCTTGCTTCAAGATCTCGAGGGTGAGCATAACGCCCTCACCCCTCAGTTGAGCCTCGATACCCTCAAGAGCAGACTCCATTGACAGCCAAAAGTTGATCTCCTGGTTTGCCCTTCCTGTCGTTGGGTCGCGCGTCATCTTGGTTATGACCTGGATGGACTTGATCCAGTTGTTCACCGTAGCCTGTAGGTTGTTGAGGAAGTGACTGTCGTGGAGCAGGCTGCTGGGAATCAGCTCCAAGCTCGGTCGGGTGTTGCGCGACGCAGCCTCGTCCAGGGCCGTCTGAACTATGGGGTGGAACGGCAGTGCGACCTCGGGGATCTCGACATTCTGCTGGAGGTGGGACAGGCTCAGCTCCAGCTCTGTCCAGCGCTTCTTCGTGACCGGGATACCAGTCTTGGCATCCACATCTGCCCTGCCTCTTGCGCCCGTTGCCGTCTGCTGACTCTTGGTGCTGGCGTCGAAGTAGGGCGCGAGGCCGTTGTGGAGGTAAAGCTGCAAGATCTCGAACGGTGAGGCCGACGGGCCCTGATCTCCGGTGGTGGACGCAAGGTATGCGGGGCCGGGCAGGTTCAACATCTGAATCTGGGCCACAAGCGGGATGCTGGGGTCGAGCGGCTGCGGCCGCTTGAGAAGGCTGAGATAGGCGACCACGGTCGCCGACGCCGACATGTCGTGGACGATGTTGAATTTGTGCCCTGGGGCTTCTGAAAGCAGAGAAACGGTCGGGTTAGTTAAGGGCATTCGTGCGTGTGGGTAGACACCAAGTAGAGCCAGGGCACAGCATGGCGGCTGCACCTACTTGAGTCGTCATCGGCCTCTTCTATCGTGGGAGCCGACGTCATCTCCTTCTGGATCAGCAGGGAGACCTGCGGCTCGTTGGCGAAGCGGGTGCATCGGTGAAGCGTATCCGAGTAGAAGGCGTTGGAGAGCAGGCTGTCCGGGGCCTCGAGCTCCTCGCGGGTGGCGCCCAGGGCGGCCCCAAGCACTATCCTCAAGTGCTCGACGAGCTTCCCGCCGTCCATTGTGGGAAATGCGGGCGGCCCGACGCCGTTGGCGCCAGGACTCACGACCTGGGTCGAGGGGACGACGTCCATGGTCGGCGGTCGCTGTCGCTGTCGCGACTGCTGCGAATATGTCTTGTTTGCTGATCTAGGGGACCGGCGAGGTCATGGCTTGTGATGCGTGGGGTATAGGGAGGTTGTATTAAAGTCGGCACTTGGAGAAAGGTAATATCCGGTGAGGGACCGCGTTTGCTGGGGGGAGGCCGTATGCGGGAAAAGGGACTGCACGAGTCGGAGCGAAAGGAAGAAATCAAAACGATGGGTATCACGCGTCGAGAGCCGTTCCTCTGATAGGCAGACTAGAGCAAGAGTTGGTGGATGGTGGTAAGGAGTGTGAGGAAGCGGTGCTTTGCTCATGACTTTTCCCCTTCATTCCACACTCCCGCAATTACGCGGTCGCAAGCAGGGCCCCTAGTCGCGATGGTGACTGCACGGCAGCCACGCGTGGCGGCAGGTGTGGGGTGGGGTGTGTGGCAGGGACTTTATGCGCCCGCTAATTGGCCGCTAGGGAATCGTCAGCTAACCAAACGGTCCCTGAAACCTGCAGCAGATTGAGACGGCACACTCCAAGCAGACCGAAGTCACCCAAGACAGGCTGGAGCCACACCCAACCAAAGACAAGTGCGGTGTTTGTTTTTAATGCTTGGTTCGCGGCAGTTCTCTCCGGAGATCACCCGTAACAATGGATCCTTCAGGCCACCCTCCTACCTATCAAAATATCGGGAATTTAGCCTTGCGACCCAACGGAGAAATTTAGATAGTGACAAAACAGACAGGGTGCCCAGGAGCTTACATTGTTTGCGCTGGACTACGCTTTTCCGCCTCTCGGCCAGTCAAAATCAATATGATGAAAATCAGAGTTGTGTTCCTTCGCGGCGATGGACGTGCAATTGGATCTGGCTACACAAACCCCAGCAGAAATCCAATACGTCCGCTTCATAGAATCAACATATGAAAAACCCCGGCTCCATGAAATCTCAAACGCAGAACTAACGAGGACATAATATCTGGGCCAAAAGAAAATCTCAAAAACGGGAAGACTTGTATTCACTGACATCTCGTAAACCTCCACATGCGTCCCAGCAGAGAGAACGTATCAAAACCGAGCGCCTCACGCGGTGCTTTGCTTTCCCCCATATTACATTGCCCACCCTCCCCACGCCTCATGACAGAAAAAAAACAAAAAAAACAAGAAAATGCTCACAAACGCCCCTTGCTCCAAACACAGGTAAAAATTGCTCTAGAAATCCAAAAGAGAGAGGGGGGAAACAGAGTCGTCGACCAGCAGTCACCCCAGAAGGCAGCAACCCACCATCGCCATAAATCCACACTTTGCTCCTTGATCCGGCTCGATACTGCAGATACAACCAACGTGAACAAATTCAAATACCCAACAGTTAGGGGGCAGGAACGATGGAAGCACCTCCGTTTTCGTTGCCATCGTTCAGCCGTTCTCGCTGCACCATGACCCTCTGATTGCAGATGTCGATGAACATCTCGAATTTATGGATCATCTTGTCCTTTTCCTCCAGCTGCTGCTTGAGCTCCTCGATCTCTTTGGCCGAGTCGGCTTTGAGTTTGTCGTAGTCCTCTTTGGTCTTGGCAAGCTCACGGCGAAGGTCGGCTCGGATGCGGTCTTCGGCGGACGGCTGGGGCTTGCTGTATATGGTCATCTTGTTCTCAGAAGCCCCAGCCGCTACCTTTTGTGGGTTGCGGTTGATAGCCGCCCTCGCGTTGTATATATCTCGAGGGAGGAGCGGTACGTTGGGGTGTTCGGTCTGCAGTATTTCAAGAGTTTGGGTCACACCAACACCTATTATTCGGCTTGTCAGTAAACTCTGGCTCGACAATGCCAGCCGTAGCCAGTAGGGCGCGTACCATTCTCCTTGAGTGCCTTTACGGACGCCACCATTTTGCTGTCAAGCTTGCGAGCAGCGGGGTGGAGCAGGGGGCTCTGACTTGGTCCATGGTTGTGGGTGAGATGTGCGGAATCAGGGCGATACCGCACGATCCACTGGGTCCTCTGCTCGATGGCGAAAAAGCCGAACTGGCAGTCACATTTGCGGGACGACGTTTTCCTCTTACGGAGCTCCGGGTTGACCCGCTTCGGAGGCTTTCCGGCGCGGTCACAGACAAACAGGACTTTCTTCAGCCCTGGAACTGTCTTTTTCGACCGCCCGATGACGACCGCGTATCCGACCGAGGTGCAGTACGCGAGCACGTACTTGTGCACGGCATCCAGAGTCGGGTAGCTGCCGCCCTCTGGTGGGGCCGACATAAGCTCTCCCATGGGTTCCCGCGCGACGGCAGCAGCGTCAGAGAGCTTGGATTGGTCACCGTCATCATCTTCAGCCGCAATGTCAATCTCCATCTCATCCTCGTGGTGGCTCTCTTCTGCGTGTGTCGGAGTCGGAGTTTCCTGCTTTTGCGGAACAGGTGTGTGGTGCGCAGAGGTCTGGTGCGCCTGTGCCTGGTGGGGTTGCGGTTGCTGTATTGATGGTTGCTGGACCTGTGTTTGCGGCTGATGGCTCTGTTGCTGCTGTTGCTGTTGCTGAGCCTGTTGCTGGGCTTGATGAGCCTGCTGGACTTGCTGGGCCTGTTGGGCCTGTTGAGCCTGTTGAGCTTGCTGGGCCTGCTGGACTTGCTGAGCCTGCTGAACCTGCTGGGCTTGCTGTGCCTGCTGTGCCTGTTGAGCCTGCTGTGCCTGTTGAGCCTGTTGAGCCTGTTGAGCCTGCTGCTGGACGTGCTGAACCTGTTGCACTTGCTGGACCTGTTGGGTTTGCTGGACCTGGTGCGCCGAGTGTGTTTGGTGCACCGGCAGGGCATGTTGCGGCTGAGGGGTTGGTGTTGTGTGTGTCTGTTGCGCCTGCTGCGCCTGTGCCTGGTGGTTCTGATGCCCTTGGTGAACCTGGTGGGCTTGGTGAGTGGGCTGATGCGCAGCATTCTGCTTCAGCGGCAGCTGTTGCCGCACTTGCGGTTGCTGTATTTGGCTCTGATGAACCGCCGAAGGATGAACCTGGGGCTTGTGAATCTGTGCCTGATGCGCCACCGGCTGCTGGTGAATTTGCTGCTGGTGGGTTTGCGAGGGATGCACAGCGGCAACCGGCTGCGTCTGCTGGGCCTGCTGAGTGTGTTGGGCATGTTGGGAGTGCTGGACCTGATGTACCTGGGGAACCTGCTGAACTTGTTGCACCTGGGATATCTGAGGTTGAGATGGAGGTCGAGGAAGGGCTAAGGAGAGAGACGGATGTTGTGGTTGCTGAGGCTGCGGCTGTTGCTGGTTGTGCTGGACTGACTGCTGTTGGTGTTGCGATGGCTGCTGCTGCTGATGCTGCTGCGGCTGCTGCTGCTGTTGTTGCTGCGACTGCTGCTGCTGGACAGACTGTTGTTGCTGCTGCTGCTGCTGCTGATAGTGAGGCTGTGCTTGTGATTGTTGGGTTTGTTGTTGCTGATGGTGGTGTTGGTGGTGCTGGGTGTGCTGGGGGTGCTGGGTGTGTGTCTGGTGCGCCTGGTGCTGGGCATGTGTTTGGTGCGCTTGGTGCGCCTGGTGCTGCGCGTGTGTCTGGTGCGGTTGTTGGTGTTGTTGATGCTGCTGGTGCTGGTGCTGCTGCGACTGCTGGCGGGCTAGCATATGGCTGTCGTTCTGCTGGGGGACGGCATGGCCCATGCCAGGGTTCATGGCCTGGGCGAGGTAGTTCAGCGACTGGGTCGGCGGAGGCATCTGACGCGGAGGCATGGCCCGCTGGCGAGAGACGTTGACGGGCGCGGCGATCGGGGCCTGCTGTCGGGCGGCATTTTGGACGGTCGGGACGGGCGAGGCCGATGTAGTGAATATGTGATGAGGATAGCCGCTCTGCTGGGCTTGCTGAGCGTACGCCTGGGTATGATATGGTGACGCGTGCTGCTGCGACAGCGAGGGCGAGGGCTTGCCGGTCGTGTGGGATTGCGTTGGAGGGTAGCCGCCGCGTCGGAGGTTGCTTACGCCAAAAGTCAGACCCGGGTGAGTGTTGGTCGACATGATGGCGAAACGGCCGAAAACAAAACCCCAAGACGCAAAGCTCAAAAGGCAGGAAGCAGCCGAACGGCGGCACGAGGGAACACTGCTGCCTCGACGCTGGGCCTCGAACCCAAGCTCTTTGACAGACTGCCTCAACCCTCACAAAGGACCAAATGTGGGCGGGCGTGTAGATACAAGGATGTGGAGGAGGTGTATGGAGTGTTTTGGAAAGGTGTGGGCAGCCCTGGTGTACGGCGAGAAGAGAAGAGGGCGTGGGAAACGTGGGCGTTCGGCGGGAGGAGGGAGCGCAGGCGCCAGCCAGTAGGAGTGGCACCGTAGGCTGCCAGTGATTGGTGGCCAGCCCCGCCAAAGGCGGGCACTGTGCTGCCGCTGGGCCTGACAAATGCTGGGAGCACATCCGCACACTGTGCTGTTCATGGGATGCCTGTTTGGCTTCAGGCGGGGCCACGGGCACCTGCGTATCCTGGTACAGTATGTTACAGTGCGGGGACCATGATGGGCACCTTTGCCCGGCTGGTCTGCGCTTTGGCCGTTTGCCTGCTGGGCTTTATTTTTTCGGATCATGGCCAGAAAGTCAATCTTGGCCACTCCTCCCGCACCTCCAGCAGCCCTGCACCCTCGATGAGCGAGACGATCTGATCAAATAAATCGCGGCTCGATCTGTAGCTGAGGCACCACTGGTTGATCTGTTCAGAATATGTGAGCCTTGTTCGCGATGCACTTTCGGGGTTTTTTGCAATTTGCAATTTGCAATTTGCTTATGCAGATGCTGCTGTTGCTGTGAAGCTCGAGCCCGCCCAGTTTGGCCAGGAAATCAGCTTGGGCGGTGGATTGTGTCCCCCAATTGGTAGCGTGTACAACCCTGCGTGTGTTTGTGTGGCCTCCACCCTGTTTGGGATCGGCAGCCGTCTAGCAGCCCTTGATCTAAACCCATGCCCCCCAGAGCGCACCGACTCGGCCAGCCGAGCGCTGGAGGGCGGGACGCTGCTGGACGACAACCTTAACTTCCATTTCATGTGGGTTGGTACTGTAGTATTGATAATTGACCTTAGCTTTTGTGTTATTGTCACAGCTCGGGCGGCGAACTACCACCGACATTATTCAGCCCTTGTCCCACAAGTGGGTGTGAGCTTCCAGGGCAGAATTGCTGGTGGTGGTGGCATCGATTTCTTAGCTCCACACTTCACGCTTTTCTGTCCCTCCCAAATGGTATGGGAGACGTGCTAGAGGTGCGTGTTGCGACGCCCAGCCGTGCAGCTGTTTTTTTTTCTGTTCAATGGATGTTTCGTTTCCATCTTTCTTTCCCCACGCCCACGTTTCACTTCCGCTGTTCCTCTTCAGGCCGTGCTCGGTATTTCCTCATCCTACACTCCCAATGCCGCTCGCTGATGGCTGGTGGGGGGCTCTTGGTTTTCGCTCTGTCTACCTCGGTCTTTATTTTATCGTGCTGCTTTTCGTGCCATGCCGCCCGCCGCGCTGCATATCACCCACCCCCTCTTGCATATTCCCCTCGTTAACTTGACTGGCTTCCCCTTGCGAGTGAGGGCTAGGGAACACTTTAGCCGCAGCTGTTTGCTTTCCCAGCAGGCGTTCCAGGGCAACAGTCTCGAAGTTAGCCTAGGAACATGAATATTTGCCAGCCTCCTCCATCCCGGGGCCACTCATCATGCCAAAAAAATGTCTTGAATCAACTCTTTGCTCATTACATGCTCAAGACACGACAAGGTGGGCGTGAAATATTTGATTAGCTGCAGTTCATGACCGGTATTCGGCAACTAGGATTCAAACGCTGTGATGGCTGGGAACACACACATGGCGCTAGCCCATTTTCGCCCCCCCACCCTCCCCCCCCCCCCCCCCTCGTGCTGTCACTCCCGCCGCATTGCCTGTGCTGCTACCCACGCCGCCGCGGCGCCATGGAACCCAGCAGGACGCAGCGCACGCGCTCGCCCCCAGGATTCTGTGCACACTACCACGCACACAGAACCTTGCAGGCGCCGACACGATGGCGTTGGTGACAATGTGAAGGGAGGGTGAGGTGAAGAAGCATGGAGGCAACCGAGATGACATAGCCTAACAGCCTAGTCGGCATACCACATTGCTTAGCTCGTTCTGCAGCTTAGAGGATCAGGAAATACACTCGGCGTCCGAAAAGGGTAACCTGGGAGTGGGATACAAGGGCAGGAGGAGAAAAAGGGAGGGCTGCTGCACCACGCTCGTCCTCATCACAGAACTGCAGGCCCGCGACGGGTGCGTGCTTATCGACGGCACCACCACATCACACCTGCGTGTTTATTGATATCCCACTGCCGGCGGGGGTGTCACGTCGGGGTTGAGCTGGGCGACTGGCACACTGAGCACGCTGGGGCTGGGTCCATGGCATGGTTACCCAAAGGTATAATGTCTCGAATGTTTGCCTGACAGGCGCACAAACGCTGGGCTCATCTTCTCCGTCCGATCGAGGAGGGCAGCTGCTTCTCGGCTGCGTGTCCTTCCTTCCTTCCTTCTTCTTTGGCGTCTTCTTTCCTCCCCACCCTCCGCGCCATCAGAAAGCTTGAATGCAGCATCGTGCTTTCTCTGAAGCTTCGTTGGTTCGCCTTCCCGATCCACCCCCAAATACCGCCTGCACTTGGGCGCAAGTGCTGCTTGGTTGGCCGACATCTGGCAGCCGCCGTTTGCCCAACCCCGATACGTATCTTGCGTGTTTGCAAGGTGCTACATTCGTCACACCCAAGTGCCAATGATCTGGCATCCAGGACGCTGAGGTTCTAGCCTCATCCTGAGATAAGTCCGTGTCCCAGGCTATCTGCTGGCTGCCTTTCCCACTCGTTCGCGACACGTGGAGGTGCCGACCAAGACACCAGGATATGCCGAGGTAGGAGTCCCCCTCTTGGTCGAGCTACTCCTCTCTCCGTCACTCCAGCCCATCTAGGTACCTTGTCGAGCTATCTTGGCCACGTCAAGGCGGTGCCAACTCCAACGCTGCTGACTGGAATCTCAAAGCACCCACCTAGTTCTCTCCACCCGGATATACGAAGAGAAAGCACGAGTTCTATGGGAAACGTCGAAGACTGGGAAGTAAAAGCAAAAGCAAACGGATAACAAAGACAAGCACAAGAAAAAGAAATAAGAGAAACACAGGGAGTGGGAGTAATGGCTTTGGCAACAGCTCCCGGGCTTGGGGGCCTGATCCCGGTACCAGCGTTAGCGGCAGGAGTGGACCCCTACGCAATGTTTCCTCGGTGCCGCACGCCTCCCAGTACAGCTCCCGCAGCAGCCCCCAGTCTGGATCCCGCGCCGGCTAGCGCCGCCGCCACCCCGGATTTAGCCGCCCGGGCCACACCTGGGTCTCCTCCGACTCTGCCGCCCCCACACAAGCAGCGGCCCGCGGCACGCAGCAACGACGAAAATAGCGGCGGCTGCCGACGTCAGAGCCGAGGCAGCCCCAGCCCGCGCCCCCTCGGCAGTCGCAAGAGGCGGTGCAGGACGTCACTCCGAGGGTCGGGCCCTGGGCGTGGCAGCACTCGATTTGCCGCCGAGGGCACGGCAGCGGACGAGGGTGACAGCCTGGACGGCAAAGACAACACCGGGCCGCCTCTGAGCGTTGATAATGCCACAGGTTCAGTGAGAGAGTACCGCGAGCTTGTCTCGACGCCAGAACATGTCACAAGGGTGTCGTTCCTGCGTTGGCGAACCCGCGACTCGTGGTTCTGCTTCCCCGGAGAGATCAGGAACCAGATCTACGAGGAGCTGCTGCTGCCGCCGTCATCGTACGACATGTACGCCGGCTACTACGGAGACATGAAGGCCGGCCGTCGGGGCGACGCCGACGTCGCCGCCGCCGCCACCGGACGGGGAGAGCAAGTCCACGAGCCCGGCAGCATCCGCCTGCAGACGCCCGGAATCCTCCTCGTCTGCCGCGCCATCACGGGCGAGTGCACGCCGATTCTGCGCGCGCGCACCCTCGTCGTCGACCGCGTCCCGCCCTGGCCCCCCGGCTCGCCCGCGCCGCTGCCCGTGTCACGCTTCATCGGCCACACGACGCTGCGGCGCTTGCACACGCTCGAGCTCCGCGTCGAGCTGGGCCGCGGCGCCATGGGCAGCGGCTGGGTCTGGAACCCGCTGGTGCGCGACCTCCTGGCCGTGCTGTGCGGCGGCGCCGGCAACGAGCTGCGCCGGCTCCGCGTCGTCGTCAAGCTGTTCCGCCTCGGCTGCGTCCCCGCCTACACGGCCGGCGGCGAGGGCGCCGAGTGGGATAGGCTGTTTGCCCACCTCGAGTGGTTCCGCGCCGCCAACCCCATGATCTGGAGCCCGCCCACCGTCGAGGTCGAGTTCTGGGCCGTCGGCGCCGCCGACGTCGTCGCACTCGAGCCCTTCCCCGCGCCGCCGCCGTCGTCATTGCCCGCGGGCCCGCGGGGGCTCCCGCGGAGCCTGCAGGAACTGGACGTGTGCTTGCGGCCCTGGCAGTTCCGGTACGCGCGCGCCCGCAGGATCGGCGACGCCACCGACTGCGCCCTGGTTCCGGGCTCCGTCACCGAGTTCCTCGCCGAGGACCCTCGGGACAGGGACGTGGTTGGGAATCACGGGGTGCAAGGTTCTGGTCAAGATGACGAGGACGAGGACGAAGATGAAGGTGAGGATGACGAGGACGACGATAACGGATACGATATGGATTAAGATGATGCCGCGGACGAGGCTTGAGACGAGGGGATAATGGAAACGATATACTAGAAAAGTTGGCGAGCGCAGATTTCTGAACAGCATTCTAGGTACGGGCTGAGAATCACTGGTGGTAGAGGAAATGTGTCGATGCTTGATATTCATAGTCTCGTCACAAAAGAATACACATGGGGTGGACATGCCTCCCAAGTTCTTCCCGGTTCTCGCTCATCCCCGTTCGGTCTTTGAATTACACGCCCGAAGTCGCCCAAACACACCCGTAATATCTCGAAAGAGCAAGAGGAGTAGGAAATATTATCCGTCGTTTCATATGTTGTAGTCCTCCACGCCGGCACTCCCGCCCTGCCGGCCCGAGGACTCGAACCACGTCCCAAAGTCGAGCTTCATCAGCAGCCGATCCACCCTCCCGACCCGGCGGGGCACATACTCGCCGAGCTCGACGAGGGCGCCGCGGTCCTCGTCGTCGTCGTCGTCGTCGGCCGCACCGCCGCCGCCGCCGTCGTCGTGCGCCTCGGCCGCACCTCCCATGTCGTCGCCGCTCCCGGCGGGCAGGGCGTTGCCGCCGCCACCGCTGTCGTCCCTGGCCTCGACGGCGCGCAGCTCGGCGATGCAGGCCTCGACGCCCGCCTTGATGCGGCGCTCGACGGCGGCGATCTCGGCGCGGACGTCGGCCTCCTCGCGCTCCAGGTCGACAAAGGCGTCGACGACGCCCGCGTCGGCCTCGAGGTCCATCGACGACCAGATGCCCTGCAGCCGGTGCACGAGCGCCACCAGTCGGTCCACGTCCACTAGGAGCTCGTACAGCACGTCGGTGAAGGACTGCTGCGTGAGGAGCACTCGCCTCGCGAGCGTGCGGAGGTACAGCCGGTGCGCCGTCGCCAGCGACTGCGGGTCGTGCGGCTGGCGTGTGTCTTGCGATGGCGGCTGCCCGTCTGTAGGATCTGTGGCGGCGGTGGCGGCGGCGGCAGACGCGAGCCATATGTCGTCTCCGTCGTCGTTATCGTTATCGTCGTCGTCCTCGTCCATTTCATCGCGGGACCTCTTGCCCAGCGTATGCAACTTCAGGGGTTTGTTCCGGCGGTCGTCAGGCCTCGCTTGGTCGTCGCCCGTGAGCAGCCACTGCTGGAAGCCGTCCCAGAGCCCGGCGACGACCTCGTTCTGCAGGTAGGCCTCGGTCTCGGCGAGGAAGAATATGACTGCGCTGCATGTCGCCCACACGCTCCGCATCGCAGCCGACCGCGCCGTGTTACGGCCGCGCAGCAGCTTGACCTTGGCCCGGCCCGAGGGTGTGCTCCCGTACGGCGGGCGCGGGGGTGGTGGCCAGTGTCGTCTCAGGGCTGTGATCTTCCAGAGGTCCGTGAGCCGCAGATGGGCTTTCCGGACCGAGAGCAAGTATGAGTTTATTGACGTGTATGTCTGCACGTCGGACTGGCTGAGGAAGAGGTCGAGCGGGGAAGGGATGTCGAGCGTGAGAACGACGGGAACAGACAACAAGAGGTTCCTGAACGGGGTTGTGGCGATATTGCTCACGTAGCCAAATGCCGACGGCGGGGCACCCCCAGACGTGGAGGCGGACAGTTTTGACTTTGCGAGGGTGAGCCTGATGATGTCCCTCGCCATCTCGAGGCCCTCGTCCTCATCCGAATGCTGGCCCTGGAGCGAGCCCAGGGCGCCCCAGGTGCGCGCGAGTACCGACATGACCTCGCCCTCCTTGAGCAGGATGTTGGCCAGGGGTTCTTGCCTGCCGTATGCAGCACTCATATTGTCGACTTTGCGCCAACGGCTTCGCATCTTCTCGTCTGCCTGTTGAGACAGGGCCATGGCGAAGTCACCGCGGCCGAGCAGGAAGAAATCTCGTAGCACTTGCAACATCTCCATAACTCTGGCAAGTGGCAGAAATTTCTGTAGGATATTTCTCGAGAGGAAGAAGCGGATGTCTGTTATAGTCCTCGAAAACACTGCACCGTCGAGGGGAAACGAGAGCTTGGATAGCTCGGATAGTTGGGAGGACAGGTGGTGGACAGCGCCCTGCCCCGACGCTTCTGCTGCTTTGGCTCGTATCTGGCTGAGGGACTTGCCGATGAACAACAGGGAGGTGGCCGTTGGTGCTGTGACAAACGACGGGAGCAGATATGGATTGGAAATAAAGTCCTGTAGCGATTTCGTTGTTAGTATGCGTGTGGATGTTTAACCAAGGATAGCCAAAATCACATGCCTCTTCGCTCCCTTGAGCTGCCTTTTGTATAAAGAAGTCGCCCGACCCAAACGTGGGAAGCCGGCCGTAAAGCACCCAAGCCGAGACCTGCTTGAGCCAGGCCGTCTCGGCAACAGCTACGAGGCTCCTGGCGGTGGTCTCGATGTCGACGTAGCCAGTTTGCAGCTCGGCGCGGAGCCAGTCTATTATCCTGGCGCCAGTGCACGCCATGGCGACGCCGCCGCCGCCGCCGCCGCCATCCCGCCTCTCGCCCCTCAGCATGAGGCTGACGACCTCCCAGAGCCACTCCATGCGCCTGATCCAGGCCGAGAACTCGCCGACAACGGCGGTCAGGGGCACGATGTTGTAGGCGCCGACCAGGGCCGGGTCGCTGCGCAGGACCGAGGCCTCGATGTCGAGGACCTTGCGGCGGAAGGCGGCGAGGTGGGCCGACGAGACCGAGGCGGCGACGGCACGGCAGATGGTGGAGGGGTGCGACGACGCGATCTGGGCCGAATAGCCCTGCACCTTGACGTGCAGGCTGCTGAGGTGCGACACGGACGCTAGGAGCTCGCGCTCGGGAGGCGAGAAGACGGCCGCGGCGGCCGCTGATGCTGCGGCTGCGGCTGCGGCTGCGGGACCGGCATCCGCATCGGGGGCTGCGGCGTCGGCGCGGAGTAGTGGAGATGGGTGCCCGGCGAGGGAGAGGAGGATTTCGTGGAGCATTGCGGTTTGGTGGTGCTGGTGCCGTCCTGGCTGCTTTTCCTATTCATGGGGGCGTCGAGAGTTGGTCCCTGCATATCAGCTGTCTGGTCCGTCTCTCGCTGCTGGGAGGGCCTTGTTCGCAGGCGGTGTCCGTGACGCAAGGGTGCATTGCATATGCAGACGCCGATGCCAGCGCTCCGCGGGGTCTTGCATCGGGGGAGGGGGTGCCTCATGGAATGCTCGACGCACAATTTCATCTCTGATATGAGCAGCAGAATCGTTCCTAGCAATTCGAACCGGCACATGAGGTCGCGTCTGTGGGGCCGGTCCCCGGTCTTTGCTGCGCTAGTGCAGGGATGGGGCTGGATGACGAGCTTGAGCAGTGGACTTGACTGGACTGGGGGTTTCGTGGAGGAGTGAGCGATGCAGGTCAACGTCTAGAAGGACTCGCGAGCCGTGGATCGTGGATAGCAGTTTCAACAGCTGGCAGTTGGGGAGACGCCGATGCCAGAGTCAGATATATTGTCACTGAACTGCGCTCGTCCTTTTGCCCAAAATAGCGCAACGTCTGCTGTCCCCTGTTGAATTGACCGAACCAGGGGATGAGTCGGCTGCTGGGGGACCCTGGTCGTCGCGCTGGCCACCCTCGTTGGGCAGCGAGGCCAGCTGGGTTGACTTGTGCGGGCGGCACTTGTGGGTGACGCGAGGTTCCACAGCCGTTACAGCCCGTCACAGCTTTTGCTTCTTCTCGCGTCGTTGGGTGCACGCACAGTCACATGACGAGGTTCATCACACACAAGGCGTGCCGCTCTCCCGCGCGGAACTGTCATCGACAGGGGACGGCTGGCAATTTTAGCCTGAAGACTCGTCAATGTTTTCTTGATCGTGAGATTGTTTTTATTTCTTTCCCTCCTCTCATTTGAATTCTGTGGCCAAGACAATTGCCCGCCAAGTCACCACCTCGCCGTCACGGCTGGATGAGCAGCCAAGCCCCTGGAAAACAGAGTGCGAACAGTGCTGTGCTGGCAGGGTGAAGCAAGCAAACAAACAGAACCTGTGCTCAAACGCAACTACCAAAGCTTCAAGCAACCATTAAAGACGTTCGGCTGACAGACAACAGTCACGAACACGAAGCAAAGAAAGAAAGAAAGTAAGAAAAAAAGAAACATAAAGGCTCTCCCAACATGCAGCGGCTCGGCTGCAGATTCTCGAGCTCCGCTGGGTATCTACCCAGGGAAGTAGGTAGGCATCCGGCTAGGTGATCCGACTAGGTGCTGCCTTGCTGCTACTTGTACTCCAGAGCCCCCTTCTTCTCGCCTTTGATGGAGCTGGCAGAACTCGAGACGCCGCCGTTGGTCTCGGCGTCCTTGAGCCTCATGTCGGGCGGGATTGTGCCGCCGTCGCCCCCACCGACGACCAGGTCCCTGCCGTCAGGCGCCTTCCCGACAATCATGCCCTTGGCCACGCTCTTGATGAGCGCGCGGCGCGAGACGCCCGTGACGTCGATGTAGACGAGCCCGACGTTCTTGACGCCCCCGCCGACGTTCTTGGACACCTCGCCGGCCTCGGGCCCCCACTTGTGGTGCACGACGGTGGTGGCCGACGTCGACGCCGACGTCAGCAGCTGCTTGCCCGCCTGCTCGATGCCGTCGGCCACGGTCGAGAAGGCGATGAGGCTCTTGTTGAGCAGGCCCGGCTTGTAGTCCTCGATGGGGTTGCCGTCCTTGTCGAACCCGCGCCCGCCGCCCTTGTGGCCCCGCCGCCCCAGCGTCGCCCCCAGGTTCTGCGCCACCTTGCCGATCTGCCCGACCGTCTTGGCCGACAGGCCCGCCGCGCTGCCCGTGAAGGTGTTGATGCGCCGGATGCGATCGTGCGTCGCCGGCTTGAACGTCATGGGCTTGGTCGCCGGCTCGTTCTTCTCGGTGAAGCTGTTGGCCTGCGACTGCAGCGTCTTGGAGATCTTGTCCGACGTCGTCACGATCAGCCGCGACGCCAGCGACGCGTGCGACACCAGCGTCGACCGCTGGTACGCCGGGTGCATCAGCATCTTCACCGACTCATCCGACGCCGGCGTGACCGATATGCACTGCGTGGAATCCGTCGGCAGCGTGATTTCCACGGGCTCTGTTGGCGGTTGCGAGCGCCTTGGTCAGTTACCTACGCACGAGCGCGGCTGGAAAGAGGGGATGGCTGAGAGGCAGGGGCAGTATAGAGGAGGCAGTCGGTCGCACCTTTGGAGCCTGGCTTCAGGGCTTTGTCTTCCACCACCTGGAAGTTCTCTCCCAGCTCCCCTATCACGCTCCCATCTTCCTCGTCGATGAGCACGATCTGACCCCCGTGAGGAACGCTGTGGCTTCCCTGCGCATATGCCTCGCCTGGCATGTAGTCGGCGGGGTTGTATGGTGGTAGATCCTCAACGGCGGCAGCCTTGGACTTGGAAGACTTGGAAGGTTTGGACCTGGACGACGACGGTGCTGATGCAGATGCGGATGCGGATGTGACGGCCGCGGTTGCCGCCGACGCTCCAGGGCGCCATGTGGACGGCCCGTCAAAGACATCCGTCTTTTCGCCCTTGGAGCTCGACCCCTTGGGCGGCGGCGCCCTCTCGAGGAAGGCGGTGCACTGGGCCAGGATGGTCTCAAACGTGTCGACATCTTCTTGTATGTGCTTGCGGCTGCCAGGCTCAGGGAACTCTATCCTGGTGAATGCGCCGTTGTCGCGGCCCAGGTCCCAGCGGGGGATGAGGTAGCTCCTGGGCGGCTGGTGGTAGATCTGGGTCGTGGCGGGCAGCGGGAGGTCCAGCTCTGGCGGGAGATGCAGATGGAGGTAGAAGTCCTCTTCTGGGGGCGCACCGGTGTGGGGGTCGACGGAGAGGTCGGCGAAGGGCGATGTGGTCGGGACCATTAGCAGAGACAATGTCTGGGGACCGGCCGGTGTGAGGGTGGCCTCGTTGCCGTTGTTGATGTGGTACGCCGAGATGCCATCTATGGCGTACAGAAGCTTGGGCTCCTAGGACTGGTGTTAGTCTGGACCTCGCCCGCCAAGTCTCCAGCCCTCCTGAGCTTCCCCGTTCCCTCCCAGCTGCTTGGACCTACATTGGATGCCATTTTGTGAATCTGGAGCTATCCCGCTCGAGATCTGCTGTGGTGCTCGCCTGCTATCGTGCTGGTTTTTTTTTCCACCTAGCAAACAGAGCGCGCAGCTATAGCAGACTGGTGTCGTGTGTGCGAGCGGCGCAGTTGGCCTGCAGCTGGTCGCAAACGTCAATGGGTTTTAAGGATGGAGGGGTCGAGCGACGAGACGCGCGCGTGTCAGTCGTTTGCGGTTGTGTGGAGAGCAGCCCCCATGCAGGGGTTAAGAATAAGACCCGAAAAAGGATGCCCTGGGGTTGCAGTGCGTCTCCCAAGCACAGTTTGCCGGTGCTTCTTTTCGCCTTCGTCTTTTGTGGGATGCCAAGTGCGGTGTGATGTTTCCAAATTTGGATTATTATCTGATGGTCTAGAGAGCCGTCCGGAATGTTGGTCCGCGAGAGTGACGGATTGATGTGCATGCGACGCTGGCTGGCTGGCGCTTAAAGGCCGCACCTGTGTGGAGCAAATAGCGCGCCGGCTTGGGGGGCGGTTTGCCATCGAGAGGCCTCTCCTCCAAGGGGGTGGAGGGTGGAGCGACGTCATTGGGCCTCGAGCTGCCGCTTGCGCTCGCTTCCCATTTCTCCGCCGCTGAAAAAAGAAACACAAATACACATCCATGGCGCCATGATGTGCGATGGCACACCCACACTCCGCACCCCGACAGTCACACACGCAGTATGCACGCACAGACGCCTCAAATAGTGCCGCGGGCTGCGTGTGTGCGTGTCTGCCAGGAAGCAGGCGTGGAAACGGCTTCTTGCTCTGCCGGTCTTCTCTTGACGTGGAGCTGCTGCTGCGCCTCACGCCCATGTCTGGTGTGCCTGTTCGAGACTAGATGGGAAAAGGCTTGTCCCTGTGATTCATTCGCATTGCGCAGTACCGCGGACTATCAAGTATCCATGCACTTTACGTCCCACGGATATGGATGAGGGAACCCAGGGATGATGTATGATTGTCTGTGGAGAGTCGCACTCCGGACAAGATTTCCCGGACAGGAGGCCGCCATGATGGCCTCTGTCCATCTTTAGGGGTACAGACCATTCCATTATCCCATCCCCATGTGATAAGTTGGAAAGAAGGTCATTTCAGGGATGAAATGTAGTAGCCATGTCTGACGTAAACTAGTCTCAGAGGTCTACCATCTGCGAGGGAAAGAAAGAGGAAAAACCCACCTCCCAACAGGGGGTTAAAACTGGAGATCACAGGGGCGGCGAAAGGGGGGTCACGTGCTGGCATAAAGTCACTGCCATTATTGAAGTTGGTAAAAGAAGGAGAGAAATCGAGAAATTCTTGAAGTCTCGTGACATCCCACCAAGTTACCACGGCCCCTGCGATCTCCAGTTTCAACCCCCCTGTTACTGGGTGGGTTTTTCCTCTTTCTTTCCCTCGCAGATGGTACCAGAGCGGTGGCTGTGCAAGTCGCCTCCTGCTTCTGAAAGTTCGCCTCACAAAACATACGAAGACAAATCAAATTGCCTAGCATACCGAATTCGCCATCACCAGCCACAACACCCGCCGCCACGAATCAACTACACCCTTTTGAGCTTCCAAACCTTCCATCCATCTCGGCCTACACGATGGCCCTGTTCCAGAACTGCCAGACCTCGGGTCCCACCCAAGATGTTGCCCCGTTCTCCTCGGGCGCAGGACGGTCAGCGGCGGCCTGGATATGCCCACCGTCGTGTGCCGCCCACTGGACTGGATAGCCAGCCTTGCAGCCGGTGGCGGCCGTGGTGATGTGCGTCCTGCTCCCCTGCGAGGGCTCCTTGGCCCCGGACATGGACGCGCAGCCGTTGTTCCGGATGAACCTGTCGCGCATGGAGCGGCCGCCCCCAATGTTGAGCGTCCCGTCGCGAATGCCGTGGATTCCAAAGTAAGCAACGGGGTCGTTGCCGCCGTCGCAGCCGGACAGGGTCCCGGCGGCGATGGCGGCGACTCCGCGGAAGCCGCTGCGGGCTCGCGAGCAAGCAATGGCGTATGCCATGGCCGCGCCGTAGGAAAACCCGATGGCGAACCGCTGTGTCTGCTCAACACAAAGGCCCGCATCGATGTACTGGTTCATGGCGTCGATGAAGCGCAGGTCCTAGAGTGAATCTCTCCTGTCAGATTTTGAATCTGTACGGGTTCGCTCTTGCACTTCAGCAACTCACCGAGCCGCCGCCATTAGCCCAGCCGCCGTTGAGGCCCTGAGGTGCGACAAAGATGGCCGTTTCGTTGGCGACGTCCTGCAGTCCAAAGTACTTCCAGCCGCGCGAGCCCTGGTCACCGCCGTTGGAGACCTGATCCATGCGCCCGCCGTTCCAGTGCAGACCGTACACGAGCTTGTAGGCCTTGTTGTTCTGGTAGCCGGACGGGACCCGGATCATGAACTGGCGCTGCTGGCCCCCGACGTTGACGGTCTTGGTGCCCGAGGTGATGGTAGGGGCTTTGCCGCATCCCGAGCTCGGTCCGGCGACGGCGACGTGCGCCAGGCTCAAGAGGCCCAGGAACAGGGATCTGATCAGAACCATCTTTGCGAGTCTTGTGGGCAAGCGACACGGGGCTGCGGATCTAGATAGGGAGTAGGCTACTCGACGTGGCTATCCACCCTGCCTTTCCATATAAACAGCTCAGGACATCCTCTAGTTATATTCTTTTCAGTCCATCCTGGCGAGGTGGGCTCTGAAGCTATAGCACGGCAAGAAGACGGGCAGCGGAGAGCTGCTTCCGGCACATGGCCTCATTGGTGGACTCGTAGAGTCCAGGTCGGGATCAAGTTTGGGATTCTTCCAACCGCACCAGCTGGATGATGGGATGCGATCATCTCTCATGCGACGCTGGGGACAACACACCCAGAGAGCAACGGTTCGAACCAAATCTCCGTTGCCTTGGCTGCCAAACCACCAAGAGAGAGCATACCTGAACAGGAGGATGTTCAGCTAATTGCAACCTCAAGTTGCATGCGGAAGGAACTCGGAGGCATAGCACCGTTCTCCCCCACCTTTCCCCTCATCATCTCCATGGTTGGAAGCAGTCTACGGACGAACTACTTCGCTCGATCGATTCGGCAGGCTCGTTGATGCTTCTACAATTCCGATCCTGGTTTCTCGCCTATCGCCGTTCCAACCAGACCACGCGACTTTGCTAACGACGTGTTTCTCCGGGCGGCCAGGATCGCGGAGAGAGTTGTCCGTCAAAATACGACCAAGGACACGGTCACGATACAATGTCAAGTTGTTGCACCCTCCTCATTGGGACATATCGGGCTCGATTGAAATGTTCAGGTAGGAGGAGTCGCTGTCAAGATCTTATCCTATAATGGGTAAATGGCCATTTCATGGTTGGATTCGGTGACCTTTGTCCGTCGCAAGCCCGCCGATGTCCCAGGAAGGCTCCCACACGTACCTACAGTAAACAGTAAACTCTAGCGGGAACAGTTCTATTTGTGGGATTCAACATCCATGTATTGCCCGATATGTGATCTAACCTCTAGTGGCGCCTAGCAGCCAACTCCATAACCTCGTGGCGCCGGAACTTCACATCTGCCTATCAGAATACCTAGTCTTTGGCTCCTGCAGAAAGTCGAACCAAAGTAGTGCGGCAGATTCAACTGGTATTGCTTCTTACTCACCGATGCCTAGAACAAGTAAGTGCCTACTCCAGTTCGTATTATATGTACATGTGCACTACCTACCTATAGCGAATATGTGGAAGATGGGTGCATTAGTTCGCGTTGGTTGAGATGAGATGGAGCTTGCGTGAGAGAATTGGGGAAGGAGAAACTCGCAATGTGCCTGCCCCTGGCGCTCCTTCCTCGTGCCTTCAATCGGGCAGTTTGACTCGACTCGACTCGACTTGACTCGGGATGGGAGTGCGTGTGACAACCAGCTTTGTCAGGCCGATTGGGAGCCTGCTTCCTCAGCCGGCTATTTTAGTTTCAATCCTCGATTTCATCGATACCGAGAGCGCTCCAGGCCAAAAAAAACCGAAAGCCTCAGGGCACATGGAAATCCCTCAGCACAGCACCAGATAGCGCCATTACGTCAATCCCAGCCGCACCGACCGTCGTCTAGCGTACGTCGAGAATCGGCCAAAAACCTGGCGACGCACAGCTAGGTGCGTCATCCCACGGCACGAGGTTACCTGGGCTGACCGCCAGGTTGGCCGGCTGCTCAAGATAGGACTGTCGGCTACCCGCCCTTCAACCGACCTTCAGCCGGGCCCTTGCTCGTCGCGGGGCTTGCATCAATGGCTTGCCAATAGGTCACGGCAGCAAGTGGACCGAGGCGGCCGCCAAAAAGGGCCGCCCTCTGGCTCGTTGGCCTCGGCTGCAGCCACCTCTGGTCTCTGCGGGCACACGGGCACCACCGATTGCTCCCCGACCCTTACACAAGCCCCACGATGGCGACGTCTCAGCTTCCCGCCGCCAACCAGCCGCCTTCCCCTCCCTCTCCTCTCACCCTGGCCCCCCTCCCATCGCATCATCCGCCCCCTCCACGTCAGGTGCGCGTCCCCTGTGATCCGAACTTGCAGCATGTCGTTCGTTACCAAGCCCGACGCCACCGCCCAATCCTGAGCGCGACGGGTTAGTTGTGCCGCAGCTATTGAGGGTCGTTCAGGGTCGGGCAGACTGGCGCCTGGGATGGTCCGGCTGTGACTCGGCCACCTCGAACCTGGTGTAGTCTGGCATGGCTTGGCTTGGCCTGGCACAAAGACCAGCCTTTTGGCGCTGCATGTCGGACGCTTGGTGGCTTCCTCGGACACTATTTGCTGCCGGGGCTTGAGATTGCAAATTAGGAGCAGGCGGTTCCCTGCCCAAACGCCATACAGAACGTGCGCATATATCCCACAACTCCATCCGAGCTTAAAACGGCACGGACAATCGGAAAGAACTGGCGGGGTGGACCATTGGGTGTGGCTGGACCCCCCAAGTGCGTCGTATAATGGGGCCACCCCAGCAGCATCGCAAGTGCCATCCCCTCCGGCCACATCAACCGACCTTCGGGTGGACTTGGTCGCCGGGAAACCTTGCACGCGTCTACCTACCTACATACCATCGGGGACGTTTGTTCTCCCGAGTTGAGCATGCGCCGACCACATCCGTCGCCATGTTCTATATCCTGGCCCCATGCGCACAAAACAAAACATTCGCTTTGCGTCGGACCAGCATCGGTGTTTCCAGTTGGGTCAGGTCGTCAGACAGCCAGCCAACCAACCTGGGCCCAGACGCCGAAGCCATGTCGATCGGGCAATACGCTCTCTGGCCATGCGGCTGCGTATCTTTTCAGGCCTTGCCGCTCACCACGGGATCTGTGCCACTTCGCTAGCGCGGGGCCATCCTGGTCTCCCTTGTTCCTTTGTCTTCCTTGGGCAGCATCCAGAGGCTGAGCCCTGGTTGCCTGGATTGCCGTCGCCAAACTCCCAAGGGCAACACATATGTCATCTTGCTTCTTTTCATTCCACGCCAGTCACACCCGAGGAGAGGGGGTTGCTCGCCCGGGCGCCCTCTAACCAACACGGGCAGGTCGGATGGCCGGGGTGTGGTGCAACAGCCAGACACTGCTTCCCCCCCCATGCTCCCTCCCAGGACATCGAGGGACACATCTGCTGAGGCCTTTCCTCGCTTCGCCCACCGCCGCTCCGTACCGCTCCAGCCCGTCCGCCCAATCCCGTCCCGTTAATTTGATCGATCCCATGCCCGGGAGGGATCAAATGCGGCGGGGTGGAGCCTAAGAAATGGGGTTGATATCTTGGAAGTGCTGCTGAAGTCAGAGCGCTATGCCCAAACGCCTACCCGACTGCTTGCTGCTACAGTAGGGTTGTGCCAGTCGTCTCACTAGCATAGTAGGCAGCTGGATGACGGGCGTGTGCCTATGTAACTCGCACCCATCGCCATCCGCCGGTCTTCTCTCCGTTTTCGTCAACGAGCCGGTCCAGATCTCGCACCAGCCTCTCCCCTTCTCTCCACATTTTGTTTTCGACAAGGGTGACGGGCACCTGGCGAAGCAACAAACAACAAGCCAACCCTTTAGCCCCTCTCAGAGCCCCTAGCTCGCGGCTCTGGCCGTCCTGTTTCCTCGCGCTACCTGACAGCGAAGGCCGGTTCTCAATCTTACAGCCCAGAACAAGCGCACGAAAATTCCCCTGCACAATCACCCCGCGCGTTCCCAGCTTCACCATTGTCGACTTGCCATCGCGACTTGGGGGCAGCTGCGTGAGCTTCCGAAACAAGCGCACTTTGCATTGATCGACTCTAGACGTTGTCTGCAGCCTACCGTACCTACCTATTGGCTCGGTTCGGCCAGACATTACCTAGGTGCAGAGGTACTTGGGGACGCGAAGTAGGTACAAGCGTGCCAAACCTCGGCAGCTAGGTGGTTTAGGGTTGTGCGCTCGAACTTCCCCTTGCCAGCTGGTTAACCGAAACTGCGCGCCCCAATGTCCATTGAACTGCACACGGCAACGACGATGCTAATTCCAGCCTTGCCCCATCGCCCGCGCAGCCCTTTACGTCCACCGGACAGCACATCTCCGTCACGCCGGGAATACAACCGACGACTTGTTGGTGCCCGTATCGGACAGCTGCCGAGGTTCTCGACCGAGCCCGAACCAGCGTGGCACGGCTGACGTCATCACCGGGTAGCTGCGTTGCCCGCGACGTTGTGTCGCCCCTTTTCGCAACGCTCAACCTGTTTGCCTGAGCCGAGTCTGGATATCACGCGCCCGCGCTCTGACAAATCGCAGGCTCGTCACTAACGGCTCTGTGCTGTCCTTGCCGTCTGTCCCACGAGCATCAGGTGCTAAATCGTGCAAGGGAGCCTTGACGTGTACGGCAACTATCGCGAAAGAGGTTCTTGTGTCTTCCTGACTGGCTAGCCACAGACGCCCGCTGCGTTCGGAACCGACGGTGGAGGCGGCAGCTCGCCTTTCTGCTGCTTACGCCCTCGGCATTCTTACACCACACCGGGTATCCGCCTGTCTCGAACTCGTGCCACCCCAGTCCCCGCGCTCTCGCAATCCCCAATCCCCCCTGGCCCGACTGTTGCTTGGTGCTAGGGTCTGCCGAAGACCCAAGCCGGCACAATTACGTCTCCGCTTCGGATCCAGTCCATCATATCCCCTCCCGATCCGTCGGATACTGATGAAGGTGCCATAAACGCGTCTGTCGCATCAGCCTCCAAGCGCAAGTTCGAAGACGCTTTCGTTTCCCAGGTGGATATTCCACCGGTTCCACCCAACACCACACCACAGGCGCATTATCCGCCTCCGCTCGGGGGGCTATCGGGACTGTCAGCTGCTGGCACGAGCAACGCAGATGTAGCGGGCGCAACAGCCAGGAGCCAGGAGTTTGCCGTGACGGCGGCCGCCAGTGATGAGCCCTTTAGGGTTGCGGGATTCGCAGTCATGGCCAGCAGCGCAGACGAGAAAAAGGTCGGCGCCGTCCTGAAGCGGCCGCCGATGCGGTCGAGCATCGCGTGCCTAAGGTGCCGGAAATCAAAGATCAAGTGTGACAACTTCGGCGGCAGCTCGCCCTGTGACGGCTGCGTGAAGACGGGGAAGGAATGCAGGTACCCGGATCCGACCTTTCTGCCGCCCAAGAGGCTGGATCCCCCTATGACGGTGAAGCGTGAGGGCGAGGCAGCGCAGTCGGAGCGCAAGCGGCTCAAGCGGCTGGACGAGAGCCCAATCACGACCACCTCGAGCGCGTCCAGATTCGGGGCCGAGATCTTGGCCGCGCCGTACCTGACCGAGACGCTGTGGATACAATGTTTCGACATCTTCAAGCTTCACTTCGCCACCGAGCTGCCTTTTCTCCATGTGCCGACACTCAAGTGGTACTGTGGCTCGCCAAAGAACCGGGGGAGCGACAGGCCGGGGGACTCGGACGTCAACCTTGTCCTGCTTGGGATGCTGACCCTGACGGCGCGATTCCATCCCGATCTTGTCAAGTACATCGCGCATTCCGTTGCCAATCAGCAAGGCGGGAGCGCCAAGAACCGTTCGATCCAAATACGCTCCGACGGCTCGACAGCAACGGCTGCCTCGGAGTACTTTGCCGACATTCTTGCCAAGTCATTGGGACCCATGAGGAGTTGCATGGCAGTGGCGTCGGTCGAACGCGTCCAGGCCTTTCTGATGCTGGGCCTTTATGAATGGAGCCAGGCCAAGCCCAGCACAGGCGGGCTTGGCGCGTGGATGTACGTCGGTATCGCGATACGTATGGCACAGGCCCTGGGCTTGTGCTTTGGAGACCGGATACAGGAGGCGAAACCGACGCTCGTACCTGTCCAGGCGGAGCCGCAGCACCACGGCGGCAAGCGCAAGCGGATGGCAGAGTCGGATGCACCGATCGCCGAGCTGGTTACAGCGAAGGAGGTCAGGAGACGGACCATGTGGAGCTGTTTCATTCTGGACCGCATGCTGTCGTGCGGAAAGGAGAGGGTCTCTGCCATCCGGTCTGGAGATATGAAGATCCAGCTGCCTTGCTCCGAGATGGACTTTGATTTTGCCGAGGAGTCACTGACCGGTTTTCTCACCACCACCGACGCGGAACGCGCAAGCAAAGGTTACCGGGACAACCTTTTGGGATGCTTTATCAAGCTGGTGGGTATATGGGGCGAGATCTCCGAGTACAGCTTCGCCGGGGGGAGAGCTGTGGACGGAGAATCGCCTCCCTGGATGGAGAGCACCACTTTTGCCCATCTCGATCGGAGGCTTGATGAGTTCTACGCGGCGCTGCCACCCGTCCTCAAGCTCTCGCGCGCCAACTATCTCAAACACGAGAACCACCAAGGATCCAGTTCATACGTGTCGTTACACATGCTCGGCTGCATCTGCCAGATCATGCTCCATCGCGAGTACATACCCTTCATCCCCATCCGTTGTTCCGGTCCCGTCGGCCCACTTGATGCAAAGACGTTTCCCGAGGGGCACTACCAGGTACCCGAGGACTTCTGGCTACGCAGTACCGAGAAGGTGTTCCGGTCGGCCCGGGAGATTGTGGATCTGATCGAGACGTGTCAGAGCCGCGACAAGCTTCCCATGTCCGGGCTCGTCCTCTTCGCCGTCTGGACCGCTGCTTTTGTGGGAATTTACGCGTACCACTTTCCACACATGGACACCGAGGACCACATGCTGGCCGACGAGGACACCGACGACAACGAACTCGGCGGTGGCCCGGATGACTCGAGCGGAGGGACGGGAGAAGGCGGTGGCGGGACCGTCACTCCCGCGGGAGACGGCGGCGGGATCACCAAATCGGGGCCCTCCAGCGTGACATTCCACACGCTCGCCAAGATGTACAGCTCGCTCAAGATGGCAGGGACATACAACATGTACTTTCTCGAAATGGATCGGTACTATCAGCAGACCAAGAGCGACTACCAGGCGGCGGTCCAGGGCGGCGGCGGGGAAGCTGGTGCGCGCGTCGCGCCCGTGGGTGGTGGCCTGAAGGAGTGGCAAGAGGAGAGCTCCAAGGTGGTCAATAACGGTGTTATAATGGCCGTCGAGGACAAGTCGCTAGCTGCCGTCTCCTACGATGACCGCGACTCTCCCAACACCACCGGAGGACCTGAAGTCTACGACGACAATGGGCCGGGAGCGGGCCGACAGCAGTCGCAGCAACAGCCACCACAGAGGCCTGCTTCGTCGCTTTCCTTTACGCCCATCAACAGCGCGAGTGCCCCGATTGGGAGCGGAGCGGCCCACGGCGGCGGCGGCATCGGTTTCACCAGCACCAACCGACTTGGCACGCCCGGAGATGATGCGGCAGGTCCAGCGACAGGCGCGGGAGCGTGGAGTCGACAGCAGCAACAGGCGGCCTTGGCACTGCAGCACCATCACCACCGGCAGCAGGCGCAGGCGCAGGCACACCCCCAGTCTCCCATGCAGATCTCCAACTACCTCGAAGCCAACGAGAACAAGAGGTGGGAGGACAGCTCCCCCGGGATCGGGCACTTCTCGGGTCGGGACACCAACGACGAGTGGACATCGACAGGACAGCCCCCGGTCTACGGGCTCTCATCTCCCGGGCCGTAGCCTAACTGGCTGTTTTCTTTTGGTCTATTGCATTTCCAGAAACATTCGCTTGGCTCCTCATCCATCTTTTCCGACGGTTCATGACAAACAACTTCAGTCTGTGCTTGCATGCACCTTGAAGTTTTTCATTTCTTTCCGCGCTCGCGCGCTCTTGTCTCATTTGCTGCATATATCCCCCAGGCTATGTATCTTTTCTCGAGCGATTAACAGATCTTGCTGTGGTGTTCTGGAATCGGGTCTCTTTTGGCTTGTTGACATTGGGTTATGCGGATGATACCTCTTGGGCCTTTGCTTGGTGTTTTTTTGTATCTGGAGGAAAGAAAAAAGCGGTTATCGGTGGGCGAGGCGTGGGAGTACAGATTCTGGATGGAATTGGTTGGCAAACACCGCTTGGTTTTGGCTGGGTTTCTTTTTTGTTTCTGTCGTTTCCGGGATACATCTGCTTTTTGCGCTCTCATAGGATACATGAAGATATTCCGTTTACCAGGTGGAAATTCCAGGCAATACCGGAGTCATGGCACAGCATTCTCTTCAGGCGAACGAACGCAGCGAGGTAGATAGGCGCAACTAGATGGAGATCACGCATTGTTCATTCTCCCAACTCCCTTTATAGCATGCACATCTTGAGCCCCCGGTAACCAATATCAAGGTCGAGGGAGCTCTTTCTTGAGGTACACGCAACCGAGCTGCCGCAGCTCTCCCGTCTTCGAGTCCGTCCACGGGTACGCGTTGTCTTTCCTCCAGTACTCCGAGTATCCCCGCGTCAGGTACCAATCATGGTTGGTGATCTGGAACAATGTGCAAAAACCTCGTCAGCAAACATGGGTGCCGTCGCTTGAGAGATACGGGAGAAAACAAGAACAATAACAACGACAAAAAAAAAAAACTCACAACAGGGGTCGGGAACCCGCGCTCCTCGTAGTGCGTCCTGACCAGGTCTGGCTGCAGCGCCTGGTCGCCGCGGACGGCGTCGAGCCCGACGACGCCGGCGCCGACGGGCGGCAGGCGCGCGAGGCGCTCGGCCTCATCCATGGCGAACCGGCCCAGCCCGATGCGCTGGATGGCCCACGACACGTACAGCGGGCCGACCCAGGCCATGGTTGCGGAGCCGTTGCCGCTACCGCTGCCGCTGCCGCTGCCGCCGGTTGCCAGCATGACGCGCTCATCGTCGGGCTGCAGCCGGCCGAGGCCGACGTGGCCCAAGGGCATAAAGGCGTGTGTCGGCACCGCGGGCGGCGGCGCCCGCGGCTCGGCCCAGGTGGAGGTGGCGGTGTCTTGCAGGGGGGCCGACTCCTTTTGGGTGAGTGATTTTTTGAGTCAACACCCTGCTGGCAAAGAGAGATGTGCTGCAAGGGAGAATGAGCTAGACAAACATGCCTCTGGGAACTTGGAAGTATGCTTGGCGATAATGTCCTCCTTGCCAGGGAAATCGTCTTTCAAAGCCTTTGGTGGAACACGCCAAAAGTTGAACGACAGGTATCAGGTTTTCAAACGCCTTGTGGTGGACTGACTGGAGTCGGCAGCCTTGCCAGGGGCGGATACGTATCCCCCAGTCCGGGAGCCTTGATCCGTATGCCACCTGGCGCTCAGTCGGGGATGTATATGGAGTTCTTACGATCCAATAATAGACGACGGAGCCTTTTATGCTGGTCTCTTTGAACTTTTCAATTTCCCAAGCCCAGCCACAAGCTATCCGCTGACGGTACATCCGGTCGCAATGCTCGGGCGAGTCTGGGTCCCAAGGGATGAGTTCCATGTCGGCGATGGGAGACGAGGAGAGCGAGAGAAAAAAAAGTAGTAAAGACTTTGGGCAAAAAAAGGAATTCAGAGTAGATTTCTCGCGGCTTTATGAATATCACACTGGCAGGTCTCCGCCGCGTTCAATGGTAAGTGGTAAATTGCCTAGCTGGCTCTTGTCGGTACAGATTACTGCTGTGAATAAAGGGCGCAAAAAATCGGGCGGCAGGGCGCGCCTTTTGGCCACATTCGTCAATTTGACATTTGACATGACACTTTCTTGAACGATTCTCCACTGCGCAGGGCGTTTGTTGGTGGCATGAGGATGGTGCGGGGTTTATGACAGGGTATTGCCGGTGCCTTGTGTTCCTAGCTTACGGGGGAGATGGATCACGCCCTGAGGGACCGACGCCGGAGCGGAGGAACCGGATACCCGCACCCAGATGGGGAGATCCAGTACGATATTGAGGTCAGCGCTGGCTCATCAATCATTTGCAGGAGCACCATTTTTTCGGCGGTAACTACACCAGTCAAGGGCAGCCTGTGAGATATGACATGATGCGGGCAATGGGGTATATGTTTAGACCACACGCATTGGTAGCCTGAGCTGTATTCGGAACCGAGTATGGCGGCTGCCGGCTGTGAACGATCCTATTGCTGCACAAGCCTCGTGCTCTCCTCCCCGCTGGTCCTCGATTTGTGGCGTTGGCGGCCACCCGCCGCTCTAGGACGTTCTGGCTGGCGGCCGTCTACAGAAGCCTCGCCGATCTTTCCAAACAAGACGTCCATATCCTCAAGAGCACGACCCTTGGTTTCAGGGTACAGTATATAGATTACCTGCGTAACAGCGTTAACGTTAGTTGTGGCTTGGGACTGCGACTGGGCCTGGGCGCAACCTACAGGGACGCATATCAGATTGACAGCCATGAAAAAGAAGTAGATCTTAGTTCCGATGCGGTGGATGCCAAGTGGCCATATCTGGGCAACGAGTATAGAACCGATCGAGCCCCCAGAGGCAGCGAGATTGAGTCCGCGGGCGCGAATGGCAGTGGGGAAGACCTAGTGAGCTCTCTCTCTCGAAAAGGTTAGAAGCAGCCAGAAAGACGGCCTACTGAGAACAGGGGTATCGCGACGGTTTCTGCGTACCTCTGCGCCATAAACCCAGGCGGCGGGGCCGAAGCCCATGCTAAAGCCTAGTGCGTATATGAATATGAAAACTACACAAGTGATGTCTGCTGCGCGATTGGTGTTATTTGGGAAAATCAAGGGAAGGGCGCCGTTTATCTGAGGATAGAGCGTCAAGTTAAATCTCAGGCCCAGAGAGACTGCGCGTGAACGGACAGGGGGGTTGTGAACTCACCAGCATTGCAAAGGCCATGGCGCCAGCTCCGACAGCCAGAGTTAAACGCCTGCCCATGCGGTCTATGAGAATGCTGTCTAGGAGTGTCATCCCTATCTTGAGGGTGCTTTCGATGCCGCCTGCCATAAGGGCAACTCTGTGATCGAGGCCGAGAACCTCTAGGAGCGTCGGAAGGTAGTACTTCATAGCTGTCGCTCCACACATCTGGCCCATGAACTGCAGGAGTGCGGCGCGCCAGAGCCGCCGGAAGAGCGAGGGCTCGGTGAAGAGGCAGCGCCACGATGTCAGGCCTGAAGCCCTGAACTCAGCTACCGAGGCTGTCATGGCGTCGAACTCGTGCGAGATCTCACGGTTGGTGAATGATCCCTCGCGGAAATAATGGAGCGAGCGCCGTGCGAGATCGAGTTTATCATGCTCTACAAGCCACCGCGGTCTGTTGATTGGACGTGATTAGTCTAGTGGAACAATAGCAAGGAAGAAAGAGTAGGCTCGAAAGTCGGGACCATGACTGACGTCTCGGGAAGGAATGGGAGGCCAAAGGCGAATATTGCCGAAGGGATAAACTGTACGGCAAAGGAATAGCGCCACCCAGAGTCAGCACCGTACGGAGTGTCCCAGAAAGTCATGGCGTATCCGACCCTGATTAGAGAGGAGATTAGCTAGGGAAGTAGGCAGATACTTGTGCCTATGTAAGTCGAGCTCACGAGGCTGGAACAAGGAATAGACTCATTCATACCAGAATCCACTGGCAAGGCCAACAACGAAACCAACGTGGTTCATGACCACAAATCGGCCGCGCTCCTTGGCTGGCGAGATCTCGCTAAGGGTGGCAGCTGCGCGTCAGTGTGGTGTTGTCAATAGTTTTATTGCCAATACGGGGTCTGGCGAACCTTTGGTACAAGGGCACGCTGGTGCTCAAGATGGCAACGCCGACACCCGCCACAATACGGCCGCATATGACCATAGTGAAGGCTGCGGGCCCGGCGGCTGAGGCCTGGAGCGCGGTCCCGACGCAGGCGACCACGACGCCGGACAGGGCAGCGAAGCGACGGCCCAGCAGGTCGCTGGCGGCGCGAGACACAAAGACGTACGAGGTCCACGTCCCGACGTAGTAGACGGCCGTGACGACGCCCTTGCGGCTCGGACCGAGGCCGCCGACGGCGGCGACAAAGCCCGGGTGCACCATGATGGAGGAGAGGACGCCGACATTATAGCTGCGGAACAGGTTAGGTTCCACGTCTCGGACTAAGCGCAGTTTCTGCACAGGGATTCTTGGAGTGGGAGGTCAGACCTACCCCCAGACAGAGGAGCCGATGGCGAAAAAGAGACACAGCAGGTGTAGCCGCAGCACGGCTTTTGGGATTCGTGCCGTCGGCACGGCAGCTGTTGCGTCTCGAGCCGCTACATCGTCCTCTCCCGAAGGAACCGGGTCATAGTCCCGGCGGAGGCTGGAGGCGAACATTCAGGATGTGTGCTCAACGCCGAGACTGGAGAAAGGGAAAAAAGAACAAGGCCGGATTTAGGGACAGGGCTCCGGTCGCTGCGCTTTCAGCGTTGATCGAGTCCGAGGCTTGGACTCTTTTTCCGAGCCGGAGGTGTTGGGGTGTTTGGGAAGAACGAGTCTCGAGTCCTGCCCAGCGCAGACCACCTCGCCCCACCTCCAGTGAGCCAGCAGCACTCAGAGCTGCAGTACCAATCCCTGTGCCGAGAAACGTGCTGATACCCCGCAGCACCCACAGCCTGCGTCTGCCCAACATCTGCGAAGGCACTGGGAGCATCGATTTCAGAATACCATGCTTCCTTTTACAGACACTGGTCCCCGTTCAGCATCTACTTAATTTGATTGAGCGGGGGAGATACCGCCATCCTCCTCCCACAGCTAAATACGAATAAGAGCCGAGGACCAGCGTTAGCCTACGCGGTTCCCTTCCCAATCTTCCCCTTCGCCGCCACGCATCAAGCGCAACATGCAATGGGAAAAAAGTTCCACGAGCAGTCCGAAGACCGCAGGATGGATAATGTTTGTCGTAGAGTTGGTAGCTAGTGAATGGTTAGATGCGCTGAAAGCTTTTGTTGTTGTGCAAGGCAATAGCATAGAGCTCGCGTTCTTGTCGCATTGATCGCCATTCGGGTCCTAGTTATCACAATGGTCAGTGTAGCGTACCAGGCTCACAATGGGGAGAGCTGGTTCTTTAAGAAACCAGAGTATTTAGTCCCTGTGCACGTGTGAATGCGCATCATTGTGCGCCTTCCTTGCCATGGCACCGAGGGCAGGGGAGAGGCGGAGAAACCGGAGTATCCGGAGATCGATTCGGTAAAATCAAGGCTATGCCTCGAGTCGAGGGGGTGAAAAAGATGACTCGGGGCCAGAGGCCAAGGTCGGCCGTCCCTTTGCGGATGGAGAGCATGGCAAAAAACGGGGGAGGGAACCCGACATGGAAAATATCGTGCCGGGCAAGAGGGCCATACTCCCGTGCTATGATACATGAAGAAACCCGACTGGCAAGCTTCGCCCGTCAAGCTGTAACTGAAGGAAAGTGAGCGTCTTGTCTGCTCAGAAGGGGGTACCTGTTAAGACATCGAAGGGAGATCGCACATCGTCGTCGGTGGCATCGTGACCGACGTGCCAGCGGCTCCTGGAAACGTGAGTGGCGCCGTAATCGTGAGACTCTCGGCCGTAACCGAGTAGCAAAAAAACATTTTGCCCGCCCTCCAAAACGCCGTGCCATGGACCTGGGGCCAGATACCTTCGCAACGAAAAAACAGAAGACAGAAAACAAAGGAAAGAAATGAGTTGCCGCGAACAGTGGCCTGCCGTATATGCTCCCGTCTAAGGTGGAAAGGGGATGAGAGCCGGATGCGGCCTAGCTACGGCTGGGCGAGACCTCGACCGGGCCAAGACGGCTACCGTCGTCCACGGTTGGACCTATCCCACAAGGTTTGCATGTGCCGACGCTGATCCTCAAACGAGGTGTAGTTGCCAGCGAAGATGGGCTCGAGGACGCTCGAGAAAGGTGCATTGACTGGAGAGCGCGCGAGGAAGGCGATGCGATCGCGCAGCTGGTCGTACGCCCGCGAAAAGGCCTCCTGAACGGTGTGGCTGTTGGACGAGCCGCCCGAGATGTCGTTCTCTGGATCGTTCGGGTCGATGATAGAGAACCTATCAGAGTTCTTGTAGGCGAATGTCTGAACCTTGTTCTGTAGTGTTGCTGGTGCGTTAGTTCTCGCATCTGCATGCTGAGATTTCCAGGTGGCTGTGTTATGGTTCTGATCATACCTTGGGCACATATCGGGGCGGCTTCAGAGAGATTGCCATCTTCTGATACTGGAACTTGTTTCCATACAAGTCAAAGAAGTGGAGAAGGAGCTCCCCGAGGTGCTGGCCAGGGAGGATGGCGCGGCTCTGAACCTCGGGCATCATCTGCAGCATGCTGACCACCAGACAGATAACGGAGAAGCCACCAAGGCCGCCATTAACAGGCTCGTTAAGGCCCCGCATCGCCAAGAAATGCTTGATGACGGTCACGAGGATTGGCATGGCGGGAAACTCCTCCTTCCACGCGAGAAATGTGTTGACAGCAGTGATTCCAGTCGAGTTCTCGAACGAGATGTCAACCTTGAGACCGGTCCGCGCGTCAACGTACTTGACCAGCGGAACCCTGGCCTTGTGAATCCTCTCGACTCGGTGTTGGTGAGCCAGCCCTCGCTTCTCCACGAAGCGGGCGAAGTGGAAAACCTGCTTCTTGGGAGTGTACTGGGCAATGTGACGGCTCAGGTACTTGTCTGAGCAGAACACGAGATCCATGTCGCCCGTGGGCAGATAGAGACCCGACTTGAAGGAGCCAAAAGGGTAAACCGAGGCATCGTTCCACGTACGCCTAACGTGCGTCACAAGCTCGTCCACCAAGCTCTGCCTAAGCTTCTCCTCGAAGTGAGTGGGCTTCACGTAGTCGTAGAAGTCTTTAATTTCCTTGTCGAGCCTACCCGAAGAACCCCCATCGAACAGCCGTTAGTCTTCATGATATCGAGCGACTGGCGTCGTGACCATTGGAGATACATCTGTGGATCGGTAGATGGGGTTTGGTTGGAGACAGGGCTTACCAGACAGACACATAATGGAGCTCCGAATGATCCATCGTTACCCACGGGCACGAGTTCCCTCCGTGGACGGGCTGCCATTCGGGGGAGACAACGCCAGCAGACATCTTGGTCGAGTGCTTTTTGAGTTTGGCGTGGTCAGGCACTTTGATCTCGTCGTCATGGGTGCGCTTGCGACTGCCCAGGTCTGCGGGAGGAGGAGGAGGTCGATTGGGAAGCGAGAGTGGTTTGGCGGGATGGCCAACACCAGACGGCTTCCCGCCCGAGTTTGAGGTTGGGGCGCGAGGCAGCGACGCTGTGGGTGGGGCCTTTGACACCAGCGAGGCTTCCAACTGGTCGCCGCGTCCCGAATTATCAGGCCGAAGCACAACATAATCCTCGTCGTCACTATCGTCCAGGTTACACGAGATAAAATCTGCGCTCTCCGGGACGGCAGGCTTGGACCCCACAGCGGGCTGCACGCGAGCCTTGCGGATCAGCTGGACCACGTCCTTCTTCTTCTGCTGTGAAATGTCGGGTGGGGGAGCAGCCGTGTAAGGGTCCGGATTGGACCACTTGGGGACACTGTTTCCAGAAGTATCTCCAGCGGCGAGCCGCCGCTTCTTGTTGCCGTGGCCACTAGGCTCTTCCGAGTCACCCTCCTGTTCGTTGTCTGAGATGTCCATCTCGGCGTCGTCACTGTCCGACAGCTCGCCTAGCGTTCTGTACGTGACACCGCTAGCACTCTCTTTAAAAGACAGCTCCTTGTTGGAGTCAAGTGTGGTAGTCAGGATGGGGCGGGCGGAGGGCAGGCGCCGGTTAGGCATATAATGTTGGGCGTGGTACGGTCGGCCTCTGCCGCCTCCATCGCGCTCGGCACCCCTGCGGCCATAGTCGGGGCGGTGGCTTCTGCGATTGCGGTCGCGATCACGATCATGCTCTCGGTCGCGATGATGACGGCCGCCGCCGCCATCACCATCGAAGCGAGACTCTTGGATTCCGGACGGCTTCTCGGCGCGAAAGGTGAACTCTCCCTGGGGAGGGTGGAAGCTGTCGAAGCCAGGCGGCGGGGGATGGTGCGAGTTGCGCGTATTGCTATAGTCGCTGTACGAGTTGGGCTGAGGCCGATACTGGCCACGTCTGCCATCATCGCGCGGGTGGTAGCTGTCACGTACGCCTCCGCCTCCGCCTTCGCCGCGCGGGCGCTGGGGTCGATAACTTGTCATGGCGACAAGATACGCGCCTTGATACTCACTGACTGGAAGCAAACGGACTTTGGTCTTGGCTGGCTTCTTCTCCAGGGAGCCTACGAGCAGTCTCAAGGCCGTTTGCCCGCGAGCAGGAGGTGATGTTGCGACAAAGGTAACAGGAAGTTAAGTCGATGTCTGCCCGACTGCGGCGCGTGGAATGTAAAGTGGCGCTTCGGGCTGCGCTGCCGAAAAAGCTGAGGTGAATCTAAGAAAAGAATTGATTGGTGGCTGAGACAAGCTCCGACGTGTGCCGGGGGTCACGTTTATTCCTGACCCAGAAGTGGAGCGGGTCGCACAGGTGAAATCAGAATTCGCGACCTGGGAAATCGACCCCCCTCGGCCCAAAACGGAAAGGCTTGGGGACCTGCCAACAGATCTTTTCGGGCCGCGTTGGCCAACATCGAAAGAGCACAATGTGTAACGCGTGCACTCCACTTGCGATTTCCGGTTGCCTTTATATAAATTGCCGGCGCGCATATTCGATAAACCTGGGCGCGCATGCGATTGACCTGTCCTGGCTCGGGCTGGCCGGTCACGCGTTGCCTAAGCGCGCATTGATTTTTTTTGCTTTAGGTGGGGTAGGTCTTTCCGTTTTTGGCCGAGGGTGGTCGGCAAAAACGCCGAATGACGCAACGAGCACGAGCGAGAGAAAATGACATGCGCTTCCATGACAAGAGATGTGAATCGACTTTGCCTTGTTTTCTAGCCACTCTATCTCCAGCTCGGATTTTTCTTCTACCCAGTTTCCTTTTTTTTCTCTCCCGGATGGTCCCTTACCACGATCAAACCCTAGGCCGGTTGTGAGTGTTTCGGGGGAATCTGTCCCCACCGGCTGACATCCACCCGATGCCACGCGAGAACCAAGCCTCAGTGGCAAGGGACAAAGGTTCCAGAGTTGAGTCAGTCGCCACCAGCGTCACCTGATTATACCCTCGCTCCTTCCAAGTATAAAGATGGGGGAAGACAGACGCCCACAACCTTCAACATCCCTTTGTTTATCAAGCTTTTCTTTAGCTTCTCTGCGACTGCAGTTTCTATCCCCAGCAGTTATGCCAGCCTTGCACCTGACAGGCTTTCCTACGTTCTGATAGCTTCCTCATCAACTACCGGTTCAGCATTTCGCCCAACTGCACACAAAATCTCAAGATGCCATTGCCATTGCTCCTACAATTCGTCGAGTCTCAAGGCGTCGCTCGCCTGCCTCGAGGCCTCAACACTGACCCCGAGTGATTCACATTCTTCAAATCGGGCACCATTCTTTTGTCATTCTTTCCTTCTCATAGTTTACCCCTGGCCTCGACGTCGATGCTGCCGAAGTATTGTCCCTGGCGCATCCGTCGCCATCCCCTCGCAACCCGCGTGAGGGCCTGGACTCAGAATATCTCACGCCGACCATGCGAACGTCAGGCCCCCACACGCTCAAGTCGAATCTCTCGAGTGCCCAGCGCAATATGCATGCTCCTAATCAAGCCCCCGAAACTTGCCTTAAGTGAACGAGATCAACTTGCTCTTCACGCACACTGCCCTGGCCAATGCCTGAATCGACCCGCTCGAGAGCAGTTCCAGCACCTGCATATTTGCTTCGAACTCTCTCGCGATGAAGTTGCGGATTTCGATAGCCACCAGCGAGTCCAGCGGGTAGTGCGATAGAGACCGAGTCACGTCCATTTCCTCGGGCTCGAGCATGAGAACGGTCGAGATCTTGTCCACCAAGCCTCTGCAAACTGCGCTTTCGGCTTCCTCGAGCGACTTCGCTGCTTTGGCTGCAGCACCAAACGAGACGGTGCTGATGCCACCACCTTCTCCCTGTGCTGCTTGAGCCTCCATAGCCAAGCGTAGATGCTTGAATTTGGCATCCGAGGTCCAGAAAGGCTGCATCGCAGGCGTAATACGCATTCCGGTGATGGCGTGGTTGTTACATGTAGCGGCGAGTCTGCCCTCGATGGCTGCTCTAAGCAACGCCAGAACCTCGGACTCGCATATGCTGTCGCTTCCCAGATTCCTGGCCACCTCGGCGAGCTTGTCGGCATTCCCTGCTAAATAGCCTGCATCGGACACCATTGTCAGGTCGAGCGATGAAGCGGGAAGCCCCAACGACAGCCGGTGCTGAACAAGGGCGTTGAGGAAGCAGTTGGCTGCTGCATATGCGGCTTGACCTCTGTTGCCGACCGCTCCGGCAGCCGAAGAGATTGCGACGAAGAAGTCGAGCTCCTTGCCGGCGAGGGCATGATGCAAGTTCCAGGCGCCTTGAACCTTTCCTTCGGTCACCTTGACGTACTCATCCCACGTCATTTTCTCAAACAACACGTCCTGTACACACGCTTCTGTTAGCGATGCTCCCCATGTCGATAAAGGCGACTGTCACTCACATGAAGGACCATTGTTCCGTGGACGACACCGCGCACGGCAGGCATGCCCCGAAGCCCGTTCGTCACCAGATCGTCGACTTCGTCTCGGCTGACGACGTTGCACTTGCGCACAACCACTTCCGCCCCTAGCTCCTCGAGCTCTTGTATCAGCTCTCGCACTTTGCCTTCAGCAGAACCGCTTCGAGACACAAGGGCGATGTGATGGGCTCCATTGCCGACCATCCACCTGGCCATGCTCCGGCCGAGCCCGCCAGTGCCACCGATGAGAACGTATGTGGCATCTGCACGAAGCAGTCTGTTCGTTGGCCGAGATTGGGTTGCCTGCTCGAATCTGGTCAGCTTAATTATGCGGTCTCGGTGACGAAACCTCAAAACGCACCTGGACGATTTCGCCCGGCCGGGGCACCACCACCAGCTTCCCGGCCAGTCTTGCACTTTGCATCTTCTTGAGTGCTGTCTCGACCTCAGATATTCCAAACACTGTAATCGGAGTCAATGGGCGGATCCTCCCACTGTCGAGCAGTCGCGAGACTTCGCCGACCACACGCCCAATCACCCTTGGCCTCTCAGCAACCACTGCGAAAAAGTCAAGCGAGATAAAGGCCGAGTTCTTGCCTGCTCTGGTCACCTCCAATCTCGTCTTCACGCTGCCATCTCTTCTTCCGATGTCGATGAACCTGCCGAATTCGTTGAGACATTCCCACGACTCCCGGAGCGCATCTCCCGTTGCCGAGTTCAGTACCACATCAATCCCTTTCCCATCCGTCGCTTCGCGGAGTGTGTTGCTGAATGCGGTCCTCCGTCGGCTGTAGAGGATGCGTTCGTCGGGAATTCCGTACTCCTCCATGATGAGCGCCTTCTTCTCAGCCGTTCCAACTGTGACAAATATCGCTGCCTGCGCTGTTTGGGCTAGGACGATTGCAGCCTGTCCCACAGGCCCGGCCGCTGAATGGATCAACACGCTCTCTCCTCGCTCAAGCCCTCCAATCTCGAAGAGGCTGTAGTACGCCGTGCAGTACGCCAATGGTAGCGTGGCAGCTGCTTCGAAGGTCATCGCTGGCGGCAACTTGAAGGCGTTCCTGATGGGCGTGCGCACCTTGGAGGCATAGCCTCCTTGGACCAAGGCGGCTACACGGTCGCCAACCGCCAGGCCAACAGCCTCAGGACCAACCGAGACAACCACGCCGCTGACCTCGTAGCCAATATCCTCCGCAGTCTGCCCCTTGGCAGCCATGACGTCGCGGAAACTCACCCCAGTCGCCCGGATGTCAATCTCAACCTGGTCGCCTGCGAGTCGCTGGCTGGCCATAGGGTCGTCGACAAAATGGAGCGTTTCCAGAGCTCCCGGCGTTGAGATGGAAAGCCGGAGTTGCCGATCTTCGCTGTCAAATGGCGAATCCTCTAGCGCTGCAGGATTTATTTGTTCCTGAACGAAGGCATTCATCAGGTCGTCATTGACGATCCTTGGAGTAAAGAACGCTCCTCCTCTTTCCATGAACTCGAGCTCACGCATGTTGGCTGCGCTTGGCCCAAAAACCTCCCTGAAAACCCGCATGACGGCACCGCATACCAGCTCTTCCGCGAGGGGTTCGTGGCCGTCGAGGTCCAGCGTCGCAAATTTCATCGCTGTCTCTGACCGGATGGATCTGCTCAGGCCGGTGATCATGTTTGCCTCTGGGTTCGTCGAGCTGGCGTATGCGCCACGGACTACCCAGAGGCATCCATCAGCTTTGGCCAGAGCTCCCCGAAGGAGCTCGAATTGAGCTGCTGAGATCGTGGAGAGAAGAGTCGTGTCAAGCTCGGAGAGGAAGACGAGGATCTTGCCCTCTGGCTGGATAGTTGACAGCTGCCCAATCTCTGGCATCCTCCCAACCGCTTTATCCATGGCCGTCGCTAGTTTCTGTGTCACGGACCTTTGCAAGACCGAGTCATCATGGACAATGACGACTGACAGAGGATGGAGTGGTCCCGGGCCTGATTCACCATTGCCAGGTGCTCCGTTCGACTTCTCGCTGGAGCAGTGCACTGGTACCAGCACCGGCTCCCACTCTAGCTTGTAGCAAAGCTCTCGCGGCGCATCGGCCTGCATCTGTGTCTCGCCATCCAAGATAGGTGCGATGAGGAGACCCTCCAGGATGATGAGAGGCTCCCTGCCGTGGTCACCGTCCACCGCCATCGTCGTGACCCGAGCCGGCTTGGAAGCACCCTGGCCAAAGTCTGCGCTGCAGTGCGCTCTCAAAGAACGCCCGGCGGCCTTCGATATCTCCATCGCCTGTGTGGATATAGACACCCTGGAGACCGCGGACGGCAGATACACGGTCGCAATCTTCGACTGTCCTGACAAAAGCACTGGCCAGTACATGCCGATCAGAGACTCGATGACACATGGATGCATGAGAGGCGAGGCAAGGCACTCGCTGGGCATCTCCTTAGCCAAATCATCCATATGGACCTTGGCCGTCGCATGCGTGCTGCTGGCCTCGCAGTCTTTCAGGCCCTGAAAAGCAGGCCCAAGAGCTACGCCGACCCCTGCCAATGCGCCGTACATCTGCTCGACTCTGACCACCACGGGTTCTGAGTCTTGGACAGCAGAGGCCGCTGTGTGAAGCATCGCCTCAGAGTCTAGGCGTTGCCTGACTCCATCCACGTCGTTGGTCTCGTGGGCCAGAGAGGTGACCAAGCCGACACAGTGCTCTGTCCAACCAATCTTGTTCGAATAGGAGCAGATCCTGAACTCGTCCCAAACATCTGAAGACACAAGGGTGCCTTCTTGGTGGGGACGGAGCGTGGTCGTGACCTCAATATCGTCGTCTGGGATGATCAGCGGCTTGACGATATTGACATCTCTCATCTCGATTCTGTCGAAGCGCCTGTCACTCGAGACCACTCTCTGAGATGCAGCCTCGAGAGCCATGACGATGAAAACCGACATGGGGCACATGGTCAGCGACTGGACCTTGTGCTGCCGAAGCCAAGGAAGATCGTCCAGCCGGATGATATTCCTCCAAGTTGGCTCAAGGTCATTGGAATATATGGCCTCAACGCCGAGTATGTCGCTTCTCGGCTGAGATCGCTGCTTGTGCTTCGCCGTCATCCTGGACTCCTGCCAGTACTTGGTTTGGTAGTTCCACGGGTATCTGGGCATGTCTATCTGCAGAATCGGGGGGATGCCGGGCTTGGGGAAGTTGATGGCCCCAAGATTCAGGTTCACGCCCTTGGTGAAGAGAGAGCCAGCAAGATCAAGCGCCGTTTCGACAGCATCCCTCTTGCGGATCAGAGCCGATTCGTACGTTGTCTTCGCCGCAGAACCGCCAACAGCCTTGAGAATTTGCTTGATTGGCCCTTGCAGTGCCGAATGCGGACCGAGCTCTACCAGCATATCGACGCCCGCTTTGGAGCCATCGGCTGGCTGAAGCATGCTTTCGACCGCCTCGGAAAACCTCACTGGGCATGTGAGGTTGTTGACCCAGTAGCTCGGCCGCAGCTCCGCCCCATGCACCAGACCTCCGGCGAGAGAGGAATGGAACTTGACATCTGAAGGGACAGGAGCTGGAAGGTCGGCGAGGGCAGCATGATACTCCTTGCTCACCAAATTCATGTGGTGAGAATGGTATGCCACGTCGACGACGAGTCTCCGGTTGAACATCTGCTTCTGTTGTACAAGCCTCTCCAGCGCTGCTAGCGCGACTTCGTCGCCTGATATCGTCAGGCTAGAAGGGCTGTTGAAGCATGCGATCCGAACTTGGCTCTCGTCGAGTCCGTCGATCAGCTCTTGAACCTCGTCCTTGCTCCCGCCCACGGCCATCATCCGGCCTTGGAGGCCCGGGAATCTTTGCCTCAACACAGGGATTAGCCTGCCGCGGTGGTATGCGATCTTGATGGCAGACTCGAACGAGATAACCCCTGCGGCATATGCGGCCGCAATCTCCCCGCTGGAGTGGCCCGCCACTGCTGTCGGCCTCACACCCCAGTTCTGCAGCAAATCGACAAGGGCGAGCTGGACCGCGGTACATGATGGTTGACTGATGCGCGCTTCGCTCACGATGGTCGACAATTCGGACTTGGCAAGCTCCTCCACAAGCGACCAGCCGCTTCCGAGACTGGCGAGGCATCTGTCGGCTCGATCCAGGCTGTCGGTGTAGACAGGATAATGGTTGTATAGCTCGCGGCCCATTGCCCACCATTGGGCTCCTTGTCCGGTGAAGATGTACCCGATGCGAACCGACTCCATCTCCTTGTTCACCACAGCGCGCCCCCCATTTAGAACTTCGATTAGCGACAGGGACTTCCTTGCCTGCATGGCGGCTCTCCATGGCAGCAATGACCGGCGTTGCCCTAGCGTATAGGCAATGTTGCGCATCAGGGCCCCCTCGAAGGCCTCTGGCCGTCGCTCCAAGTAGATGACGGTGTCTTTCAGAATGGCTTGCAGGGATGTCTTGTCATTCGCCGAGAACACGATCAACTTGGGCTGGTTGTCGAGCTCGTTCTCGGTCAATTCCTCCTTCACCCGGAACGGGGCAGTCTTGAGGACGACGTGACCGTTAGTCCCGCCGAAGCCAAAGTTGTTGACGCTGACGTACTTCTTGCCGCGGGGGAACGGCCTCTGCATCGGTGGGACCTTGAGGCTCCATTCCTTCCACGGGATCTTGGGGTTTGGGCTCTTGAAGTCATGATTAGGCAGCACGAAACTCCGCTCCAGCATCATGACTCCTTTGAGTATCCCGGCGATCCCCGAGGCACCCTCCAGGTGGCCGATGTTGGATTTGACAGAGCCTATCAAAAGCGGCTCCCTCGCAGTGCGGCGCTTCCCCAACACGTTGTGGATTGCCGTGGCCTCTATTGGGTCTCCGACTTTTGTACCTGTCCCGTGCGCTTCGACGAAGCCGCAATCCCAGGGGTTTAGGTTGAAGTCGCGATAAACCTGCCGCATCAAGGACTCTGAGGAAGATGAAGAGGAGGGCCAGTCAGCCGAAAGTTGCCCTTTCATGGCAGGACTTTGACTCACCCTGGGCTTCTCCGTTTGGCATCGTGATGCCCGGAGTCTTGCCGTCTTGGTTGATGCCAGACCCAGCAATGACGGCTCGGATCGCGTCGTTGTCTTTGAGCGCCTGCTCCAAGGGCTTCAGGACAATCATTGCGCACCCTTCACCCCTCCCGAAGCCGGTTCCCCGGCTATCAAACGCCATCGACTTCCCCGAGTCTGACAACAGCCTGCAAGACACGCCTTGTCAGCACTGATCTGCAACAAGGGGCTCACCCGCGGCTCCGTCACTTACCTGCATGTGGAGAAGGATATCCAGAACTCAGGCAACATATTCAAGTGACACCCTCCCACCAGTGCAAGACTGGACTCTCCGGCGCGCAAGCTCTGACACGCCAGGTGGACCGCAACCGTGCTCGATGAGCAAGCCGTATCCGAGGTGAAGCTCGGACCCCTCAAGTCGAAGAAGTGGGAGATTCTGTTTGATTGCATCGCATATGCGCAGCCTTGGGTGAATTTCAGCCATCAGCAATCTTTGAACAGCTCTCGTCGACTGCCTCGACCCCTTTTCCGCTCTCCATTCTGTTGGCACTTACCAGTGGCTTGGTGCATCGGGATCGTGTCGCTATCCCTGAACAGGTGCGATTCATATTCAGGGAATGATCCACCGATAAAAACACCCACATTTCCGCCAGCGATATGGTGTTTGGGGATCCCGGCATTCTCCAAAGCCTCAAATGTGCATTCTAAAAGCAGCCTCTGCTGGGGATCCATCGAAATGGCTTCCTTCTCTGTCAGACCAAAAAAGGGGGCGTCCAGGTCACGCAGGTCGCACTGGAGGAAGTTCCCCCCCACGGGATTATAGCATCCTCCTTTGCCTGGGTTGGGATGGTAAAAACTTGCAGAGTTGAAGCGCTCCTCGGGGATCTCGCTGAAGCCGGAACGGTTCCGTGACAGGAGCTCCCAGAACTCGTCGGGACTGGAGACATTCCCCGGCATCCGACACGACATGCCCACGATGGCGATGGCGCCTGTCGAGGCCTTGGGCCCGATCGCTGGCCTGTGACCATTGGCGGCAGCGCCGTCCCTCAACCCGCTGATGGGTGCTGTGCTGGCGGCAGTGCTGGGAACGGCGCTGCTCACATGAGGCACGTGTTCGTTGGAGCCACTATTTTCACGGCTGTTGACGTCGCTGTTGACATGGCCGTTCGCATGACCGTTGGTATCCCCATTGGAATGTTCATCTGCCTGGTGACCGTCGCTGGTGTGGTCATTGGTGTTTGTCTGAAAGCCAGTGCTGAGCCTTGCAACTGCGGCGCCCCTGAGGCGAGCCCAGTAGCCGCCCACGAACCCGCCACCGGTGGTCTCAGAAGTCGGGGTGCCGCCCGGACTGTCCGGCAGCAGAGCGCCAGGAGCCATCGCTTCGGGCCGAGTGCTTATCTCGCAGTTTCTTGGCAGTCCTGTTTATCACAAGGTCGGAGCCAGGATGCGAGAGAGAAATGGACTCTTGCAGTTCTTGGGGCAATGGTCGGCCCCTCAATTGGTGCTTGTGGTGTGGCTTTACGGTTGGCTTATATCCCGAGCAGCACTGGCACAGCGTCCTCTGCACTCAATTTCGACGAGACTCTTGGCCGCCGACAAGGGTCGGACCCTTGGGTTGCGCAGACTTCTGCACTGCCACTTGAAGAACCTTTCGCCCTAGACACCTTGAGGACAGATGAGCAACTTCCAAGGTTTTTTGTCATGCCCAATGCGGTGGAAGCAATGGGGGCGACATTGCTTGTCTCGGGAGGCCCACCCGGCGAACCCCCGAAGCACGGAATGAGCACTTGCGCAAGCCCCTGGGCCATTCCGGATCCCTCCAGCGTGACTGACGCGCTCGCCTACGGGTGCTGCCTGCTAGGGTCATGTCTATGGCACTGCAGTTCCGGGAAGCCGCTGTCGGGTAGTGCTTGACGGCGGACCCCACGCCTGGACTCTGCTCGACTTTGGCAAAGACGGCGAAGGGCTGGCAGCCGGCTCCGCTCTGAATTGGATGCTGTCCACGGCCGCGTGTTCTTGCGGCTAATTTGGACGATGATCCCCAAAACGTGCACTCTGGTTCACGTCCATGTCGGATCCCAGGAGGTTCCCCACGCTCGGTCATGCTATCGCAGGGCTGGCGGCAAGCACACAACGGTACTTGGTCCGGCGTGATACTGCCAGGGGCGGGCGCTGCAGTCCCTCGGCTGCCCTGCTCGGCAGTGTGCCGCGGCGACGCTGAGACACCACCCAGAGCCACCCTTCCCAGTTGGCTCGTCCCGAGAATGGGGCGCATTCTGGCTAATTCTGCGGCAGCTCCATATGATATGAGCACAGGTGAGTCCCATTCTATTGATATTAACCTTGCAGCTACACGCGTACATATGCTCAACTGTATACTCGACACCTCCGTCTTCGATTACGTATGCCCCCCTGCGTCCCTCCCGCCCTACCCGCGACACACGCCGATCGACCGAGTAGTATTCGGAACGCCGCGGCGCCCGCCTAGTGACATGCAACTATCCCGACAACCCTCGTCGAGTCATCGGCCTCGCTCTGTGAACGCTGTTCGCACCATAGGCAAGCGGCCAGGGCACGAGCTTCCATTTCCCCGCCTGCGACGGCATCAACGGCCCACCCGGGTCATGACTCCGCTGGCCAACACGTGCAACCCGAGGATGAAGGCGTGGGCACTCTGTCTCGAGCAATCGGCACTATGCGAGCCATATCGGCCCACTCGTTGGCTGGCCCCCAAAGCTCATCGCGGGCGCGAGTCCTCGACGCTATCTCTCCATTTACCTCAGACGGCCGTGTTGCCACCTGTTCTCCCTCGATGTTGATGTCCCAGAAATCTCGGACCGAGCGGCGGCAACCCGGTCGGGACGGCCGCGGCCTGATGCTCGAGATTCGCCATCGGAACCAACCTCTCCTTGACTGCCCGTCTTTCTCTGGCCACATGTTTGCGCCCAGACGAGCAGGCCCAAATCCCCGGAGTATCCTACCGCGAACGCCTACCGATACCAGTTCTAGTGAGGCTCCCCGTCCGAGTCAAGCGTCTGAAGCAAGTCGCTTGCCGTCTTGCCCCCCCTCATACCCCGGAAGTCCGGGCGGTTGTGGGCGGCTATCCGCGTTGCTACCAAGCTGCGCGCACGCCAATGCAATGTCCCCTGTCATCCAACATCCCGTCTTCAGCACGGAACGAGCACTTGAAGCATACTACCGGAAGGCGACGTACACACTCGCCAAAAAGGTCCTAGACGCGCCTCGAAACCAGGTCCGCCAATATGCGGGGTGGCCCTGTTGCAGATTCCGCGTCGCTTATGAGCTTGTATATCCTGCCACCCTCGTTCGTGCCGCCGCCCGCGTACCAGCGATCCCACCCCGAATCTGGATGCCTTTCTCTTTTCCAGGATCCAAGGACACGGCCTGGACGCGCTTGCGACAGCGCCACAGCCGAGATATCCCAACCCCATGGTGACTTTCTGGCTCTCGGACCAACGAAATTCCACACCAGCCCGCTCTTCTTTATTAGTGCTCATTCCTACTCTCACGTTCAGTGACAGGTACTCGCCTGTACTTTGTCACTGCTTCTGATCTTGACCTCGCCCGTTGATCTCCCTGATCACCTAGGTTGTTTCTTTCATCCCCAATTTCTCTCCCTCTCTTCAACTCTCTCTAGTCTTTCTCCTCAAACTGGCAATCGGCCGCCCAGCGCTTGTCGTCGATACTGCCCTCATCCCTTTGTCGGTTGCACACTCACGATGCGATTTCTCTGCCTCCCTGGTGCCTATGGCAGCTCCGATGTAAGCATCAATTACGGACCGAACAACTGTTGATATCTAAGGACATTGCTTAACCACACTGTCTCACGACAGAAATTCCAGGTCCAGCTGGGTGAGTTTCGACGGGCATGACAGAGATCAAGGCACGCTCGCAACAACGCTGACAGCAAGTCGTTACTTCAGCACCCATTGTGAAGGAGCTCACGTCGGATAACACGGCTACGTTCCACTTCATCCACGGCCCGTGCAAGGCTATCCCCCCGGGCGGGTTCAACGAATACTTCGGCCAACCTCCGTACTACCGCTTCATCGAGCCGGACCAGGACACGGCAAAGTCGGGCGATGACGATATTCTAGATCGGATCCGGGACTTCCCCGAGGGTGAAACGCCCGAGGACACGATGCGTGAGCTCATGTCCGAAGGCCTCTCAACCAGCCACAAAAGCTTCCACCGGGCGCTCGATTACCTAGTGGATATAATGCACAAGGACGGCCCGTTCGACGGCATCATCGGGTACTCGGAGGGAGCCACGGTGGCCTCGACCCTGCTTTTGCATGAGCAGAGGCGGCTGAAGAAGAAGGGCATCAAGCCCATGTTCAAATATGCCATCTTCTTCGCAGGCTGGCCCCCGGTCGATCCGGAGTCGCATTGGGTGGTCCTGAGCGACGAGAGCGAGGAGATGATCACGATCCCAACGTGTCACATCAGTATGTTTCTTCCACAAGCCGACTCCTCTCTTGGCCGTTCTTGGCCGCTGACAGGCGTTCAGTTGGCTCCCTCGATCCTTACCTCCACGGATCCATGGCTCTGTACAACGTGTGCGACCCAGACACGGCATACCTATTTGACCACGCAAAGGGCCACACACTCCCGCGCGACAAGGACACGGTGAAGGAGCTGGGTAACGTCGTTCGCATGGCGAAGGCCGAGTATGGGATCAAATAGGTGGTCACCAGTGACCAATTTTGGCTTCCCCCACCATCTCCTTCAATCAACCCAGCTCACTTTGAGTTGTCTTTGGCTTTCGGTTGTCTAGTTTGACTGCAACTGGAATTTCGCACCAATATACCATCTTCTCCGTCGCGCCTTTGTCTAGATCCTGGGAAATACTGAACCGGTGAGGATCCGTGACATATTCCAGATACTACGTAGATTTCCAGATGACTACTATAGATGTGGATTTCAACTATTCACATTTGGGGGCACGGCGCGAGTCTCTTTCAACCCATTTTCCTTGTGAATCGCATCGCTGCGACTCCTCTCGACCGAGCGGGGCGAGGACAACCAAAATCGGGTGTGTGAGAGAGGTGAAAATTGAAATGAGGGAATAGCATTGGCAAGCCGCAATCTGTCCGGTGATGCAACAAGTCCAATGTGCCGTCGAGATAAGCGTAGCTGGGTAAACCGGATGCTGAAAGATAACTCGGCGGCTCATTAGGGTTGCAGGCGTCGGCACACTGGAGCCGGCACATGGGACGGCAAAACGGCCGGAGTTTCCCTGCATGAAATCCCTGCAGGGTGTCGTTATCTTTCATCTCACAATCGAAGTGATGAGCTCCGTGGTGTGGCAGCGGCACAACCCCTACCCGCTATCAGACTCCCAAGAGGCTCTGGTCCAAAAGGGGAATGTGCCGCCGTTCTAGCGAGACGGCGGGAAGCAACAGACCCCTTAGCCGAAGGACCTGACCTGTGCCTTGCATAACGGATCCATGATGAGTGCCGGTATATATCCCACTCGGTTGCTTATCACTAACCTCGTATCGGGTACAAGCAGCCGCGCGCTCGCTATATCGCCGGTGGGCTTTCCTGGCCAATCTCAAAACTGTATTTCTCTGCGCTTCGGGGTGCCTACTGGCTATGAAGTAATGATGGACTTTTTACCCATTCTGGCCCCCGGCGCGTGATGGCCCGGGACCTTGGTCAGCTCCGATCCGGCCCCGTCAACATGACGGGTGAGTTCCTTTGCTCTCATGTTTAGGGCACCAAAGGTTGATTGTTCTTGTCCTGCCGACTATCCCTGTTTTCCTCAAGTGGCTATGTCCCCTTTCATTGACGGGTCCGCTTAAATTGCACCTCATACACAGAGGCCTGGGCCAGCGGCGCCCGATGTCCGGGGTGCAGCTGCCTGCCATTTTTGCCGACGCCCGAAACCGCAATACATTTCTCTTTCCTTTACTCCGAGCCCCTGGCAGCCGTGGGCCTGGTCTGGCCCGTAGCAACGAGATTAGGTGCGGGAGATGTTGAGAGAAAGCGTGGGAGCCCGAGGAAGGGTTGGAGCAGGAGCTACGTGGCGGTTGCGTCGCTACAGGACATGCAGGCCTCGGGAGAAACCAGATCTGCCGGCTGTCCGCTCTGGCTCTTCCTCAAGGTGGCACTCTTGCTGCGTAGGGCTTTTGGTCTACTCCCGACAGCTAGTTGTCTCCAGCGGGCCAACTGCTCTTCAGTATCGGCGATCTCTCTCGTTTGGCCCGCCTCCACCCGCCCAGTCCTCAGCGTCCACCCTTCTCAACAGCACCAGTGTTGACTGCAGCATGTGACATTATCACCCTAGAGCCAGTTCATCGAGATCCCAATTGCGAGTGTTGCCAACAGCGTGTATGCTTGGGTGTCCACTTCCGCGAAGAGACAGCGAGCGAGCCGGAAGTTGGTCAGCCCTTTCCGACGCAGGCGAGGTTACAGCCATTCTACGCGTCACCCGCAGCCGGGCGCGCCGTGGGGGGAAAGGGCAGGGCGGACGCTCTCTAGTCACCGTAGCTCCCTGAAGCACTCGGTCTGGTGGCCCACCATAGTACATCCATCCCATCTTGGTGTCAACATGGCGCTGCCAACAGAAAACAAAGCCCCCAGCAAGACAACAGCAGACCCTGCGGCACCTGTGGTGGGATCGGCACCTGCAACGACGGCCGCAACCCCCATGCCTACGATCGACGAGGGCAAGACGCTGCCACGCTCGCCATCACCAGGTGCTGCATCACCGCCCATGACCAGTCACGGCGGCAACTTTGGTGATGGCGGGAGACTACCGCCCACAGGCAGCACGCAGCAACAGGGGCCCCTGTCCGCCGAGGCGTCTTCGGTTGCGTTGGAGTCGCTACCGCAGCCCCAGCTCCCCGTACCGGCGGCGACTCCAGCCGGCGGCGTGTCGACCAAGTCGTCGGCCACCACGCTGGCCCCGGGCGTCCTGTCCAACAGACCGTCCGCGACCACTCCGACCCCCGGCCTCCTGTCTAGCAGGCCTTCTGCCGCCACCCTTGCGTCCTCCGCCAACGCGGGCGCCTTGGGTGGCGGGGCTAGCATGCCCTGGGGTCCTGCAAGGGCTGCAGGCGTCGGTGGAGGTGGCGACGCCGGTGCGCCTGGAGCGGGGCTCGGTGGCTCTGCAGCCGGAACCGGGGCCGGCGCAGTCGCCGGCGCGCTGGCAGCTGGCAAAGCTGAGAGCGGCTTGTGGGGTCTCAAGACGGACCGCAAGACGGCGTTTAAGAACTATATGGTTAGTTGCTGCAGCTTTCTTCTCCGCTGCCATCAGTGCCACACTTTGTTCTTCTTGCCATTGCTGACCTGTAGCCCCCTGGACAATAGTGGATATTTTCGCACTCGACATGGCTTGATCGGCTCTTCATGGCGGCGTCTGTCTTGGCATCAATCTGCTCAGGGGTCACGATGCCCATCATGAATGTTGTTTTTGGTACGTGCTTATCGGCAAACACGGCGGCCAAAATGCTGCGTGTCACCCGCACTTGGCCTCCACTGACATGATGGCCCAACAGGTAAGGTCTTTGCATCATTCACTGGCTACTACCACCAGCTGGGGCCCGATCGGACGCAGCAGGAGTTTCGAGGCCTCATTATCGAATGCGTGTAAGTGCTGATGCAGCCTTGACTTGGCCGCTATAGAAGGGCAGGGGGTTGAATACTAACCTGCCGTTGGGGTTTTGCAGACTATATCTGGTCTATTTGTTCATCACCCGGTTTACATTCAGCTACATTGCCTTTGTAAGCTTCGTCGATACTCCTATGTGTTGGGGCAGTTTCCAGATCTAACCAACCAACTCCTCCACCCCTGCCCACCAGCTGGGCTTTCGCATGAGCAGCCTCCGCATGTCCGCCGCGATCCGGCTCGAGTACATGCGCGCCGTCTTCTCGATGCGCGTGTCCATGCTCGACACGCTCGCGCCGGGCCAGACGGCGGCCGTCATCACCATCCTGGCCAGCACGCTGCAGCAGGGCGTGGCCGAGAACGTGGCCGTGCTGCTGCAGGCCGTCTCTCTCGTGGGCTCCGGGCTCATCGTGTCGCTGCTGTACAGCTGGGAGCTGACGCTGGTGACGGGCAGCGGCCTCGTGCTCATCGCCGCCGTCTACGCGGCCACCACGCCCATGCTCGTGCGCGCCATGAACCAGGTGCAGCGCTGCGAGATCGCCGCCGCCGCCGTCGCCAGCGAGGTCTTCTCGTCCGCCCGCATGGTCGCCGCCTGCGGCGCCGAGGCTAAGATGGCGAGGCGGTACGACGCCTTTGTCGACCAGGGCTGCCGCGCGGGGTTGAAGATGTCGCCGATTGTGGCCTGCCAGCAGGCGCCTGGTCAGTGTATATGGGAGGTTGGAGGTAGTGGTGACTCTGTCTAGGTCATGGCTAACTCATCTCAATACATCGCAAACGTGCAGTCTTCTTTGCCATATACTCGTGAGTCTTGATCTTTGTACTTCGCAGCGGTACTATTAGGATATAGGATACTAATCTCGGCGCTTCCAACAAGTACAGAACCTTCGCGCTCTGCTTCTGGTACTCTCTCAAGATGTACATGGAAGGCAGAATTACAAGCCCCGAGGTCCTTATCGTGTCAGTACCCCCTTCCTCTCGGCTCGGTCAGCCAAAAACCTTTGTATGAACCAGCACCGCTAAACCCTCGCAAAACCAGCGTCCTCCTCTCGGTCATGATGATGACGGGCGCCGTCGGGACGCTCAGCACGCCCATCAGCGCCGCGGCGCGCTCGGCAAACGCGGCCGGCATCTTCCGCAAGGTGCACGAGCTGCCCAAGCCCAAGACGGGCGGCCTCAGGGCGCCCGAGGCGTCGGCGGCGGGCGACATTGCGCTGACGCGCGTCAACTTCGCCTACCCGGCGCGGCCGCTGCAGCGGGTCCTGCACGACCTGACGGTCCGGTTCCCGGCCGGCAAGGTCACGGCCATCGTCGGGCCCTCGGGCTCCGGCAAAAGCACCGTCGTGGCGCTATTGCAGCGCTGGTACGAGATGGACGGCGACCCCGTGAGCAACGCTGGTGTGAGTGCGTCGGTTCCCCGCTATTTGACATCTCTCTCTCTCTAGTGACGGGCGTCTCGGCTGAATCATAAGAGCGAAAAAAAAACAGGTTCTTTGGCTCCGTAACGGGATCGTGCAGATCGGTGGCCGTCCGCTCAAGGACATGGATCTGTTTTGGTGGCGGGCGCAGATTGGCCTCGTCCAGCAGGAGCCTTTTCTTTTTAACGATTCGATCTTCAAAAATGTCGCGTACGGTTTAGTTGGAACCGAGTGGGAAGACTCGCCGGAAGAGGACAAGGCGAAGCGCGTCGAGGAGGCATGTCGGGAGGCATTTGCCGAGGAGTTTATCCAGCGGCTCCCAGAGGTGCGTGACCACTTTCGCGATCCAGAGCAAGTCGATATGCTAAAAAACATTGACATTCAGGGGTACAACACCTTCGTCGGGGACTCGGGCATCAAGTTGAGCGGCGGCCAGCGACAGCGTCTGGCGATAGCCCGGGCGATCATCCGCCGGCCCAAGATCTTGATACTAGACGAAGCCACGAGCGCCATCGACGTCAGGGGCGAGAAGGTGGTGCAGGCGGCGCTGGAGCGGGCGTCGGAAGGGCGGACCACCATCACCATCGCGCACCGCCTCTCGACGATCCAGAGGGCCGACAACATCGTCGTCATGCGCGGCGGCAGGGCCGTCGAGCAGGGCACCCACGAGCAGCTGATGGCGCGCGGGCCCGGCGGCCTTTATTACGGCCTGGCGACGGCGCAGCGCCTCAGCGGGGAGGAGAAGGACGGCGACGGCGACGCCACGCCCAAGCGCGACAGCGGGGCCGACTCGCACGGGAAGAAGAGCGCCGCCGACTGGGTCACTTCCGAGGAGAGCCGGCAGGGAGACGAGGAGACGCTGGTCTCCTCGGGCCAGCCGCAGCCGGGGGCGAGCAAGAGGAAGCGTGGCATATTCGGCAGCTTTACGTTGCTATTGAGGGAGCAGAAGCGGCGCTGGCCGTGGTACCTGCTTTTGGGAGCTGGTGCGGTGGCAGGTGGAGGTACGTACCAATTTGATGCTCGCCCACCCGATCAATGCTTTGTTCAAGCTGACACTTGAGCACAACGCACGTCAACACACAGCCAGCGCGCCAATACAGGCTTTCCTCTTTGCCAATACGGTGTCGATATTCCAGCTCTGGGGCAACTTCGGCCTGCTGCAGAGCCTAGCCAACTTTTGGTGTCTGATGTTTGTTGTGCTAGCAACCGGGGTTGGGCTGAGCTATTTTGCCCTGGGCTGGTCCGCGACCACTCTTTCGGTTGTCCGTTACTACCTTCCCTACCCATGCTCCTCCCCAATGTGTCTGGCTCGGTCTAGTAGAGCAGGATTTACTGATAAAGTCATCTTTTGTTCTTTCAGCACATCATCCGGCACTACAGAAAGGAGTACATCCGCAACATGCTCTCCAAACGCGCGTCGTTTTTCGACCAAGACGGCAACTCGGCAGGGGCACTCACTGCCCGGCTGGCCACAGACCCGGCCCAGCTCCAGCAGCTTCTCGGGATGAACATGGCCTTTGTGCTCGTCTCGGTCCTGAGCGTGGTCGGCTGTCTCACCATCTCCTTCTACTTTGGCTGGAAGTTGGCTCTGGTGACGGTGCTGACGATGCTGCCCCTCATCCTGGGCGCGGCCTTTTTCCGGGTCCGGTACGAAAAGCGGCTGGAGATGATGGGCATGGCCGTGTTTGCCGAGAGCGCAAAGTTCGCCAGCGAGGGCGTGGGCGCGTTCCGGACCGTGTCGTCGCTGACGCTAGAGCGCGTCATCTGCGACCGCTACGCGAAGCTCCTGAGGGACCACACGCGCGCGGCCTTTTTCAAGTCCAGCGGGTCGACGGCGCTGTTTGCCCTCAGCGACAGCATATCGTTGCTCTGCATGGCTTTCATACTCTGGTATGGCGGAAAGCTGATGGCGGAGCACGAGTACGCTCCCTTCCAGTACAGTAAGTGCCCGGTGGCGCCGCGTCATATTCCGACGATCTGGTTTCACTGACAGGAGCGGTGCCTCAATAGCTGTCGTGTATATTGCCGTGCTTCAGGTGAGACATGCCTTGGAAACCACCCCGAAGAGCAATAGAAAGAAAACAAAGAACACTTCCACTAACCTGTTTACACGTGAAAAAAGGGCGGCGTTGGTGCAGGTCAATGGCTGAGCTTCGCTCCGAGTAAGTACATTCCCTGTGATTCTAATCGCTGAAACGAGCCGGACAAGAGGACGTTTACTGACGGGCCGAAAAAACAGACATCGCACAAGCCTCAGTGGCAGCCAACCGGATCGTCGACCTGCGGACAAAGGACAACAGTGACGGGGGACTAATATCCCTCGACAGGGGCGATCTTGGCGACGATGACATGGGCGTCAAGATCGAGTTCAAGAATGTCTGGTTCAGATATCCCACCCGGGACGTGCCTGTGCTGAGCGGGCTGAACATGACGGTGAGGAATTCCCCATGCGGAATTTCAAGTCGTTTAACAGAGAAACTAACCGGCTCCCATGCACAAAGATTGAAAAGGGAATGTTCGCAGCGGTTGTTGGTCCTTCGGGATCTGGCAAAACCACCGTAGTGTCGCTGTTGGAAAGGTTCTACAAGGCAAACGCCGGCAGGATCGCTTTCAACGGGATCGAGATCTCCAACCTCGACCTGAGAAGCTACCGCAAAGACATCTCGCTGGTTGCGCAGGAGCCGTGCATCTTTGAGGGCACCATCCGGGAGAATATCCTCCTTGGGATGGACTACGAGGAAACTCGAGGAGCCGGCTTCAAGGACGAAGAGGGAGTGGAGAAGATGGCCAGCAAAAGGTATTCTGCACGCACAGCATCCCCAGCGCCAGGCAACGCCAAAGAAGCCAACAGCGAAAAGGCCACAGACATGGAAGAAGCGCTAGTGCAGGCGTGCAAGGACGCGGGGATCCACGACTTCATCTCGACGCTGCCCGAGGGCTACGGCACGGCCGTGGGCAACAAGGGCGTGGCGCTGTCGGGCGGACAGAAGCAGCGGCTCTCGATCGCGCGGGCGCTGGTGCGGAACCCACGGCTGCTGCTGCTGGACGAGGCCACGTCGAGCCTCGACTCGACGACGGAGCGGGCGGTTCAGGCCGTGTTTGAGCGCACGCGCCGGTCGCGTACCATGGTCGTCGTGGCCCACCGCCTGGCCACGGTCCAGAAGGCCGACGTCATCTTCGTGCTCGGGGACGGGCGGGTCCTAGAGAGGGGGGACCATGCGGGCCTGCTGAAGAGGAGGGGCGTCTATTACGATATGGTGAGTCTTCTTTTTCCCCATCTCTTTATGCTCCCGGAGCCTTCTCGGCTCGGCTGACATGTGTTTTGTTCTTGCGTTCCCGTAGTGTCAGTCGCAGGCTCTAGATAGGTGAAGAAATGGAGGGGGTCGGCTTGGATGGGTAGAAATAAGACCTCAACCCGGGACATGAGCAAATACTGTAGATTTCGAGACTACCGAAGCTCGTTTCTTATGCATGTGATGGCTTCGGGAAATAAGCAGCGGATGATTGGCTTTGTCGGAGGGTCCACCGCCGAACCGTCCATTGTTGTGTTGCTGCTACTACCTTGTGACTGGCCGGCCACAATGCCAGCATTGGCGCGCGTAAAGGTCGAGCTTGGAGAAGTTGAACCCCTCAGCGGGCGGCCCCCATATTCCTTCAGCGGGTACCTGACGAGGAAGTGATATCAAGGAGGGACTTGGACAGCTGCCAAGTAAAACCCCACCAATAAACACAGCATCAATCCCACCACCACTTATTACAGACGGCGAAACGAGGACGACATGGTCCGGGGATTTTGTCCATTGCGGGGGGGAAGCTGCATCAGAGTGACTACTGCGCTATAGCCACCACGTATAAAGTGATGCCAGATCCGGGGAAGCGCGGCGGTGGTCCTTCTCGTAACCCCAGGGCCGCGCTGAAGGACTTGTTGACACCTCCTCCCGGCTGACGACAACTCGACAGGCGAGCAGCGGCGCGCGGCATTATGCATCCCCACCTCAGCCTCCTCGTTCAGGGCCTGCTGGTCCTGGCGCTGGCCACATCCTCGACCGTCCTGGCCGCCTTTGGCTTTACTCGGTCGGGCAATAACTTGGTCATCGACGCCGGCTCGGCCAACCCGCTCGTCTTCCAGGTCGACGCGCGCAGCTGCGACATCAACTCGATCCTCTACCGCGGCACCCAGCTGCAGTCCTCGGGCGGCCAGGGGACGCACATCGGCTCGGGCCTCGGCTCGGCCACCGTCAGCGCCAGCCAGCTCACGGGCGGCGCGAGCGGGAAGCGCTACGTCCGCGTCACCTGCGCCACCCCGACCCTGACGCACTACATGGTGGTGCGCGAGGGCGACAGCAGCATCTTCCTCGCCACCCACATCACGCAGGAGCCCTCGATCGGCGAGCTGCGCTTCCTCGCGCGCCTCAACGCCAACGTCCTGTCGGGCGAGTACCCCTTCGGGGACGCCTCGACCACGGCGGGCAGCAGCTCGACGGTCGAGGGGTCCGACGTCTTCGTCGTCAACGGCCAGACCCGGTCAAAGTTCTACAGCAGCACGCGCTTCATGGACCGCGACGCCCAGTGCGTCTACGGCGGCTCGGACCTGATGCACGTGTGCGTCGTCGTGCCGAACATGGAGTCGTCGAGCGGCGGGCCCTTCTTCCGCGACATCGAGTCCAACAACGCCGGCGGCAGCACCACCAACCTGTACAACTACATGAACAGCGGCCACGCGCAGACGGAGCCCTACCGCATGGGGCTGCACGGCCCGTACGTCATGAGCTTTAGCCGCTCCGGCCGTCCAACCCTGCGCGACACAGACCTGTCCTTCTTCGACGAGATCCCCGGCATCCAGGGCTACGTGCCGGCCTCGGGCCGCGGCTTCGTCTCGGGCACCGTCTCGGGCGTGCCGTCGTCCTTCCAGCCCGTCGTGCACTGGCACAACGCCCAGGCGCAGTACTGGACCGTCGCCAGCCCCAACGGCGGCGCCTTCAAGTCCCCGGCCATGAAGCCCGGCACCTACACCATGGTGCTCTACCAGACCGAGTACAAGGTGGCCACCGCGACCGTGACCGTGGCGGCCGGCAGGACCGCGACGGCCAACATGGCCAGCACCCTCCGCCCCGCGGCCACGTCCATCTTCAAGATCGGCGAGTACGACGGGCAGCCGACGGGCTTCCGCAACGCCGACAGGTTCCTGCGCATGCACCCGAGCGACCGCCGCATGGCCGCCTGGGGGCCCCTGACCTACACCGTCGGCTCCTCGGCGCCCGCCGACTTCCCCATGGCGCAGTTCCAGGCCGTCAACAACCCGACCACCATCCGCTTCAACCTGGCCAGCCCGCCGCCTGCCGCCGCCGCCGCCACCCTCCGCATCGCCACCACCCTGTCGTTTGCGGGCTCCAGGCCGCGCGCCACCATCAACGGCTGGGCCGGCCCTTCCCCGCCCGCGCCCGTCAAGATTGACAGCAGGGGCGTGACGAGGGGCGCGTACAGGGGCTGGGGGGACGTCTACGACGTTAACATCCCCGCCGGCACCCTCAAGGCCGGGCAGAACACCATAACCATCGAGTCTCTATCGGGGAGCAGCGGAAGCGCCTTTTTGAGTCCCAATTTTGTATGTGTAATCGGGCGCTTTCCTTTGCCCCTTCTCGTTCCAGTCATTCATTCAATCTCTGTATTGCGCGGCTGCTAACCATTGCCTGGCGCCACCTTGACAGATATACGACTGCGTCGAGCTTTTTACCAACTGAGATATCCCTCCGCCACCAGAGCACGTGGATGACTATTCTCAACCAGGGAGAAGGATGCTGTTTCTTTTCGCATATACTTGATTTGCAGTGTTGCTCTCGCTTGTACACACGCCTCCCGTACATATCATCTCGTGCTTCATACTACAAAACCGGGCTTCATTGCTCTCAAACTGGGCATATCGAAAACAGGGCTGGACTACTCTAGTAGCGCCTCCCAACACAATACGGGCAAAGCCTCTCAAAGATCATAGACCATCCACACGTTCCCCTCGACCTCGCCGCCGGGGTACACCTTGAACCCGGCCCTCTCGTAAAAGGGCACGACCTTTGTGTTCTCGCCCGAGACGCCAATGTGGATCCCCTTTCCGTAGTCCAGCACCATCTCCTGCCCGCGACCCAGCCCCGTCTCCTCGTCCAGCACCACCACGTGCGCCGCTTGCCCGCCGGCCTCGCGCACCGTCTGCACGAACGCCTCGATCATCTTCCGGCCCCACCCTTGCCCTTGGAACGGCTCCAGCAGATCGATATGCATCGTGGCCCGGTGGCTCTGCACCAGCGCCTCCTTGCCGCCCGCGCCCTCGAGCAGCAGCCAGCGCGGGTTGCGCGCGACCTGGAGCAGGAACTGCTCGTTGACCGCCACCACCTCCTCCTCCGACCCCTCCTCTCCTCCGTCCCCCCCGCCGGGAACGGACCAGGGCTCGCGCGTGGCCATCTGGCGCGGCGTGAACTCGGGCGCCGTCAGCCGCTTGGACACGTAGGCGTGGTAGCCGGCCGCAAAGGCGAAGACGTCCGGGCAGCCGATGACGTAGCCGACGCAGCGGCCGGCGCCGTCGTCCAGCACGAGGCAGTGCCGCGGCGCCAGGTCCGTGTACTGGTGCGTCCAGATGTAGGGCGCCAGGCGCCTTGCCGGCTCCGATTTTTGCAGCGTCGGCGGGAGGGTTGCGCGGCACTTTTTTTTTTTTGCTTTCAGTCAGGCTCTCGTAGCAAAACGTTGGATGGGCGAATAAGTACGGTAAATAGGTACAGAAGCGAAAGACGCTAAAATTAGGTCATTTCTTAGCAAAGGAAGCTCGGGAACTCACGATGAAAGCCGTCGCATCAAAGTCGGACTCCTGGTACGGACGGATGAAGGCCATTGCGCAAGAAAGCTTTAGGGGTCCGCAGGCAAACTCGAACAGGAAAAATCAGCCCTTCACATGCGGCCTGTGTCGACAAAGTTCCGCTGTCGTCTGATCAAGACAAAGGCGTTAGTCGTTGACCAAGCAGAGATGAGATAGCAACGGTTGCGATGGTGGGATCACTTTTAGATGCTTCAAAAGACTCCTTGTTTAGAGTGTGCGTAGGATGAGTGAGATTGAGTTTCGGTTTTTTTCTTCTTTTTTTCCCCCCCTATTTTGACATCCAGCGTTTGCTTGCTGACGAGAGATTACGGAATGCCAACACTTTTTGGGGGGCAGGTATTCCTCACCTGCGCACCTGTGGCACCTGCTGCAAGTCCGACGGGAAGCACCAGGTCGTTCTTGCCGCATCACAGTGGCTGTACGACTTGACCCAAACTTGGCAGGAGCATGCAGGAGCCTGCCTAGCATGTCATTGCCGGACCGCGCGGGGAAGTCGAGGGGACCAAACGAGTCGGGAACTCACGTGCGGGGTGCGGCAACAGGACACACGAATTGATACAGCAAGTGGCACCTGCCAGCACAGGACCTTCCTTCACTGACAAACACAACAGACAGCAGGGATCAACAATGGTTTTGGTCAGGGCATCACGAACACAGGCTGACGAGCAACAAGCATTAGCCAGAAGCCCAGACATCTGGGACTTTTTGTTTTACTTCAGCAACCCTGGCTGTCCTCGTCGTGGGGAATCGCAACAGCAGAGGAGGCTCGACGACAAAGTAGGAAAATGAATCAAGACGCAAAAGATTCAAGGACAGAAAAGGAAAGAAAGTGCCCCAAGGCTCCTCGCTGCAAAGAGCGTGGCAATGCCCACTTCTGCCCTCGGGGTCTGACAGCTTCCTGTTCAATTTCACGAACTCCAGCGGACAAATCCGCAAGAACCGTTCCAGACCTCTTCTGTCGAGCAGTCGATCAAAGCAGAGAGCGACCCAGGGCGGTAATAATGATCACCAGCAATCGAAGAATGGGGTGAAAGTAGGCACCCAAGAAGCGAAGCCAAATGGTCACCTAGCCAGGACAAGGTCCCATTATCTGTCCGAAGAGAGAAGAAAAAACAAAGAGAAAAAAACCGAAACGGGCAAGGACGCCTTGGAAAACGGAAACCAGAGGGAATCGAAAGCCTTAACGCCAACGAAGAGAGAATCAAGGAATCGAAATAAGGAAGAGTGAGGAAAAAGGTAAAAAAGAATCAGATTTGTACACCCTGTTATACAGTGGAGGTATCTCGAGGATCGTTAACTTCGTGTTTGTGCGACTGACTGTGTGAAAGGTGCCGAGAAGATTAGGCGATGCAGTAGAAACGCGCTTCTCCCTGCTGTAAAAGAATCAAAAAGCCAAGAAATTAGAGTAATAAAAAGAACTCAGATCCAACGCATGTTCTGCGTTCTGCTTTTGCTGTTGCTTTATGTCATCCGCCCTTTTCTTTCTCTATTCGTCTTGAATTAGTTCTTGTTTCCCGGTAGTCCAGGCGGCACCGTAGCGAGACCCAAGACTAGATCATGCTATTTCCATAAGGGCTCTTGGAAGACGACGACGATGGCTTCGCAGCCGGTGTGACGAGATGGCGGCTGGCAGGGGGTCCCGCAGCGGCAAATCCTCGCGTATCCCTGGGAGAACCGAATGGGTTGGGGATAGCCGATGGCGGAGGAACCTTGCTGGCCTCGGAGCTTGGCTTGCGTAGTCGCCACCTGCTGAGAGGCTTATCATCCTCGTCGTCGCTGACGGAGAAGGCGCTGCGAATGTCGCCACCATCCGTGCGGTTGGAAGGAATCGTCAAGGCCGGGGTCGACCTAGCAAAGCTCTCCGTGCGGACATCAGGATCCTCAGCGTCGCTGTGCTTACGCCCCAGGAACCCAGTCATACGGTTGGTACGACGAGGGTTGATGGGCGGCAGCGGGGGCGCGATGTACTCGCCTCCATTGCTGCTAGACTTGGAGTTGTTGCGCGATCGCTGGCCCGACTCTCCATTGTCCTGCAGACTGACAGTCGGGACACGGCTGGTGCTCATGACGAAGGTCGGATCCGAGATGTCCTTCTTCTTGATGACCTTCTTCATCGACTCTTGGAGAGTGCTGTTCGTTGTACTGCCACCGGGCGAGGGCGCTGGGGGCGCTGATGGGCGTCTCTGGGCACCGCCGACAGGCACAATAGGCGATGCACCACTGCGAGGGCCAGCAAGACGGGGAGACGGAGGGAGCCCATTGACACTTGGCGACATCGGGGAGCCCGACATATCAAGAGTCGGCCTCTCTGACTGCACCCTCAGGTTTCCCGAGGATGCCGACCTCTCAAACCTGCTTGGTGAAGATCCAGGGTACGGCTGAGGAGGCATGATGGGAGACCTGCGGATGTCGGTGCCTGGAAGTCCAGGGGACCGCACCATGGGCTGACGGAGCATGGGGCCGGCGCTCATGGGGCCTTGGCCAGAGAGATCGTATGCAGACGAATTGGTTCGCAGTCGAGGGGGGGGCGGACGGCTGCCAGCCCTGCTGTTGCTCGCCTCTGATCCGCTGCGGTCCCTCTCGCCACGCGGAGGAGACCGCGACGCTACACTGCGGCGCGAATCTTGACTAGGATCCCGTCGCTGGTAGTAGGATCGAGGCGGTGGTCCACGCTCTCTGCTAGCGGCCCTGGATCCCGTCTCACCATCATTCATGCGGTAGTCCTCGACTGACGAGCCACCAGTTGACTGGTTTGACCCGTGGTGCCTGCCCAACGTCTCCAGCTCCTTACGCCTCTGGAGTTCCCGGCGGGCGTTGCGAAAGGCCCGCAGGCCTGGATGAACGTTGTCGTCATCCCTATCGTTAGACACTGTAGACGCCGCATCGGCGTCTCGGTCGTCACTACGCCTAGCGCCAGCGTCCGTCGACTCGGATACCCGACCAGAGCTAGACTCGGCCTCCTCTTCCTTCATAGGGGGGAGTCCAGCGTCGTCGAAGGTCTGTTTGGCCGGGCCCGGCGAGGTGCTCATTGTCACAGACCCGAGCCCGAGAAGCTTGAGAGGTTTGGGTCCTCCGGAAGTGTCGCGGTTCCTGTCAATCAGAGAGCCCCGGCTGGACTTTCCCCGGAGAAGACCAAATTTCGCCGGTGGCTCGTTCGGCGACTCAAGAGCTGGCAACGGAGACGTTGGTCGGCTGCTCTCAGACTCGGCATAGGACGAGACAAGTCTCTCCTGGACCCGCCTCCGGGCGTTGGCCAGCTGGCTGGCGAAGTCATTATCTTCGTCATTGCTTGGCTTAGACTCATTTCCCTTCACGACCGAGTCTTCCTGCTTCAGCTTGTCAAAGCTTTCATCAATGGGTAGCAACGTATCTCGGGTCCGGCTATCGTCCCCGTAGGGATTCCACGACGACGACTCCAGGGTGCTAGCCCGAAGGCCAGAGATCATGTTGCCGAGAACGGACGAGTCACGGGCGTCGGTGAGGAACCGAGTGTCTACGCCGGCAGACTGGGGAGCGGCGTAGATGGATGATGCACCGCTCTCAGATCGCATATGCTGGCGCACCATGCCGCCGAGACCGGACCCCGAGGGGGGGCTCAGCATAGGCGACTCCTCCGGGGACTCGTTGTGCGATAGAGTCAACGGGTACTCTGGCTTTTCAAACACGGGCGAGGGTTCCGTGCTGGCCCTCGAGGTGAAGGATTGCGGTGTTGGGAGAGCGGTCTGTCTAAAAGCAGGGTGAACCTCGTCAGGCACACGTTCGTCTTCAGTTTCGGAGGTGTCGAGAAAAGTCTGTGACCCGTACCCTTGCCGACTGGATTCGGTATGGATTGACAGCTCCAGTTTCGGAGCGAACTGCTGCCTCTCGCTCGTCGACGAGGACCGCGAACGGCCAGTAGCGTTCGACTCGGTACGGGTGCGATGTGTAGGAGTCTCACGCCCTTGCTGCAGCTGGAGCTGGCGCTGGGCGTACTTGGACTCGTCATACTGCTGCGCGGGCTTCTGGAACACACCAAGAGCCGTAGCCTTGCCTCGATCATTTGGCTGAATAGCCAGTGCCGAAAACTCGCCTGCTTCGCTGATCGGCGGGCTGATGGGAGGGGTTCCGACCAAGTTGGATCGTGACTCTGCTGGGCTCGAGACCTTGGAGTCCATGTCCGTCGGGGGAGGCGGCGGAGCCGTAGTTGGCGAGGCCGTCGTCCGCAGGTTGGGGGCACTAGCCTTGGTCAACATTGCGCGACGCTCATTCAGAGGAGTAAATCCGGTAGGCGAGATTGTGGTGCTGGATGACAGATCGGGAGAGCGAGTGGCAAAGGGCCGCTTGCCCGTCAGGGTATCAATCCGAGACAAGGCCGTTGATTGCTGGTCATGCATATCCTGGTGGAGAGCTTGCTCGTAAAGCCTCCTTGTCCTGGTGACAGACCGATCGAGAGTCGCGCCAGCGTTGGCAGAGGCAGGTGCCGAGGGCTGTGGCTGCCAGTCTTTGATAGAGGCAGCAGCCTGCGAGTTGACGGAGGTGGCAGCGGTGGAGTTGCGCGCCAGAGACGACGCCGTAGTCGATGACGTCCCGCGCTTCTGGTTGTAGTCGATAAATGCGGGCGACTCCGACCTCATCGGCGCAGAACCTTCCTCACTCGGACGTGGCCGAGTGTCTGCAGAGGGGTCCTGGGAGTCCTGAGAGTCCTCGCGTTCGTTTTCCTGTGACCTTCGCTGCCTCTCCCTCTCCTCCCGCCTCCATTTCTGAAATGCGGACATCGACACGTCGCTCTCGTACAAAGTCCGGTTTCCGATAACGATCTTTTGCCTTCCACCAAACAGATTGTTGCCATCAGTTGGTTTTCCCCTGCTCATGATGCTGCCCTTGGTCGAGCTCGCGTCATCCATGTCCAGGCGGCCTCCGAACGGTGTCCTGAGCGACTCCACCTCGGCAATATCATTCAGATCTCCCTGGAAGCCGTAATCCAAGAGCCGTGAGGAATGCTTGGGAAACAAGACGCTGTCGTCGCTGGCCTTGCCTATTTTTGTACTGGGGTCGTCTTGCTCCCGTAGCATAGAGAAGCGGGCGGAAAGACCAGTCATCAGAAGACTGGTACGGAACTCGTCGTGGGATGGCAGAGCAGTGGTGAGGTCGACTTCCTCTTTGACCTCCTCTTCCTGAACTTTCTTGCCGCTGAAGAATCCCTTGAGGGACATTGAGCTCGATTCGCCCTCCACGGCATCCTTCCCCTTCTTCTTGTTCCGGAACCGATTCATCGTCGTAGACGGAAAGTAATATGGACAGAATGAATAGTTTGGGCCGCGCCAAACTGTTTTGAAAAAAGGATAAAAGAATGTGAATTGGCGCAAGAAAACAAGAAACTAGTTGCCGCCCGACCTGGACTGGATGGTCATGGGCAATTGTGGTCACTCCAAAGACCAAATGCAGCCCGTGGCTGCTGATTGCTGGCGTGCTCGGTCGACCAGTTGGAGAGCCCGAGGGCGAAGGAGCGCCTGTATAAAAAAGAGAAGTCAGTGCCAGATTCGCACCGCCGGCGCGTGGTCGCGATCGTCCCTTCTCACACCTTGGCGCCGAGGTCGTGGTGGTGAGAACAGAGTGCGGATGCAGCGTAGGAAATGTGCCAGGGTCGCGCCGCACTAGAACGGAAGCCCATGCATGAAATAACCTGAAATAACCAGACAGATGAATTCGTTCCCTACCTTGCCGTGCTCCCTCTCTAAACTGGTGTCTAGCCCGGACTTCGAGTAGGCGGAGAATCGTGTGTCGATCGAAGAATATGCGGCCCAGATGACGATCGCGGGATTGGTATCTCCCTACAAGGAACTATTGCGCTCGACACACAGGTTGCGTGATGTTGGTGAAGAAAAAGCGGCGGAATTCTCGTGCCAGATGCCAAATAGCCTACGGCCAACGAAGTGAACAGCGACGCAGAGTATGGCGGGGCGATCGGGTTGGTGGTGGTCGGCTCCTGGCGGGCGTTTCGAAAGAAGATGAACGCAAAGTTGGTGTGTGCGGTTTCAACAAGAGGAGATCAAGACTAATGAGTGAATGTGAATGGTAGGCAGGTCGGTCGTCTCAACGAGACCGTTTTGCGAGGGACGTGGGCGGAGGCGGCACAACGCGAGGGTAGCTAGGACCTCACTCTCGTCTGAAGTCGGGACGAGGGCTGCTTGATAGTTGTTGTGCTGGGAGCTGCCGGCGAGGCGGTTAATGCGGGTGCTAAAGGAGTGACTGCACGGTGTCCCGAGGTGGACGAGGCTCTCGAGGGTAAAAAAGAAGGGAAGGTTCAGAAGTGAATCCACAAATGTGAGAGAAGATGGAGGTGGTGGTTTCGGAAGGGGAGGAGGGAAAGAGCCAGGACAAACAGCCCAGAAGAAAAAAATAACGAGATTGGAGATTGAGCACTGCACTGTGGCACGCACGTCCGCCCACGCCAAGCTCCTGCTGTGGTAGGCAAGGGTGGGCTCGCAAACGCTTTGGGGCGGGCGACGAGGGACTGGGACTGGACATGGACTGGGTCTTTGATTGGAATGGGCAGAAACGCCCAATCAGCGCCAGGCCTCGGTGCTTCCCTGTGCCTGGCCCACCTGTGCGTACCCGCTTTGGAAAAGCTGGAGACGACGGGCAGGGGATCACTGAGCGCAGGGGTCGACCGGGAGTGACCCGGGATGGCCCCTGGCGGCGCCTGCCAGGAACGGGGGGGCCCAACGGCACTAAGGCAGCCCGGCCGAGGGTGTGGGCGCCGCAGCCAGTCAGCGGCCTGCTTGGGGCGCACTGGCCTCGCGCCAGAGGGTTGCGCCCGCCTGTGAGTGGCCGCTGGTGAGGGTGGTCCGCCCCCAAGAGCGAAGAGAGAGCGTCGGGCTGTCGCGACAAGAAACAAAGCGCACCGGCGAGCGACGACCCCAGAGCACCCTGCGGCAAGCCACCCCGAGCCAGAAAAGGGGATTGGATGTGATGGATGGCCGATGCCCTCTTCTTTGCTCATCTCTCTGCATCCTTTTCGCATTGCCACCCACAACCTACGACCCCCGTGCAAGATGATAACACCATGCATCTGCTCTGCGCCCCTCTTTTTTGTGTTCTGAAGACCCTGTGCTTATGTCTTTTTGTTTATTCTCTTCCCCCTTCTCCCCACCGTCCCACATTGCTCATCCCTTGTCGCCGTCGAACCAACAAGCAAAAAGCGAAGCACTCGCGCCTGACTTGTTGTCCGAGTCCACCGAGGCCATTGGGACATAAATAAATACAATCCACACTATCTCGCAATTGCCCCCTACCTCCTGTCGATCTTGAGCTTTATATTACAAGTTGTGGTGATTGTGCTGGTGGGCGTCTGTTCTCCCTCCAGATTGCTGTTGGTTTTCTGTTTCTTCCTGTTCTTTCTTTTTTGTCCCACCCCTCATCTTTGGTTCAGGCTGTTCCAGATGGTCCCTGGCGTTTGAGCCACCCGTCGAGTTGCTCATGACCCGGACCAGGTAGACTAGGCGTTCGTCAACCAGTAATAGTGCGCCGAAATCAAATTTGATGTGCATCTCGAGCTCACCGTGTCGATCCTATTGTTCAACGTTGACCAACCACGACATCACACCAGCAAATGCTGCCTGTGACAGGAACGGTGCGGTGCGCCTTTCCTGCTGTGCTACGGGGACGACAAGGTGGAATACGATGGATGGCACAGCTGCAAACGCGTGATCCTCCGTTCCTGTTTGTGTAGCCACACAATGCCCGCTGATGCCATATGCTGCCTAGAGGAACTCGATTCGAAATAGCACAGTCCGTATTCGGGCAGCCCCGACGCCGCATGTTGTTGCCCCCACTCGGGTGAGCCTTTCAAGACGAATAATACAGTACAATAGAATCATATGCGACCCCCATCATCCTATGCGCAAAGGGTATGCACACAAGATCCGACGAAGGATAAACAACGACGTCTGGCCTGTGGCCGGCTTGTGAAAAGGGGAAGGATAAGGGGCCAGACGAGCAACGATGGGTTGTGACGGCGATCAAGACAGATGTCCAGGTCCGAGAGTAACAAAAAGAAAGGACACCGGCAGCCACTCGAAGACAACATGTCAAAGCGCCATGGCGCGACGGCAGAGAGCAACGGCAGCCGTTTAGAGTTCGGGTCTCGCATGTGCCTCCTTGGCGATGGCGATTGTCTCGATTTCCTCGCCGCATTCCGCAATCTTCCTCTCACTCTGCCACCCTCTGTGTCAGCCGTCAAACGCTCCCTGCAAGCCTTGGGGCCTCGCTCCTTGATGGGTGCCACATGCGCCTCCGTCAACTTGTCGCAGAAGCTGCGGCGTCGAAAATGGACATTTCCTCATGTGACGGCCCGCCCTTCACAAGGGCTTGCCACCCTCCTCCTCCTCCTCTTGCTACCAAAGAGCAGCCAGGGAAAGATTGCCGCGGGGTGAGGAAGGCCGGGATCCCCTCCGTTGACGCGCAGGCGATCGGCCCTCGCTCGAAACAAACATCGTCTCCTTGCCTCTTGCCAGACGCAGGCGAAACAAATATGTTCGTTCTCCCGCGCACCGCCTCGCCCTCTGCATGCAATAATGACACCATTTATATGTCCGCGACGGGCAATCCAAGTTCCCGAGTCTTGCGGAGAGACGGAACAGGGGAAATGCGGCTGTCCTGCCCCGACGGCTGGTCTCTTGCACACCGCAAATCTGGAATCGCGTCGAGCGAGTCTTCAGGCGGGCTCCCCGGCAACCTCTGTGCGTAGCTTTTTCAACGGCGGCGCTCGGCACCTGCCGGGAATCATCGCATCGCGGCGAACGGAGAAAATAACGGTTTCCCCTCTATACAGATCTCTTTCGATCATTATCTAACCAGATCCCCGTCATGTTCTCAATCCGACGTCCTCTCGAGCAGATCCAGATTCGGGGCCTTACTGTCACCATTCCCACCCACACTCTACTCTCACTAAAGAGGAGGAAGAATGTGTCGCTGTTCCTGACCTAACTCTTCCTGGAGTGCAGGTGGGGTAATACGGCAGATTGGCCTTAAGGGATGTAACCCCCCCTGGACCTTGTCCGCACCCTAGCACATGGCCCTCCGGGAAAACGCATTTTCCCACCCACGCGTGCCGCCATGGGAGAGCCTGGTGTATTTTGTTGCTGTTTGCCTGTTCCCCGCCGGAGCGGTGGCAATGGCAAAGCCGAAATTCCAATACGAGGCTTGAAAAGAGGCAATCTGCGAGACATGTGCTATCTGGGCTATTGAGAGATAGATAGCCTGTCCCTCCAAACCCCTAGCCTGCAGTCAGCCCTCGTGAAATCCTCTGCTGTCCGCTGCGGCGCTAGCCAGGGGCGGATTTCAGCGGAATGTTTGGCCTAACAGGCTGAAGGACGATCCCAACTGCTTTCCCCGTCTGCAGAGCTCGGCTGTGCCACAACCGGCACGCGGGCTCGGATTGCCAGGAAATCCTTTCCAGAAGCGACTCCGGGCCTAGACTTTGGGGGGGGGGGGAGAGCTCAAGCGGATCCTTTCGTTCTCTTCTTGTAGTGACACCCGGACCCATCGGCCCACATGATCCCAGGCATTTTGCAAGCGATGTGAGTCTAGGGTTGCCTTGGGTGAGGACGGAATCGCCTGGTTGGGTTGGAGAGAGTAGAAGAAGGGTTGAGTGCCGAAAAGTCGCGCATTTGCCCATTTTTTTGTTTTGTTTATTTGTTTGTTTGTTTCCTGCCCAATTTGGGAGCTGCCAGGAGTCGAGTCGCCTGATGCCACAATGCCTCCAGCTGCTCTGGCGGTTGGTCGACTGACCGATGATCCGCCACCTTCGCTAAAAAGCTGAAAAAGAACCGAGCATTAATCTCCTCCACAGCACGCTTGCCACATCTCAAGCAGCCCATGGCTGGGGCAGGTGGGCGGCAAGGTGAGGCCCGGTGAGCTGGTTTTCAGCCAGGGCCGACTCGACGATCTGAGATCAAGAATGGAGCGGCGCATCCCTAGCGCCAGCGGAACACCACCCGCCATTACCCTGCGTTGACAGTCCAAACTTTAGGCGTCTTGGCCCGAACTCCTTCCGCCGCTTCCGTTCTCTGGTTGATCTCACCGGAGCGACGGCTTTTGCCAGATACCCGGGCGCACGAGGGATGTTTATACTAATACGGTTTGTATGTAAATACTGCCCAGCCTCGTCACGGACGCGACGGGTTGAAGAACGGGTTATCCCGAGTGGTACAATATCTGCGAACGCATGATCCGTCTCGTCCCGTCTCGCATGGTCAGGCTTGAGCTCGCCATGGCGTTCGAAAAATAATAATAATAATAATAAAAAAAGGCTATTCCGTGAATGCTATTTGCCATATCCACGTATATTCTCATGCCTAGTATTAGCTTCACATTTCCTTTTGCTGCTACGAAACCACCTCGGAGCATTCAAGGCGTATCAAAAACGCCCCAAGTAATTTATACGCAGTGCAGAATGTAACCTGGAGAAGGCTCCTTCTCGCAACCCGCCCTTGAAAAGGAGGCCTTATCCCCTCGCTTTTTGCAGGCCAGGGATGTATATTGAACCTTGTGCTCGCAAAGGCCCATCGTGTGACACACGGCCATTGAGAACAGTACATCCACATCCACCTCGTTTGGCCTAAAAGGCGGGGTAACGGCGTGTTCTGTGTGCGTGCCATCGGCTAGAAGCGTATGTCTGCCGTCTGTTCTCGGGAACCAGCTCGGGGCAGCGATCGGGCCCGGGATATTGTGCGTGGGCTGAGGTCGCTGGAACGGGCAAGGCCATCGCTACCGGGGAAGTGGGAAATTAAACACTTGATCGCCTCGTCCACCACGCCTTGTCCACCTTGTCTTCCACGCGCCAACGTTCCATTTCACAAGATTCCCTGCTTGGAGGATTCGAAGCAAGGTGCCCATGCCCACCTACACCTTTGACCCGCGATTCTACCGACACGACTGTCGGTAGCCCAACGCTGGGGAGACAATTCTCATGCCCATGAAATCCATTTTAACTGTTGCCTTTCTGGGAAGGTCGAGTTCTTGGCCAATTAGCACACAGCTACCTAGGTGGACGAAGGACCAGACGAAGAATAACCACCAATATCCGTGCCCATCTATGCAGGAATCGCTATTTCCAGCTTCCACCCGCCTTTCCCGGGCTAAGTCAGGCTGGAGTGACAATGTCTGTGACTTTCCATCCTGATCGAGCCACTGCTCCACCTACGCCACGTCCGCGCCTGATTGTTTTTCTCATGACGCAAGAAGTTGGAGACCTGGCACCTTCCCCTCACAGCTTCCCCCCCTCTGGATGCGACTCAGTCTCCGCCCTTGCATGTCCAACCAAGGTCCGCGGCTCTCCCCCGACCAACAATCGGCCCGTGGCGGCAGTTGGGAGGCCTTCCGGACGCTGAGAACCCCTCACCGGCCCAGCAGTCTTGCTGCAAACGAGTCGCTCTCCGCCGCAGCCAAGGTTGCAGCACCGAATGGCGACTCTGTCAAGCAGACTGGAGAATATCCGATCACCTGTCCGATCTGCGGGGGAGAATATGGGGATTGCCTCACACCGGCACGCAGATGTCATCTCCGGCTCATGTTCGGCTCTCTTTTGCTGGAGATCCGAGAGGGGACGTCTTCGCTGGAGAGCCCGAATGGCCGAAGGGATGCCGGTCCGGTTCTAGGTCTGTCCTGGACGAATAACGAAGCAAAATAATAGCGTAAGCATGGTCCCAGTCAGTTCCGTCCTCGGAGCAACCGACGTCGAGTAGGTGTCTATATAAACATGAGCATGGATCTTCGTCCAGTTTGGCTGTCGTTGCTTCTTTTGCTGCACCACCAGTAGCCCAAGCCAGGCGTTGGTCCGTGGGGAGCTGCAGTCCAACCAGCAAACGCGGGAAGCGCGTCCAAATTCTCATCCGCAGCCTTGTTGCAATCTCAGCACACGGCCTCTTCAGCTTCGGGAAAGCATAGGTACCTGTCACCTACCTAGCCCGCAGGGCAACCCAGTACCATGAAGAGCCTCACAGCCGTCGCATTGCTGGCCCTGGCCTCGGGAGTCGTGGCTGAAAAGCCATCCGAAGTGCCATACTATGGCCGAAGTCCGCCGGTATACCCGACACGTATGTTCTTCTTTCGCCGCCTCCTTTCACACCGCACCCACCTCGGCGCGCGGCTACAGAGCCGAGGCAAGCTAACATGGAATCCACCGAGGCAGCCCCCGGCAATGGCAACTCAAGTCGCGCCTGGACCAACGCCTATCGGAAGGCGGTCACGCTGGTGTCCAAGATGACGCTCGAGGAAAAGGTCAACGTGACGCGCGGCTTCCCCGGCCAGTGCGTGGGCAACTCGGGCGCCGTCCCGCGCCTCGGCGTGGCCCCGATCTGCTTCGCCGACGGGCCGGCGGGCCTCCGCGGCCAGGAGTTCGTCTCGGCCTTCCCCGCAGGCATCCACCTGGCGGCCACGTTCGACGCCGAGCTCATGTACGACTACGGCCTGGCGCTGGGCCGTGAGTTCCGCGACAGGGGCGTTCACATGGCCCTCGGCCCGGTCTCGGGCCCGCTGGGGCGCATCGCTCGCGCGGGAAGGAACTGGGAGGGCCTCAGTAACGACCCTTACCTTGCCGGCGTCGGCATGGGCCAGGTGACGCGCGGGATGCAGGACTCGGGCGTGGTAGCAACGCCCAAGCACTGGCTGCTCAACGAGCAGGAGTTCCGCCGTCGCGAGTCGGCCCTTGGCGAGGCCGTCAGTTCCAACGTCGACGACAGGACCATTCACGAGCTCTACGTGTGGCCTTTCATGGACAGCCTGGCGCACGGAGCCGGGTCAGTCATGTGCTCTTACCAACGCGCAAACCATAGCTACGGCTGTCAGAACTCAAAGCTGCTCAACGGCATACTCAAGACGGAGCTCGGGTTCGAGGGCTTTGTCGTTTCGGACTGGGAAGCCCAAATGGGCGGAGTGGCTTCGGCCAATGCCGGGATGGACGTGGTGATGCCTCGCGGGGGATTCTGGGGCGACAACCTGACCGAGGCCGTCAAGAACGGATCTGTCTCCACGACCCGTCTGGACGACATGGCCACGAGGCTCTTTGCCGCAATGTACCACCTGGGCCAGGAGCACGACTACCCCCAGCCGGGCATCTGGAACAACAGGCAGAAGCACTTCCGCGTCGACGCGCAGCGCGACCACGCAAAGCTGATCCGCAAGATCGGAGCCGCCGGCACCGTCCTCGTCAAGAACGTTAACAAGACGCTGCCGCTGAAGGACCCCCGCTTCTTGGCCATCTACGGATACGACGCCACGGTCAAGGCCTCGCCGTGGGCCAACCGCGACAGGTACGGCGGCGGCTACGAGGTCAACTTTGGCTGGGAGACCTTCAACGGCACGCTCATCACGGCCGGCGGCTCGGGCGGCAACACGCCGCCGTACGTCGTGAGCCCCTTCCAGGCCATCCAGGAGCGCATCTCGGCCAGCGCGGGCGTGCTGCGGTGGGACTTTTACTCGGAGAGCCCCGCGAGCTACTACGACAACGCCGAGGCGTGCCTCGTCTTCATCAACTCGTACGCGAGCGAGAGCTTCGACCGCCTCGGCCTGGCCGACGGCCACAGCGACCGGCTGGTCAACAATATCGCCAACAACTGCGCCAGCACCATTGTGGTCGTGCACTCGGCCGGCATCCGCACCGTCGACGCCTGGGTCGACCACCCCAACGTCACGGCCGTCATCTTCGGCGGCCTGCCCGGCCAGGAGAGCGGCCACGCCCTGGCCGACGTGCTCTGGGGCGACGTCAACCCGGCCGGCCGCCTGCCCTACACCATCGCGCGCAGGGAGGAGGACTACGGCAAGCTGCTCAACTCGTCCATCAAGTTCGACTTCTTCCCCGACGACGACTTCGAGGAGGGCCTGTACATCGACTACCGCGCCTTCGACCGCGACGGCATCGAGCCGCGCTTCGCCTTCGGCTTCGGCCTGTCCTATACCGACTTCGCCTACAACGGGCTCAAGACAGCCGTGGTCCCGACGCCCGAGGGCGCCGTCCCGGCCGAGCTCCCGGACCCGGCCGTGCGCGTCGTGCAGGGCGGCCACCCGGAGCTCTGGGACACGGTGGCCACGGTGCGGGCCACGGTCCGCAACTCGGGCGGCGTCGAGGGCATCGAGACGGCCCAGCTGTACGTCGGCGTGCCCGGCGGCGACTCGCCCGCGCGCCAGCTCCGCGGCATCAGGAGGGTCGGGCCGCTGTCGCCCGGCGAGGCGAGGCCCATAACCTTTGAGCTCACGCGCCGCGACCTGAGCGTGTGGGACGTCGTGGCCCAGCAGTGGCGCGTGCGGCGCGGCGAGTACAAGATCTACGTCGGCGCCAGCAGCCGTGACCTGAGGCTGAACGGGACGCTGGTGATATAGGACATCTGTCGAGGATAAAACTTGTTCTGCCGTGAGGGTGATCACCATCGGCATTTTTAGCGATAGATTTTTGGCAATCTAATACAAAATTCTGGATTTGACCTTGAAGAACGCTTGATTACTAGTGATTGGAGAGGTTTTAGAGCGCTATGTTGTTCGCGTTGTATCTTCATCAGCACGCTACGACTGATCACTTCGCTCACTTATGGATACGTTGTCCAGAGACGTTACCAGCGCCTTTGGTGGTTCATCTCAAACCCAAGTATTTCACATCTCGCGTTTGTGGACTGGATATCGCAATAAATAACGTGGTTCGAAGGAAATCATCGCATTATATGGACGAATAAGCATGATCTCATCTTGTTCAAGGCCAGATGATTTCCCTCATTTCTATTTCTTCAGATGTTGTTTGGTGATCAGCAAAAAAAATTGACCTCGACATGGGTAGAACATGTATTCCTTTAGCAACGCACCCCGCAGCCTTGGTTCCCATTGATTCTGGCCAACACGTCGAGTCCATCTTTTATGTTCCTCCAATTGCCGTCTAGACGACTCGTCTATCGGCGATTCAGCGCCAAGATGGCTGGGAGATTCCTAGAAAGGCAATGCCGACCCGCCTGGGCGCCCGCTTACCCCACTGAAGCCATAGCGCTTGGCGGAAATCTTGGCTACGATCCGCAAAAGCTTGATACATGCGGCAGCAGATGGTTGCGAGCCGCAACGAATGCCACGCGAGTATTTGATAGCATGGAGTCGGTGGTCTGCGTCGCCTCATCTTCTCTTAACACATTTCCGTCTCTCTTCCAGATTCGGGGAATTTTTTTCAAACAGGGTGATAAAGATAACCCTTTGGACGAACACATACAGTCGAGAGATGGATCCGCAGTTCCCATTCCGTAACACTTTCTGCGCTTGTTGTCAATCGCCGCACGCAAATGGGGGTGGTGCTGACTTGGCCGGTGGAAGCCAGTAGCCGCAGATCTTTTGTGGGCAGGCAGGAAGGGCCGAATAGGCGACCTCGCACCTCGGGCACATCATATCCTGGCTGCCATGTACCCTTAACTCCCTACTACTCTCCTCCAACACGTTCCCGCCGTCCTCAGCTACGGACAGCATGCAGAATGACGCACAGCGTGAGACGGGGTGTCGTTGGATTTCACACCTTTGGGCACTCTGGCGGCAGCGGTGACGAGAGCCCGCCGAATCCATTCCAATGAAGAGATATATCCCAAGTCTGATTAGGAACAAATGCGTTCGAGTCGTACAAAAATGTCCACCCACCCCGAGCCCTCCTCCCCACGAGTCTCGTGCCGGCTCTTCTGGGGACATCCATGTCGCACCCGACCAATCCCGTCGCGCTGGGTTGCATGTCCGGGGGCACATTGCGTGGGGATGGATGGGCGCTTGCGTTGATACCAGCATTCCCGCCGTCCTCAGCTACGGACATCATGCAGCCCAAGGTCGCGCTGCCACACTCGACATACATACGGGGCTCCATCCCGGTTACGTCCCATCCACACTTACCGCTCGGGGGAATGATGGTGGTATGAAGAGCAAGGACAAGGACTGGAAGCGTGCGGACGTACATATATAATGACCAGAGCAGTGCACGCCCTGCCGTAACGGCTTCCCGTCCCACTCACACGTCCCTTTGCCTCAATCTACCAACAACAGCTAGCTAAGCACAATGGCGGGCGGACCTAAAAAGCCGGTCAACGTCTTCAAGCTGAAGAACCTCGGCCTCCCCTCCGAGGTGTTCAACTGGAGGCTTTGGTTTGCCGTCTTCTCCTTTGGACTCCTAGGCGCCGCCCGGGGCGTGGAACAGCAAGGACTTCCAAAAGACCATCAACTACGATTCGTACAGCCTCAACGACCGCGCCCAGATCAAAGGAAATGTCTCGGCTATGGTTCAGATTGGCTCCGTGGCTGGTGCTTTGTTGTGAGTATAGTCCAATTCACATCCGAGAAGGCCATTGGAATCTCCCTACTCTTCGACTTCCCATCTTCTAACGAATATACTTTTCTGCAGCGCGTTCGTCATTTGCGATAGAATTGGTCGCATATGGGCTGTGAGACAACTATGTCTTGTTTGGATCCTGGGCATCGCCCTCTTTCTCGGCGCGAACGGCAATCTGGGCATGATGTATGCTGGCCGATTTATTGCCGGCATGGGGGTTGGAGTGAGTTTTGCCTTTTGCCACAAAGCACCCCCTTTCCGTTTATCTTCTCTCAGATCACTAAACCTTTGCGATTACTTTATCTAGCAAACCCCAGTGGTAGGCCCCGTTTTCCTGGCCGAGATATCTCCTGCGCCCATCCGGGGACTGTGCACATGCATCTTTACAGGCTTTGTCTATCTGGGCATAGTGCTCGCCTACTTTGCAAACTACGGCTGCCAGGTCAACTTGGGCGACAGCACTCACGCCCGCTGGATGGTGCCGACAAGTCTTCACATCATGTTCGCCTCCCTCATCTTCGCGCTCAGCTTCCTGCAGTACGAGTCGCCGAGGTTCTTGGTGAAGCAGGGGAAGTACGACGAAGCATTGGCGGTCATGTCCCGTCTCCGTGGCCTCCCCGAAGACCATCCCTTCGTTCGAGAAGAGGTCACAGGAATCGAAGTGAGTGGGGGAACATCTGCCCGAACTCTGTTATGCATAACCAACTGGAGCTTGGGGGAGGGGGCATTTGCTGACAGCTGCTCTAGATGGCGCATCACGAGGAGATGGAGGCGACCAAAGGCACCGGCTTTTTGGGGATGCTTAAGGAGATGTTCACCATCCCGAGCAACCTGTATAGGGTCGGGCTCGCCGTCAGCGCCCAGCTGCTCAGCCAGTGGTCCGGGGCCGGCTCGGTCACGATTTACGCCCAGGACCTGTTTTCGATCCTAGGCGTCACTGGGGACAACGAGAGCCTGCTGATCACCGCCGTTTTCGGCATCGTAAAGCTGACGGCGGCGATCATCTGCGCCCTGTTCCTCGTCGACGTCATCGGCCGGAAGCGCTCGCTCCTGATTGGCATCAGCCTTCAGGCGCTGTCGATGCTATACGTCGCCGGCTTTTTGACTGCCGTTCCCCAGCTAGGCATAATCCCCAAATACAAGCTCAGCGAGGCCCAGATCGGGCCGTCGCGCGGGGCCATTGCCATGATCTGTGAGTCTGCTACAGCCTTTGGCTATTCCGTGTTGCTCTCTGGAAGCGGATGAGCCAGGGCTACTGTTTGATATAGAAACCTTTCTCGATTCTACAGAGCAAAAAGCTAACCCCCAACCCTACAGATGTTTCGGGCTTCGGTTGGGCCCTTGGATGGAACTCGATGCAGTACCTGCTCACTGCCGAGCTCTTCCCCCTTCGTATCAGGGCTCTCGCGACGTCACTGGCAATGACCGTTCACTTCCTGAACCAGTATGGCAATGCGCGGGCTGTGCCGGTGATGCTGCTCGACACCACGGCCGGCGGAATCAGCCCCAAGGGTACATTCTGGTGCTTCGCCGCCGTTACCATCCTCGGTGGCGCCTGGGTGTGGTTTTTCGTCCCCGAGACGGCTGGCCGCAGCCTCGAGAGCATGGACAGACTGTTCAGTCTGCCGTGGTACAAGATCGGACGGTACGGAAATGAGGATGCGGAACAGCTCGATGAGGCACACGAGACCAAGATACAACAGGCGGGAGCCGGTGAGGCCGCCCACGTAGAAAAGAAGTCGGTCGAGGTGGCTTGAGGAGATGTCGGGGGTGTGGTGAGCTGTTGGTAGTACATACCGACGAGAGAAAGCTGAGAGACACTGGTGTAAACTATTAAAGCATGAGCTGGATGCGTTTACTGCCAGTATTTGTGTCTAATCTAGGGTATCATAAAGCTGGATGAGTTACAGTGACCTGTGGCTATGAGTTCTTTTTGATCTCCACCTGGAACTTGAGAGCCCAGTCTGTGAACTCGTCCTTTTCCGCCCCTGTCCATGGCTTCAGAAGCTTCTCTGATATGGCGAAGGCCTCAAGAAAGCGCTCATCCATGTGCTTGTCGATATCCGCTGGCGATAACTCGTAAAAAGCTGCGGCAACATCGTTAAAGCCGTCGGGGACGTTTTTCAGCATTAAGAGCACCTCGTCGATCCTGGGACAGGCGGCACTGGCTGCAGGCGTAGGGAGCTTAGGGAGCGTTTTCAATCGCCTCTTGATGACAGCTTGGTACAGTATTGTGGTTAGACGAATCCGTCTCAGACATGAGTCCAGTCGTGGCCTAATGCTGTCTGGGTCGTCTGCAGGGATATGCCGTTGCGAGTTCATCATGTCGTCCAGCATGGCCTGTGTGGAGATGACGTTCTGAGCAGGGCCGTCGGCATCGCCGTAGTCCAGAGCGATATCATCCTCGTCATCGTCATCCGTCTCCTCACTCCACTCCTTCAGCTCTTCCATGACGTCCTTGAGAGTGTCGCGGTACTGCTCAACCTTCTTCGATAAGTGCGCAACAATGCCTCCCTTTGCCATGCTGGTCAAGTCGTCGCAGGCATTCCATAGGAGACCCGTGATGGCGAGACTGCCCTTGTCACCCCCCAGCTCCTGACTGCCGTTTTTCTGGATATCGGAGAGGATCTTCCCATCTGAGGGTATCTTGAGGAGGAGGACTCTGAGCTCTTTCAGTACCCGCCCGCAGCGCCAGGCCAGGTCTTTGCGGAACGTAGCTGTGTAGCGGCTTGGGGCACAGAGCTGGGCGGCCATGACGATGGATGGGAGCGCCTCCTTAAGAAGCTCTTTGAGAACCTTTGCGATGGCTGTGGGGGTGAAGGGCTCGTTGATGATGAACAAAGAGATCTTGGTAGCATGTGCTCGGATCAACTCTGCTGAGTCTTTTGCGAGCTCGAGCGCGTTCAGTTCCGGCTTGTCCTGCTCGGCCTGCTGTTCCTTCGTCTCTTGGCCTGAGGTGATCCTAGAGATCTCAGTTTCTCCGTAGTTGATGATAGAGATCACCGTCGGGACCAGACCCGTGAGGGGATCCGGCTCTGTTGTTTGAGTCGCCATTTTGATATCCCTGGACTTGCGTGTGGTTGCTGATATGCTTTGCGCTGTAGCGCCGCCCGGGTGTCCTTGAAAGAAGCTCACTCAGGCCGATTTGAGGGCAGAAAGACGCAAGTACAAGAGTATGAGATACTTGCTACTTGCAAGAAGAATACTACTAGGGCAAAACACACGACTAGGTAGGTACCTAGGTCGATGTTTCCCCGGAAGAGTCCAGCCCTGCTGTTGAGATACAGTGAGCCCTGCTTGCTTTGATGGCGGGGCTCTGAGCCGTTGGTGAAAATTTTGGCGGGGTCAGGGATGACGCACGGTAGCAGCGATCGCGACTCGCGACGCGCTAATGCCGGATTGGGACCAGTGCAGAAAAGATACAAGCACAGTCCTAATTGGCGCCAAGCAATATTCTGCCGCAGCGGACAGCTGGCAATTGACCCCGGCCAGCCTGTTTTGAGACAAGACGAGAGCTCCAGTGGGGGCTCGGCTCCTGCTTTCCTCTTATTAGGACCGCCTCTCGTTGACTTGTCCACACTTTTACTGCTTTCCTGGGGGGAGTTCAAGCCGAGCAGTGCTCGCCTCTCGATCCAGAACACGCACAACCAGCTGGATTTCTGTTTTCCCAGCAATGCGGCACCAATCGTCTGTGGTGCTCTTGGGCACCGTTGCTGGCATAAGCTTAGCTGGCGCCTCGGGCGTGCCCAGAGGTGTCGGCCCTGACTGTAGGCCCAGCTCCGTTCTGCATCCACACGTCGTCTCTGTGCTTCCCCTTGTCGAGGCGGCTGCTTGATGGAGGCTTACGCATTTCTTGTTCTGTGGTTTAGTTGTTCGGTTTTACGAGCCAAAAGACAGGTTCACCTGCATCAACCACCCGACGGTTGTGCTGAAGCCCTCCCAAGTCAACGACAATTCGTGTGACTGCCCGGATGGCAGCGACGAGCCCGGGACCGCTGCCTGCGCCTATCTCGACAGCCTCTCGCCCCCTCAGCCGCTGGAGGGCTCGTTGAGTGGCACGACAAACACGGCCAACGCCCTGCCCGGGTTCTGGTGCGAGAACAAGGGCCACGAGGGCACCTACGTCCCCTTCTCGTTTGTCAACGACGGTGTCTGCGATTACGAGCTATGCTGCGATGGCTCCGAGGAGTACGGCGGTGTCGGCGGAATCAAGTGCGCCAACAAGTGCGATGCCATTGGCAAGGAGCACCGCCGCATCCAAGAAGAGCGTAGGCTCAGTCAAGAGAAGGCCATGAAGAGGCGCCGCACTCTGGTAAAGGAGGCTAAGGAGCTCCGACGCCAGGTTGAGGCGAGGATCACCAAACTAGAATCCGAGATCGCGGGCCTGGAGACCAAGGAGAAGGATCTGCGTACCAAGTTCGAGGAGGTCGAGAGGTCCGAAAAGGGCAAGATTGTAAAGCGTGAGGGGGGCAAGGGAGGCAGGCTCAGCGTGCTCCTTGGTATGGCCAAGTCGCGCGTGGCTGAGCTTCGCAACACACTGGACAAGGTCCTCGAGCAGCGCGACGACCTCCACGGCAAGGTTGAGGAGCTGGAGGGCATTCTCGCGGTCCTCAAGGAGAAATGGAACCCCAACTTCAACGACGAGGGTGCCAAGGCTGCCGTCAGGGCTTGGGAAGACTACGAAGCTAAGCACAGGGAGGAGAAGCCTACCGACCTCACCGAAGACGAGATCACGCAGATCTTCAAGGAGGACAGTTCCGAGTCTGGCATAGACTGGAAGCAGTTCGAAGAGGAGGAGATAACCGACACTGATATCCGTAAGTCAAATCGAGGGGTACATGATCTCGGATCCTTGCTGACTGTTCAACACCCTGTAAAGTTTACAGCTTCGAGGCCTACCTGCCGGATTTCATGAAGGAGTTTCTCCACAGCAAGCTCCTGGGCCTGCGCGTGTGGATGATCGAGAACGGCCTCCTTGCCGACAACCCCAACCAGGGCGAGTCTCATATCATCAAGGCGGCTCGGGAGGCTCTCGACGCCGTCAGCAATGACATCAGCAACAAGCGTAACAGTCTCTCCACCGAGCAGACCGAGATCGCCAAGGACTTTGGGACCGATGACGTCTTCCGTGCCCTCAAGGACAAGTGCGTCAGCGTCGAGTCGGGCGAGTACGAGTACGAACTCTGCTGGATGGACAAGACAACCCAGAAGTCCAAGAAAGGTCACGGAAACACTAGCATGGGCAACTTCGACAAGCTCGACTTTGGTGATGCCGACGAGGAGGAGCGGGCCGACGGCAAGGGCCTCGGCCGCGGCCGGCGTGTGGTTCTCCGGTACGAGAACGGGCAGCACTGCTGGAATGGGCCGAGCAGGAGGACGGATGTTTGGCTGGCCTGTGCTGAGAAGGATGAGCTCTGGCGCGTTAGCGAGGCGGAGAAGTGTGTCTACAGGATGGAGGTCGGCACCCCTGCAGTCTGCGAGGACAGCAAGGCGGCGCCTGGCGACGGTGCTCGCGCGAAGGATGAGTTATAAGCGGATGGATCGAGCAAGCGCAGTTTCGAGACTGAGATGGAACGAGCGGGCGGGTTGCTCGATCTTTATCCCACACATGACACTTCACCTGCTCCAGTCCAGTACATTCCTCATTAGACAATTTTGTTTTAGCGTGGCAGTAAAATGCGGTTGATTACGTGTCTCAGGGGTATCATAACATCTATCATCAACAAACAGAGCAGAGCAGCGATTGCAAGGGCTTGCGGATCATCTTGCGGCGGCGGCAAGCCTTCTCCTTTTACTCCTCTCCTCCTGCTCTGCCAGGACCCTTGCTGTCAAGGAGGCCGTCATTGGGTTGTTGATGTTCCCGGACTTGGATGCCTCCTTTTTGGCATTGTCTTTGGCCTTTTTCTTTTTGTCGTCCTTGTCGTCATCGGCCTTGCGCTTCTTTTTCCCGTTGCTTTTGTCCTTCTTGAGATTATGAGAAAGACCTTTCTCTTTTAGGTCGGCTATGCGCTGTCTTAGCCTCTCCAGCTCGTCGGTCTCCCTGGGCAGTATGGGGATGATGTTCTCGGGCTCGAAGGACTCGCTGCACTCGGGACACGCTGAGTCTGAGACCTCCTTCATGGCCACATCCGCAAAAACGTGTCCGCAAGGGACCAGGTAAACCGCCTTGGTGGCGGGGCCGAACTCCTTGAGCGAGAGGGGGCACCGCCAGATGGCGGCCGCCTTGGGGTCGGGCGAGAACTTTTGGAACTTGAGCCGGGCGACGTCGCGCAGCGACGCGATGCCCGTCGCGGCGAACTTGTCGTCCCGCTCCGCCGCGACCGCGGAGCAGTCGTCGGACGGCACCAGGCCCTGGAGGACCGATTCGTAGCTGTAGAGATGGCCGCGCCAGTCGCTCACGACGTTGTCCATGTCGAGCTTCTCGTCGCTGATGGCGCAGTGCGCCCAGGCGTGGCCGAGCGACTCGAAGGCCGTCGCCTTGAGCTCCGAGGTGGTGGGCAGGCGGGCCGATTCCTTGACCAGCTCGCGCCGCTTCGGGATGGAGCCGCCGTCGTTTCCCATGGCGTTTAGCAGAATTTGGTAGTGAAACGGCTATTGCTTTTGGAGGCGATCGTGGAGAGTGTTCCGAATTGCTGATCCGAGAAATTTTCTGTCGATGCGCGGGTAGCAGCATGCGTTTGATGTTGGGTTTGGCGATGATGGATGATGGCGGAGATGACAGCGGAAAGGCCCGCTGCAGCGGACGGTGCAGACTGTGCGAATCGGTACTGTACCCCAGCAAATACCTTGGTAACGACCAACAGCCTGGACCCTTTTGCCCATTCCAGTACTCCATGGCATCATATTTCCTCTACTTGAGATACTCTACACCTAGTACAGACAGCAAATGTTGTTTCCGTCTACAAAGCCTCCTTGACAGAAGCGAATCAACAGCGCAGACTGCGGCCAAAGATACGTTGGTACCTCTGGGAATGGAGTGGGTCTGCCGCACGCCTGACCCACATATCATCCTAATGGGTGTCTCTGGCTTTGGAGCAGGCCCCACACAAGGGGGCGGAAGGTCCCCGGTTCTGAGGCGCGTGAACCCAAACCGAATCTCTGAAGCTCCCGCTCTTGTCGTCAGGACGCCCATGTCCATTTGATATCCTCGTCATCCACCCCCGGCCGGGTCTCCTCGAGCAGCTGCTCTCGCATCACCCCGCTGGCTTCCATCGTGGATGCTGTGAAGGAGTCTAGCCTGGGCCCCGCATCCTGTCACACCGCGCTTGCGCCGCCAGCCACCGTTTGAGCCGTCCTTCTATGCGACTCGAATAGGCTCGTGTCCCTCGATCAGTAGCTTCAGCCCCGCGACGCCTCCCGCCATAGGGTCCCAACACTTCGCAAGCGCCCTGCCTTCCGGCTCCCTTGGCCACCTCCCATCCGCGGCGACCTGCTGCAAATGGTGCGGCCTGACTGCTTCATGTCGCGGTGATCGTCGCGCCCGGAACGGAGAGACCAGACACCATGGCCGCCCCGAACCCCAGCGCGACCGCCGCGCTGGCGGAGATCATCCAGGACCTCCGGTCAAAGTGCGCCCGCCCTCCCAGCTGCTCCCGCCCCGCTTGGCATGTGCCCTGCCGTAGGCAGTTTTGATGGTGCCGTGAGAATGCGCGCGAGGCTGACCGACGTTTGGATCTATGCAGAACCATTAGCGAGGATGGTCGACGGCGGGCGTCGCTCCAGCTTAAGGACCTGGTGTCGCTTGTTCAACGAGGTGTGTATATGGCGTCCCTTGGTGCTTCTGGTCTTTTGCCTTCCTTGATGCAGGCGTGGTACCTGTCCTATACGTCTTTCTCTAGTTCCTTGCTTATACCCATCACCTTTTCTAGACTCCTCTCCGGAACAGTTCCAAGTTTTTTGGAGCACCGTTCTCAGCAAGATCGCCGAGCTTTTCCAGAAGCACGACGGCGGTGCCAGTACGACTGCGGACCGCCTGGGTGGCATCTATGCCTTCGATGTCTTTGTCGACTTCGATGGCGTCGACTACTCGGCCAAGTTTGCGAGATTCTCCGTCGCCCTATCCAAGATCATGCAGGGCAAGGACGTCAACTGCATGCAACAGGCCGCCGTCGTTATCGGAAAGCTATGTCGACCTGGCGGTGCCATGGTCAGCGAGTTCGTCCAGTTCCTCACAAACTTCGCCATCGAGTGCCTCCAGACCCCGCGATTGGAGGAGTCGAGATATAGTGCCGCTCTCGTTCTTCGCGAGCTCTGCAAAAGTGCCCCGACGCTCATGTACAGCCATGTTGCCGAGGTGCTTGATTGGATCTGGGTTGGCCTGCGGGATAACCGCCTTCTGATCCGGGCCACGTCGGCCGAGGCCGTCAGCGCCGCATTCCGCATCATCCGCGAGCGAGACCAGGAGATGAAACAGGCATATATGCTCAAAATGTATCAGCAAGCTATCCACGGCCTCAAGATAAACACAGTCGAGGCAATCCACGGATCGCTGCTCGTACTGAAGGAGCTTCTCGAGCAGGGCGGCATGTTTATGCAGACATACTATCCCGAAGCTTGCGATATCGTCTTCAAGTACAAGGACCACAAGGAGGCTGTCATTCGAAAGACAGTGGTTATACTGATCCCAGACCTGGCCCATTATGCGCCGACCGAGTTTGGGCAGCAGTACCTCCACCAGTTCATGGTCTACCTCTCAGGAATGCTTAAAAGGGACAAGGAGAGGAACGAGGCGTTTGTGGCCATCGGGAACATTGCCAATGCGGTCAAGAGCCAAATGGCAGGCTACCTCGAGGGGATCCTCCTTTATGTCCGTGAAGGCTTAAGTCCGGCAGCTCGGAAGCGTGGTGTCCCTGTCGATCCCGTGTTCGACTGCCTCAGCCGGCTTGCTGTCGCCGTTGGGCAGACACTGAGCAAGTACATGGGCGGACTCATGGACTCGATATTCGAATGCGACATCAACCCCAAGCTGACCCAGGCCCTCGTCGACCTGGCCTTCTACATACCCCCGCTTCGTCCCACCATCCAGGAGAGGCTGCTCGATATGATCAGCAAAGTTCTGTGCGGCGAGCCGTTCAAGCCGCTCGGCGCCCCCCAGCCGAATACCCTCACCTCGGTCCCCATCATCCCCAAGGACCCCAAGGACCCCCAAGCACATGACAACCGCAAGCAGGAGATCAAATTGGCGCTCAACACCCTGGGTAGCTTTGATTTCACAGGTCATGTGCTCAACGAGTTTGTCCGCGACGTTGCTATAAAGTATGTTGAGGATGATGACTCGGAAATCCGCCAGGCCGCAGCCCTTACATGCTGCCAGCTCTACGTCGTCGATCCAATCGTCAACCAGGTTAGCTACCATGCTCTGCAGGTCGTCGGCGATGTGCTCGACAAGCTCTTGACCGTCGGGGTCTCGGATCCGGACCCCAACATCCGCAAGGTCGTGCTGGCCGCCTTGGATGATCGCTTCGATCGGCATCTGGCCAAGGCCGAGAACATCCGCACTCTCTTCTTCGCCCTCAACGACGAGCACTTCCCCATCAGGGAGGTGGCCATCGAGATCATTGGGCGTCTCACCCACCACAACCCGGCATATGTCGTTCCCTCGCTTCGCAAGACTCTGATCCAGATGTTGACAGAGCTGGAATTCTCCGACGTGGCGAGGAACAAGGAGGAGAGCGCGAAGCTCCTGAGCCTGCTCGTTCGGAACGCCCAGAGCCTCATCCGACCCTATGTGGAGCCAATGGTCACCGTTCTTCTCCCTAAAGCCAACGACCCGATCCCGTCGGTGGCTGCGACCATCTTGGAGGCCATCGGGGAGCTTTGCACCGTGGGCGGCGAGGAGATGCTCAAGTATAAGGACAAGCTGATGCCCTTGATCATCGAGGCGTTGCAGGACCAGTCATCCACTATCAAGCGTGAAGCAGCCCTCCATACGCTTGGGCAGCTCGCCAGCAACTCTGGCTACGTGATAGCGCCTTACATCGAATTCCCACAGTTGCTGGACCTGCTTCAGAGCATAATCCGCGGCGAGCCACATCACACCCGGCTGCGTCAGGAGACTATCAAGCTCCTTGGCATTTTGGGTGCCCTCGATCCGTACAAGCACCAGCAGGTCCAGGAGAAGACTCCAGATGTCAACGTTCGTGTCGAGTCCACCCAGATGACCGACGTCTCCCTGATGATGACGGGCTTGACCCCCTCAAATAAGGAGTACTACCCTACAGTGGTGATCAATGCGTTGCTGGGCATTCTCAAGGATCATTCCCTGGTCCAATATCATCAACCCGTCATCGAGGCAATCATGAGCATATTCAGGACCCTCGGTCTTGAATGTGTGTCCTTTCTGGACCGCATCATACCAGCTTTCCTGCAGGTGATCCGAAGCTCGTCGCCCACCAAGGTCGAGGGCTACTTCGCACAGCTGGGACACCTCGTCGGCATCGTCCGCCAGCACATTAGGAACTACCTGCCGGACATCATCGACCTTGTTCAGGAATACTGGTCCCAACAGTCCCTCCAGTCAACGATACTGTCGTTGATCGAGGCCATTTCAAAGTCGCTCGAGGGAGAGTTCAAGATATACCTCGCAGGCCTATTGCCCCTGATGTTGGGTGTGCTCCAAAAGGACAGCAGCGCAAAACGCACCCAGTCCGAGAAGGTGCTCCACGCGTTCCTCGTGTTTGGCACAAGCGCGGAGGAGTATATGCACCTCATCATCCCCGTTGTCGTTCGGACTTTTGAGAAACAGGGGCAGCCGATATTCCTGCGGCGGGCAGCGATCGAGACTATCGGCAAAATCTCGAAGCAGGTCAACCTCAACGACTACGCGGCCAAGATCATCCACCCCCTCACTAGGGTGCTTGCGACCGGCGAACTCCAGCTCAAGCAGGCCGCGGTCGACACCCTCTGCGCGCTGATAATGCAGCTAGGGAGAGATTTCCTTCACTTCGCCTCGACTGTTAACAAGGCAATCGCTGGCGTCCCGATCAATCACTCTGCTTACGACATGCTGCTCGGCAAACTCCAGGCCGGCGAGACATTGCCGCCTCCAGGGTCGGACAGCAGACCGGCCGCCGACGACTTGTCCTTCGCTGATCAGGCCACCAAGAAACTGGAGATGAATGCCGTGCACCTCAAGGCTGCGTGGGATACTAAGGGCAAGTCTACCAAAGAGGATTGGCAAGAGTGGCTACGGCGGTTCAGCACGACACTACTTGCCGAGTCACCGAACCACGCCCTGCGGTCCTGCTCAGCGCTGGCCAACCAGTACCCACCGCTTGCGCGTGAACTGTTCAACTCGGCCTTCGTCTCATGCTGGAGCGAGCTCTATGAGCAATACCAGGAGGAGCTGATTTACAACATCGAGAACTCCATCAAGTCGGAGAATGTGCCCCCGGACCTGCTTGGCCTGCTGCTGAATCTGGCAGAGTTCATGGAGCATGACGACAAAGCGCTGCCCATAGACATCCGCGTGCTGGGTAGAGAGGCCGCTCGCTGCCACGCTTACGCGAAGGCCCTTCACTACAAGGAGCTGGAATTCCTGCAAGACCAGAGCAGCGGCGCCGTCGAGGCCTTGATTGTCATCAACAACCAGCTTCAGCAATCCGACGCTGCCATTGGCATTCTGCGCAAAGCACAGAACTACAAAGACGGAATTCACCTCAAAGAGACGTGGTTTGAGAAGCTCGAGCGCTGGGAGGAGGCCCTGGCCTTCTACACAAAGAGGGAGAAGGAGATCCCGCAGGGCCAAGTGACACCTGTGGAGATCTTCATGGGCAAGATGCGATGCCTGCACGCTCTCGGCGAATGGGACTCTCTCGCCCAACTGGCAGGCACAGCGTGGTCCAACTCCTCATCCGAGCTCCAGCGGCGTATTGCGCCGCTCGCCACCACGGCCGCCTGGGGTCTGGGCAAGTGGGACTCGATGGACGGCTACCTGCAGACAATGAAGCGGAACTCTCCAGACCGATCGTTCTTCGGCGCTATTCTCGCCCTACATCGTAACCAATTTGGAGAAGCCGCTCGCTGCATCGAACAGGCGCGCGAAGGCCTCGACACGGAACTCAGCGCGCTTGTGAGCGAGTCCTACACTCGCGCATACACTGTTATCGTGCGAGTGCAGATGCTGGCTGAGCTAGAGGAGCTCATCACATACAAGCAGTGTGATGCCAAGAAGCAGGCCACTATGAGGAGCACATGGGAGGCCAGGCTGAAGGGCTGCCAGCGCAACGTCGAGGTGTGGCAGCGCATGCTCCGTCTCCGATCGCTGGTCATACAGCCCATGGAAAATATGCACATGTGGATCAAGTTTGCCAACCTCTGCCGCAAATCCGGGCGCATGGGGCTGGCAGAGAAGTCGCTGAAGCAACTCATCGGCGTCGACGCCTCGCTTGAACGCACCATACCTGGCTGGACAGGCGGCATGGACGAGCGCGGCCAGAACGGGGACGGACGCCACTTTGAAGCTCCTCCAGTACCGATCGGTACTCCCCCGCAGGTCACGTACGCTGTCCTCAAGTTCCAGTGGGATCTCGGCCACCAGCCTCAGAACAGGGCCACTGGTGTGGCCGAGAAGGCGCTTGAATGCCTGCGCGACTTTGCGATGGACAACGCAGCCCGCATCGATGTCACCAGGCAGCAGCTCCAGGCGCGCCCGCCGAACAACATGGAGCTGCATAACGGTCACATCCATGGGCATGGGCAGTTCGCGCCGTTCCCCGAAACCATTGATCTTGCCCCCGATGCCCAGCGCGTGATGAAGGAGGACGCAATCCTGCTCGCCAAGTGCTTCTTGAGGCAGGGTGAGTGGATGAAGACCTTGAACAAGGACGACTGGCAGTACACGCAGGTCGACGAGATCATTCACAGCTACTACCAGGCAACTAGATACAACCCCGACTGGTACAAGGCGTGGCACGCCTGGGCTCTTGCCAACTTTGAGGTCGTCCAGGCGCTTACTAACAAGAACGCCAGCGAGGGCGTTCAAGGTCAAGCCTCCCAGGTGGACCAAAAGATCATCGAGCACGTCGTCCCGGCGGTGAAGGGATTCTTCAAGTCGATCGCGCTGTCGCAAGGAAGCGCGCTCCAGGACACGCTGCGACTTCTCACACTGTGGCTCGCACACGGCAGCAGCCCCGAGGTCAACGCTGCCGTCACCGAGGGGTCTACCAAGGTCAATGTGGATACGTGGCTGGAGGTGATCCCGCAGCTGATTGCGCGCATCAATCAGTCCAACAAGCGGGTGCAGTTGTCTGTGCAGAACCTGCTTGCGGACGTGGGCCGGGCGCACCCACAGGCGCTCGTTTACCCCCTGACAGTTGCGACGGAGAAGTCGGAGCACTCCAAGAAGTCGGTGGCGGCAAGCGTCATCATGGACAACATGAGGCAACATAGCCTCAAGCTTGTCGACGAGGCGGCTGTAGTCAGCCGAGAGTTGATTCGCGTGGCCATCCTATGGCACGAAATGTGGCACGAGGGGCTGGAGGAAGCCTCACGCCTCTATTTTGGCGATAGAGACATCGAGGGCATGTTCAAGGCACTGGCTCCGCTGCACGAGGCCCTAGACAACGGGCCGGAAACGCTGCGGGAGATTTCGTTTGCGCAGGCCTTTGGGCGAGACCTCACCGAAGCTCGCGAGTGGTGTAGGCAGTACCAGCACAGTCGGGATACCAACGACCTCAACCTCGCTTGGGATCTCTACTACCAAGTCTTCCGACGCATCTATAGGCAAGTGCCTCAGATGACTTCGTTGGAGCTTGCTTACTGCTCGCCCAAGCTTCTCCACGCTACAAACCTGGACCTATGCGTCCCGGGTACCTACAAGAGTGGTACCCCCATCATCAGTATTGCCTCGTTCGACCCGACGGTCGCTGTCATCAATTCGAAGCAGCGGCCGCGCAAGCTCAACATCAACGGGAGCGACGGCATTCCATACACGTTCCTGCTGAAGGGCCACGAGGACATTCGGCAGGACGAGCGGGTCATGCAGCTGTTCGGCCTATGCAACACACTGCTGGCCAACGACTCGGAGTCTTACAAGCGACACCTCAACATCCAGAGCTACCCAGCCATCCCCCTGTCGCACAACTCTGGTCTCCTGGGCTGGGTCCCCAACAGCGACACGCTCCACACGCTGATCAGGGAATACCGAGACAGCCGCAAGATCCTTCTCAACATTGAGCACCGCATCATGCTCCAGATGGCGCCAGACTATGACAACCTGACTCTTATGCAGAAGGTGGAGGTGTTTGGATATGCGCTTGACAACACCACGGGCCAAGATCTGTACCGCGTTCTGTGGCTGAAGAGCAAGAGCTCCGAGGCCTGGCTGGAGCGGCGCACAAACTACACGCGATCCCTTGGAGTCATGTCCATGGTCGGGTACATCCTCGGCCTGGGCGATCGGCATCCGTCGAACCTGATGCTGGACCGCGTGACGGGCAAGATAGTGCACATCGACTTTGGCGACTGCTTCGAGGTGGCCATGAAGCGCGACAAGTATCCGGAGCGCGTGCCCTTCCGGCTGACTCGCATGCTCACGTACGCCATGGAGGTCAGCAACATCGAGGGAAGCTTCAGGATTACCTGCGAGCACGCGATGCGGGTGCTACGGGAGAACAAGGAGAGTGTCATGGCCGTGCTGGAAGCCGTAAGTCTCGCTCTAGTCTCCATCCTCGACAGCGTCTTGGATGTTCTTTGCTGACCTTTTTCGTTTCTCGCAACCCGCAGTTCATCCACGATCCACTCCTCACTTGGCGTTTGACCAAAGCCCCCAGCAAGGCTGGGCCGAACTTCGATTCCGAGCGAGAGCGCGATCTTGTCGGCCCCGATGCGGCGCGGGCGCGGCGGCCGTCGATCCTCGAGGTCAACGTGCCGCCATCCGAGGTCATGGCCGCGCAGCTCAACGGCGACGGAGGCGGCCTCACGGCGGGCGGACCGCCCAATGGGCGGCGGCGGGCGGGGACGAACTCGTCAGCTCTGGGGACCAGCCAGGGCGCCAACGGTCAAGTCCCGAAGCAGGATATTGCCGAGATTCAGAACGAGCGGGCGGTCGAGGTGCTGGACCGCGTGTCACAGAAGCTGACGGGGCGAGACTTCAAGCCCGAGGAGGAGCTCGACGTGATCTCGCAGGTGCACAAGCTGATCATGGAGGCAACCAAGCTGGAGAACCTGTGTCAGCACTACATAGGATGGTGCAGCTTCTGGTGATCAGGCAATGTTGTCTCTTGATCGGCACGCGCACCTTAATCAATGGTGGAGTGGGAGATGAAATTTTACGGAGATGCTTGGGCGAGATTCGTGGCCCGGAGGGATTTTTTTTGCTATGATTCTCGTTCATTATTTGATAATACTGGGACTAGTTATAGTCAGTCTTTGGCCCCGAGACCTCTTGATACTCATGAGGCCTCGGCCAAAGCCTGATAGAGATAGAGGGGTCGGGGGCATTTACCTGGGAGTTTCTTGGACGGTTGGAGAATATGCGCTCTAGGAACTTTGTGCTTGTGTTCTGATTCAGCAACGCTAGGTGGATAGAATTGCATGGGGATTTGCTGATGAGTTTTCTGTGTTGATTCAATGCTCGTGTACGTGTCCTCGACGGACGCAAGACGTGTGTAAGCATATCTAGGATTGATTGGGAGGTTGTCGAAAATAGCGAGTGCTCCGCACTCTTCTCTATTCCGCAACGGAGACGACAATGTCCCTTTGCTGAATATTGTATAGCCGCCCACAAACTCCTTCGCTGTTATACATTATATGGCCCGTTTGTATCCCTACGTGGGCGGAAGTACCTTGTCTCAGTATTCCTTAAGTCTAGCAGGGGTTTTCTTTTGGTCAAATGACAAGCTCTTCTCGTCGTCAGTGCTCTAGTCAAGGTCTCCTAAGACTCTAAATGTTGGGTGATAATTGATCGTATTTCACGCAACGCTCGACCTGGAGTGAATATCACGGGGTGGTTAGTAAATGGTGGTCGGACCTAGGATAGAAAAAAAGGGAGAGCATGTAAAAAAGAAAAAAGAAAGAAAAACTCACATCCTCAATGCTGGCCTGCACGAAACGCCTGGCCTCAAGCCCGACCCAGACCATGATCATGGAAAAGTCGCCCTGCTTGACCATGTTGGCGCCGCTCTGGGCCGAGAGCTCGCGCAGGATGGGCAGGGCCGACGAGAGCAGGTCGAGGTCTGGGTTGAGGGCGCGGCCGATGCCCTCGAGCAGGAAGATGCTGATGACCACGTTCACAAAGTCGCCCTCCATGCGGACGTGATGGGAGCGCACCATGGCCAGGACGCGCTGCAGTATGTCGCCGATGCGGACGTTGCCGAGCGCGAGGGTGGACGATTTCACCTCGAGCACGAGGTGCTGCATCTTGAGGGCGAAGATGTCGGCGTCGAGCACGGCGTCGGGCTGGCGGCAGCGCTCGCACATGAGGGCGCCGGCCTTGTAGCCGTCGAACTCGGCGATGGCGCGGAAGAGGTCGAGGAAGTTGCGGCGGTTGGTGGCGTTGAGTTCCGTCACGAGGCCCGTGTCGATAAAGAGGAGCTGCGGCCGGAAGCCCTCCTCGTCGATGCGTCGGAGCTCCTCCTCCCACGCGGCCTTGTCCTTGCGGTGCCGGTAGGGCCGGAGCCGGGAGAGGACCTGCTCCGTTACGTCCAGCTGCTGCCGCCCGGCGGGGGTGTTGTGGTCGTCATGCTCGCCGTCCTCTTCTTGCGCGCCGCGCTGGCCGTGGCGCTGGAGATGTGGTAGCCTGGGGAGGTTGGGTAGGTCTGGCTTCTCGGCCTGGTAGAAGCGCACCATGATGTTGCCTGGGTGCAGGTCGGCGTGGACAAAGTTATCGATCAGGAGCATGCGCAGGAAGGCGTCGAGGCCCTCAGCGGCGATGTCGTGCTGGAACACGCCGCCGCCGTTCTCCATAAAGTCGGCGAGCGGGATGCCTGTGGCGAACTCCTCGATCAGGACGTTGCGGGTGGTGAACTCGGGGTAGGGGAAGGGGAACCAGGCCGTGGACCGGTCGCGGAAGTGGTTGCGGAAGATGGTCAGGTTGGCGGCCTCGATGCGCAGGTCGAGTTGCAGGCGCATCATCTCGCCGAACTGGGCCACCTCGTCGGGCAGCGAGAGCCAGTGCATGGTCGGGATGGCGTTGATGGCAGCAGCGAAGAAGCCCATGATGCGCAGGTCGCGCCGGACCGTCCGCTCGACGCGCGGGTGCAGCACCTTGACGGCCACGTACGACGAGGGCACGCGCTTGGGCGTGCTCTTGAGGACCGTCTCGACCTTCTTACGGACGTTGATGCCACGCCTCCCGCCGTACCCGCCGCCGCCGTCCACGTCCACGTCGGCGGGCGAGGCGAGGCCCGGCTTCAGCTTGGCGCGGTAGACCTGGGCGATAGCGCCGACGCCGAGCGGGGTCTCGTCGAACTCGTCAAAGATGGAGTCGAACGGCATGCCGTTGAAGGCGGCCTCGACTATGCGCCTGGTGGCGTGGAGCGAGTGGGCGGGCGCGTTGGAGTGCAGCCGGGACATGGTGTCGCACATCTCGTTTGGGAAGATGTCGGAGCGTGAGGCTGCCCACTGGCCCAGCTTGATGAAGGCCGGCCCGGCCAGCTCCATGCTCTTGACCAAGACCCCGTACCACCAGAGCGTGCCGGTCCGCTCGTTGTCGCGCTCGGGCACGCGGCGGCCGACCCAGACGGCCGGCACGGCCAGGATGACGGGCACGAAGATGGCGGCCAGGTGCAGGAAGCGGAGGCCGGTGCAGAGTGGCTCCCAGACGTAGAGGTCCAGCAGGAGCACGACCTGGTGCCCGAGGCGCGAGAGGCCGTGGTCGTCGTCGTGGATCTCCTTGGCGATCTCGCGACGCGACGCCGCCAACATGCGGTCCTCGCCCGTTTCGTTGTCGTCCCCGTTATCATACTCCGAGAGCTGCACAAAGGCTGCCGTGCCAAGGGCGACCGCGCCGGCGCCGCTTCCCATCTTGGCCATCAATGGCGCATTAGCTCCAGTTCGGCCTCCTCTTCCGCCGCCATCGGCTCTTTGCTCGGCCCGACTGCCGCCTTTCCTCGACCGCTTTAGTTGGGGCCATGTCTGGTGGCCCTGGCTGCGCGTGGCCCTACTGTTTCCGCGAAAGAAATGACGAATTCCGCGGGCGGCTGTTGAAGGATGAGTGATGTTTGCCGCATGGTGAAATCGGCTCAAGGCGGCAGCGGATGAGCCTCGGCCAAGTTGGGACAAGACGCGGACGGAGATGAGCCCTGGCAGGGACATGTCGCCGCGCAATGCCGCTGGGGACTGTTGGATTTGATTCTGTAGTGTTTGCCGCGCCGGGCGCCCATCATATCCACGCCATTGGAGTTGTGTTGTTGGTGGAGGGCCTTGCTGAGTTGCTGGAATGGCCCATTCCTCTCTTCCTTGAAGGAGAAGGTCAGCTCAGCGACTTAACCCGCGCAGGCCTGACGTAATACATTTATGATGCGCTGAGCACATGCAAAGCTCAAGCTTTTAGGCGCGACAAGTCGCCAGAGTACCCCTGCCCCTTGTTGCCGATTCATTATCGGGGGCACCCTTGCGTGAAATAATTTAGCGCGGGAAAGCACCAATAGCAGCAGCCTCAATAAAAAAAAGAGAGAGCCTCATTGACGACTCATAATATCACCTTCATATCGTTTACCAGCCAGTCTATTCTCACACCTTATCCTACCTACCTCTTTTGCGCCTCACACCCTATCCTACCTACCTCTTTTGCGCCTCACAACGTCCTGAGATGGGCTGGTTCTGGGCAGATTCACCCACGCCGCCGGCGCCATCAGTCGCCCGCCACAACCAGGTTTCGGGCGCCGCACCTCCTGTATGCAGTGTCGCCTGCCGCAAGCCGTGCGCTCACCCCAGTCGATAACTTTGAAGATGCTAACCGTGCTTCTACACCAGGCCGGCTGCCCCATGCACAAAAAGACAGTAGACGCCTTCACCCCGGCATCAGCAAAGCCGCGCGCCAGCGCAACAACCCCGCCGCCGTCGTCATGCCCCGTCGCCCACGACCAGCCGTCGGCGGGGGCCGCCCCGGCCAAACAACAATCTGCGCTGTCCCGCCTCAACCCGCTCAACTACATGTTCCCCGACCTGTCCAACAAGCCGGCGCCGAACCAGACCATGGCGCTCCCGACGGAGCGCGAGGCGTCGACGATCCCACGCGGCGGCGGCGGCGAGGGCAACTGGGAGTACCCGTCGCCGCAGCAGATGTACCACGCGCTGCTGCGCAAGGGCTACACCGACACGGACCCGTCGGCTGTCGAGCCCATGGTGGCCATCCACAACTTCCTCAACGAGGGCGCCTGGGCCGAGATCGTCGAGTGGGAGAGGCGCTTCGGCCGCGGCCTGGCCAGGGGCTGGCAGATCTCGCGCCAGGGCGAGGAGAGGGCCCCGCTAATCGCCAGGCAGCTCGAGGTGATGGAGGACCGGAAACCCGAGACCCCGAGCCTGGTCCGCTTCCAGGGCAGGCCAAAGGACATGACCCCCAAGGCCGCCTTCTTCCAGGTCCTGGGCTGGCTCTACCCCTCCAAGTTTGGGTTGGTTGTCCCGTAGCCTCGGAGATTTTTTTTCTTGCTCTGCCTCCCAAGTGGGCACACGGCTAATCCACGTTTTCTCCCCGCAGTACTGAACCCCCGTTTGACCGTCACGACTGGTACGTGTCACGCAACGTCAACGGCCAGCAGCAAGAGGTTCGCTACATCATCGACTACTACACCGGCCCCCCGGAGCCCACGGGCGAGCCGGTTTTCTACCTCGACGTGCGGCCGGCCGCCACGCTCAACGGCTCTGCCGAGCGCCTGATGCGCTGGGGAGGCGATGTCTGGTGGCGCGCCTCTGGAGCCGAGGTTAGGCACGGGAGCCAGGCGTCCAGGTCGAACAACCGATGAAGTGCTCTAGGCAAAACGGGGGAACAATGAGGTCAGAGTATCGACTGGGTCAAAGATGCTCGTATTTTGCCCAGACGAATGTTCATGGGCGGTTCATGGCAAGGAAGTTGTGCACATTTGCTTCTTGGAGGGTTTGCGGTCCGACTCCACTCTGTATGATGAAAAAGGCACACTTGCCTCTGTGATGATAGATGTATCTCTGATGGGTTAGCGTCACTAATGCCACTACGATTTACTTGATACCCTCTAGCGGGCACAATGTCACATTTGCAGATTGCGACAGGGGAACGAGCTCGCAAAATGGAGAGTCCAAAAAAAAAAAACCTCATTATTCTCTGGCCTGGTGGTTTATTACGAGAGGGTCTTGGCCAGCTGGGTGACCTGGTCGAGAAGGGCCTTGGACTCGCGCGGGGCGTTCTTGGTGACCTTGCCGAGCAGGTGGTCGACCTGGAGGCCGGCGGCCTTGGGCGGGTTGCCCTGTGCTGTCTGGATGCGCGAGACCTGCATGGAGAGGAAGAACTTGGGCACCTTGATGGCGGCGACGTTGCCGCCGACGGAGCGGATGCCGGCCTCGGTGGCCGTGTAGACGTCGAGCTCGGCCTGGAACTTCTTGAGGTCGTTCTGCGCCAGCGGCTCCGTCGTCTTGAACTTGTCGAGCGCGAAGGCGAGCGGGGTGCCCTTGCCCGTGAAGTCGACGGAGCTGAAGGACACGCCGCCGGCCGTCAGGTCGGGCACGCCCGACAGGGTCTTGGCGTTGGCCGAGCAGGTGATGCGGCTCTGCAGCGTCTTGGCGACGTCCGAGACCTCCTTGGGCAGGGCGGTGTTGCCGATGATGAAGCAGGGGTTGGCCTGGCGATCCTCGATCGGGGCTGTCATACAAAGAGGCTGTCAGTGGACTTGACTAGAGTAAGGCCGATCACTACCTAGGTACCTAGGTGGGAGGCAGTCAAGTGGAATACGTACCGGCCGAGACGAGCGCCGCGCCAGCAACCAGAAGGGCAGAGAAGAAACGCATCTTGAAAGACTTTGCGATCGTGGAGAGATATCGGAAGAGGGTAAAGGGTCACAAAGTCATAAGAGTGCGTAATAATGAAGCGAGTATTAAAACGAGAGGTACCCTTCCAGAAGGCTGCCTGATCAAGAATCGAAGGATAGTGAGAGACTGGGCTACCGCAAAAGGTAACCAGAAACAAACAACGGCGACGGATCGGCAGGTTATATACAGTGCCACAGTACCTGGGGAATTGCCCGCCGCTCTCCCCCTTTGATACCCACCCTGACGGCCCCAGCAGAGCCGCGAAATTTGGATGGGGGTCAGGGCCTGCGCCGTCTCCATCGCAGGGGCACCCCCCTGGCCGACGTTGCTCTCCAGGCCGTTGCAAATGCGAGTGCAGCAGCGACAGCTGACGGCTGGCCCTGCCGGCCGGGTCTTGGGTCTGCTGCTGCGTCGAGTTTGGACGGCTGTCATTGGCGCGAAAACCGGATCGACGGTAAGGTTTCTCAGATTCAGGCCCCTTTTTGGGTGTGATCCTGGACAGAGATCTGATACAGGAACTTGAGACGGGATTTGACACGGCTAGTGCAGGCGCGCACCCACCGAGCAAGAATGAGCACGCGTTCGTCTCCGTTGCCACCATCTTGAGCATCCTGCATGATATCGGCACCCGAAGGCCCCGAGGACAAAGGCTGGCTCTCTATCGCCACAAACGCCCATTACAACGACAGAGTCGCGCCAATGTCGATATTTTCTCTCTGTCCGGCGTAATTCTGAAGACTCCACACCATCATTATAGGTATCTACGTACCTATTCCGGTGGTGGGGGGTGTAGAAACACAGGAACCAGAAACCATACCCAGGAACTCCGAGCCAGGAATAGAATTGCGCATCCCCGCGGCCCTCCATGCCAACACCCTCCCTTTTTGCTGGATCGTTGTGTCGATCTCCGTTCCCGAGATCGCGTAGCGTTGCAAAAAGTTCGCCAATCAGACATGGCAGATGGACAATCAGTGGCACGACCCGTGCCCCACAATTATCCGAGCAGCCATCCATCGGCGGGCTCCGAGTGAAAATTTGGTCGTAGCTCCTGCAGCCTGCACTGCTGACCTGCTGCTGCGCCCAGAATTTGATCGAGCTGTTGCTGGGCTTGCGCAATCAGTCCAAACAAAATTGCGCCAGCGCGTGACCCTCAGACCCCGTCTCGTTGCCACCGAGCCCTGTCCGTCCACCACCAGCCTCGACAACAACAAACCAAAGCGCACACCACGATGAGGGGTGACTATGGAAGCTGACACGTCGAGCTCCCTCACCCGCCTCCACATCACGCCCCTGGACCCCGACCTGCTCAAGGTCATCGTCCCCGCTACAGCTCTACCAAGCGCGAAAAACATCTCGTTTCACACTCTCGAGGCCTTCCCCGAGAAGCGCTACGGTTTTGTCGACCTCCCCACGCTCGAGGCCGAAAAGATTAAGAAGAAGCTCAACGGCGCCGTCCTCAAGGGCGTCAAGATCCGAATCGAAAAGGCCAGGCCCGACAAGATGCCGCGCCACGACAAGAACGACGCGGGTGCCGACGCCGAGTCGAAAAAAAGATCGTGCGAGGACAGGCCGCCCAGGCTCAAGGAGGACAGCAGCAAGAAGCGCAAGCGCCAGCGTGAGGAGATCCCCGGCGTCGAGCTGGAGGAGGGCCGTAGGGTCAAGCGCGGCTGGACTGCGACCGAGGCCACCGAGAGCAGGGAGCGCAAGAGCAAAAAGGACAAGGCCGATAAAAATGACAAGAAGGATAAGAAGGACCGGAAAGAGAAGAAGCAGCGCAAAAAGGAGATGCGCTCGCGGTACACGGATGCGCCCGAGTGTCTGATGAAGACAGTCGTGCCCACTGCCGCCGCCGCTGCTGCCGAGGCCGACGACCAGAGCTCACCACCAAAGAAGCGCAAGAGTAAGAGCAAGACCGAAACCGTAGTCATCCATGAGTTCGAAAAGACGACCAAGTTCCCCACCTTCCTCAAAAACAGCGCTGCCGAGTCTTCCAAAACGAGCGCCACCAACGAGTTTGTTGAGGGCGTTGGTTGGATCAGCCAAGATAGCAAAATCGTCGAGGCGGCTCGCTCTGCGCGCACTTCTCGGAAAGCCTCCAAAAGGGTAAAATCCCCGTCGCCGTCGCCGCCACCACAAGCGGCTGACGACACCACGAGTTCAAGCGGAAGCGACAGCGATGATGATGGCGATACCTCTTCGGACGACGACGATGATGGCAAGACAGAGGCCGCGATGGCCCCGCCGAGGTCCAAAGCGCATCCCCAGACCATCTCTATCCCCGACGCTTCGTCGCCGGCCCAGAAGGTCAAGGACAGCAGCGCCATCTCCAAGACCGAGTCGCCCAGGCCCAAGTCCGCAGGCTCGGTCATGAGCCTCACCATCAAGATCCCTCCTAGCACCCCGGCCACCCCCAAGTTACACCCCTTGGAGGCTCTTTATAAGCGATCAAAGCCAGACGGGGGCGCTGCCGGTGGAGCCTCGGCCACCCCAGCGCAGCCTTCGTTCGCCTTCTTTGATGCCGAGGGCGATCAGGCAGATGAAGAACAATGCGGCGGCATGGACGAGGAACCCAGGAGTAGCCAGCAGCCGCCCATGACGCCGTACTCCCGACAGGACATGGAGTTCCGGAACATCCGGAGCGCGGCCCCGACGCCCGACACGGCCCACCACAGCCGCAGCTTCAAGTTCTGGCCGAACCCCGGGCAAGAGGACCTCGACGAGGAGGACGAGGAGGAAGACGGTGACGATGATGAGGAGGAAGGGGATGAAGACGGCGAGCCGGCTGCTGACGGTGCTGACGGTACGACTACGTCGAGCTCGGACTTCCAGAAGTGGTTCTGGGAGAACCGTGGCGATCTCAACCGGTCTTGGAAGAAGCGTAGAAAGTTGGCTGCCAAGGAGAAGCGGTACCGCGAGAACAGGTCGCGGGCAAACAGGGCGGTTTAACGAGGTATTCGCTTTAGAGATACTTATAGAACGTGGGATTGCGTTTTCGTATCCTCTGTTGGGTTTCGAAGTTTGGGGTTTATTGGTCGTCCTTGATATGGGCCCCTGAGCTTGGCATGCGTTCATTGTCTCACAAACTTCCATGTGGGAGCTGGCGGCACAGCTATCTGGCACCGAACGTCTCGTCACCTTGAAAGAAACTAGCTACGCTAATGGTATTATGATTACACAAGGTGTGAGCACAGCACACGTCAACATCCTGAACCAAACAGAAAAACAGGAAAGAGCACAGTGTACAATACACACCATACATTACCTGCACCCCGAAATTCCAGCCCTGGCGACCTGCGGAAACGCGACAACCCAAAACAATGACATCTAGCCAGAAAGCCGAGAAGGAAAGGGACAATAAAGGAAAGAAGGACTGAAAAATAAGTGACAAAGGAGAGACAAGAGAAACACCAACAAACGAAACCCCCCCTCACAGCCCCGAGTCGAGCTTGGCTGGCGCCTTGGGCGCGTACGACCGCCAGGCATCGCAGTTCTGGCCCATGGCGCCGAGATCCATGGCGCCCGGGATCTGGTCGGCGAGCTCGAGGAAGTCGACGCTCAGGCCCTGGGACGCGTGGAAGGCGATGTGGCAGTGCATGATCCAGGCGCCCGGGTTGTCCGTCTTGAAGGCGAGCGCGAGCCAGCCCCAGGCCGGCAGCACCGTGCTGTCGCGCCGGACCGGGTTGGAGCCGCGCAGCCGGCCCGCGTCGGACGCCGGGTTGTAGACGATCTGGCGCTGCGACGCGTCGAGCGGGTTGGCGACGGCGTCGGAGCGGCCGAGCATGAGGAAGTCGTGGCCCTGGGGAGGTGGGGGGGGGGGGGGGGGGGTGGGGTGGGGTGG